ATAATAACGTCATAGCGTGTAGTATATTGAGTATTGAACAGATAAAAGTTAATCTTTACTCACTCAATTTATCCTTAACATCAGAATAGCAGACAATTTAATAGTGATATTTTTAATTGTCCTTTCGTCCTTATTTTAGTTTTTTTTCTCTCTCTCTCTCTCTCTCTTTCTCTTAATTAATGTTACTAACATATCATTGATTTCCATTACTAATGTCATTTTTAGTTTATTCGTGATAGTCATTTCATTAAATTACCTTTCAGATTAATTAAAATTAAGATATGAGAAGATACTCATTTAATCTCATTTTTAACAATATTTTTATTGTAATAATATTATATTGTACATGATTTTAATTCAGGATTATGTTATTGAATTATTAATAAAATGTCTTATTGCCAGATGATATATGTTAAATGAATCAAAGAAATGTTTATTTTTTTTATTTTCCAATTGAAAATTATTCAGACTCTCAACAATCAATATATTGCTCAATCTGCTCCAACTTAATCAAGTAAGTATGATAATTTTATTAATAATAAAAAAATGCAAAAATATTTATCTCTTACTTCGATATATATTTTGTTACTTGGAGGAATATAAAATATATCAATAAATGAATAAAATTAAGAAAATTTAATTGAAATAACATTCATAAAAAAAAAAGAGAATGATGGCTAAGATTAATTGACTGGACAATTACCTTTTGTTTGAATCAATAAAAAATTTTAAAGGTCATACAATACTATGTAATATAAAAGCACCTTATATACAACATACATCAGTAGAAAAAAACAAGCTTGTGAGTGCAGTCAACTAGGTCGATGTGTATTATTGCTGAAGATGTATAACTGTCTACGTTATATACCGGAAATAAATGTTTCTTTTATCAATTTTTCGATTACCACTGGCAAAAGGTTAAATGGTAAATCTACACTTCAACTGTACCAATGATGGTTGAAACTAATATTTTTTATTAACTATTTTAACTTTTTTACCATTGATTACACAATAAAATTTCATAAACATTAAATATAAATCTATTCGAATTAATCAATTGATTAATTATTTTAAAATACCAAGTTTTTGATAAAATATTTTTTTTTTTTTCATGAAAATATTTATAAATAAAGTTGTAAATAATAATGTTTGTTTGCATAAACGTTATTTCGATTATATTGTTGAATTATTCAGTTCAATCAGTACAACTCCAACTGTTTCAACTTGAATCCATTTAGTTGGAATGTCTTTAACTGGTCTACATTGTTTACATTAATAATTCAACTTATTAATAGTATATTTATGTCTATTGAAATTTAATACAATAATATTGTTCAAAGAAATGTATGTATTTTATTTAATGTCACCTATACTTGAACTCGAATTGGCATATTAATTTTTAATTTACTTTTAAAAATGAAATTTTATCGTAAAGAGTAGACTTAAAGTGGATTTAAAAGTCAAATTGTTAATAAAAATATTAAAATATTCCTATATCATAAAGACATTTCTGAATTGTGTCTTTTATATCCTTATGTGTTCAATGTATAACTTCAGAGTATGGTTGATTGTTAACATCTGTTGAATCTGGAAATTTGCCAGCTACAACAAAGATTAATTTGTACTTTGATTCTACTTTACGTTGCAATATTTTATTCTGTTACACATTGAATTATTGTTCATATAAAATGATTGATTTTTTATTCAACGTATCTCGAATCAAAATTTTAGTCATATTTTTAAATCCTCTATCGCTTTATTACTTTATTTGTCACTCAGACTTTAATGACGAAATCATTTTTGAAACGAAAAGTCCTAATATTCTACATATTACAATTAATTTTTACTATTAATTGAAAGACTAGATATTCAGTGTATAATAAGGAAATTTGGTCTATTTTTTAAGAGTTCTCACATTCGATAAATTTAAGGCAAAAACCTCCTACTAGAAGTTTATTATTCCATTTTTTTATTTACTTTTTTAATTTTTTACTACTCATGCGCTATGAATTGATTACGTGAAGAATCCATTTGAAATTATTATTGGTCCAGTCAATATAATTTTATTTGGACAGACATTTTGAAGTTAAATTACATGAAATTCTTCATCTCTTGCTTCAACTGAAATCTTCGAACCCATATGAAAGATTCAGTTGATAAAAAAGCAACTGAGATTTCGACTTAAGGTTATCTATATAAGTAAAAAAGAACCAAAAAATCATCTACATATATAACTCCTTAATTTTACTGATATTCCAACAGGTTGGCGAACGAATAAGGGTTAAAATATAGAATGTAAAGTGATAAAAGGAAAAAATAAAAAGCACGTTTTATTGAAATGGAAGATTGTCGGGTGTAGGGTAGTCACTGAGAAGAGCAAAAGGAGCAATGAGAAATCACCCGTAAATGCACTCATTCCTCTAGAGATAATTCATTCGGACTAATGCATTTTAGCCCCATCATGATTTTCGATAGCCTACTACAATCATACACTTTTAACTTGTGCGTGACTATATGCTGAAAAGCATTTTCCAATTATTCCATTTATCTATTTTTGTCCACTTTAATTTAATGTTTCATTAACTTCAATTAATGTCTTCTTTAAACAATTTTCATCGGTATACTCAATTATGAAATATATTTATTATCGGTCATTTTTTAGACAGTTTTTAATTTCCGATAAAGCATATAAAAATTCATCATGCTAAAAGTAACTCAATTTAAGAATTTTTTCAGAATCGTTCGCATTTAATAGACAATAAAAAAGTTCAATTTTATCGTGAAATTTTAAGTTAACCCGTCACATTTGTTTTAAAGAATGACATTTAAAAAATCCCGAGTCCAAATCTGAGTCTTGGTTTTACATTGATTACATTGGTTCCAATTCATTTTTAATATTAACTTCACATTGACTACGTTGCTATAAAAAGTAAAAATCCATAAGAATGAAACCAAGGTGAAATTAATATTAAGAATTTGGAGAATTAATTTTGACCAATGTTATGAATGTGGCATTAATTTGAAAAATATTACAAAGAAAATTAAAACAATGGAATCAATGTGACCAAGATTAAATATTCCGACTTATTAGGAAGAGTTTTAGTAAAATAAATGAGTTGTAGGAAAAGAAAAACAATCTAAGCAATAACTATTGATATAATTGATTGATCATGATGTAACAATCCCAAATAAATAAAGTAGAGAGTCGATAAATATATTGTTTTTTCTTTTCGTATACATTACAGCAACACTGTTACATTTTATTTTATTTTTTTTTTTTGTTTTACCATTATACTTGAGATACGGATACTAGAATAGAGATACTGAAGAACAAGCGCACGAACAACGATCGAATCTTTGAGCTATTTAAAATTCCACACGAACACTTTTATGCAAATGTTCAAAAGAATGAAGGAGAACACCATCTTTCGCTACTTTTGCCTACTGTCTCTGTAAAAAACTAAATTGAGAAGATTTTTAAAATTTCTTTATATCAAACTTTAATAGTGACATATCGCATGTAATGCATGACTTTCATTAAATTTTTGTATTCATGATAAAAATGGAGTAAAAAAGTATTTAAATAATTATGAGAAATTTAAAAAAATATCAAAGTTGAATTTAAAAATCATTATGTCTAGAACATAGTTGAAAAAATGAATTAGATTCCTTTTACATTTTATATCTATGTAATTATTAGAAATGTCAGGTATTGACAAACAGGACTATATTGAAGATCTAGAATAAGCTTTTAATTTACAATAATGAAAATTGAGTGTATGTGTAAAGTTTATGAGCGAATAGTTACAAATAAACTGATTGAAGAAAAATAAAAATCAACTATGAAATACTAAAATAAAAATACAAACAAATTTAGTTACGTTTTTTGCGTGACTTAATACTTTTATTTTTATTATTTATTTTAAAGTTATAACTATTATTTTTATTAGATATTAAATTTTTAAAAAGATATAAAAAATTGTAGATTTATATTAAAAAAGATATAGTGATGTAAAGAATATATGTAAAAGTAAATGACACGCGCTAACTCAGTGTGATATTGATCCATGAAAAGTTTTGATTGTGATCGTCTAGGGATTGAAATAAAGCCTGAATATCAGGTCTTTACGTTAACGACGATAAAGAGAAAGATGGAAGAGAGTGACAATAAAGTTGATATAGTGTAGAAAATAGTATGTAAGGAGCCACTCCCGTGAATAATCTCACGTCGCTTAGTGTTATCGCTGTTACCCTATCGAATTTCACCAATGTACCAAGCAAGATAATTTAATCTGGTTACTGTATGTAACCTTGATCATCTATCATGCAATACTTTTCAAGTTTTCTATGCAGTACCCAGTATAAAGAGAATATAAAGTTTTCTCCAATTTTCGATAAACATTTTCAAACTTTTTCTTAGATGATATATTTAAAATTTACTATTTAATATAATATTTTCAAAGTTAATCTTTTATTTAATTTTTTTTTTCGATTATTTTCTGTTATAAACAACATAATGACAATTGAAATAGAGAGAAGAATGAGTTTGAATAAAAAAAAAAGGACTTTGCTGGTAATTGTTTGGTAACCCTAATGGCTTCCTTGATGAACAAAGCTTGAATAGGCTTTTCTTAGTTATCGGATCTCATAGATAAACCAAGTTTAGCCATGTCACGTTTTAACGAGCACATAAACTTTATCCCAATACATTTTGTTGGTTTTTGCTTTTAAACTGTAGATGTGCATAAATTCATTTTGAGAGAATAGGTAATATTAATAAAAGCTGTCATCAAGTTAATAACACTCAAGCACTAGTAACAGCACATTAAAATAATGTACCAATCACAACTATTGATATATGTTTTATGTAATTATTTTTCCATTAAAATTCATGCTTTGGAGTAAAAATGTCATATTTAATGATATTGAAGAGTTTTAATTGAATTAAAGTTGAAAGGAAAAATTAAAAAAAAAAAAAGTAACTTTATTAAAAATTTTACCTTCATTCTGATTATTTCCAATGAGTATTTCAGTCTTTTCAAAATCCGCTTCTCTCAACAGATCTAGAGGATGTTTTGGTAGGAAAACACCATCAATAGTAGGAGCTGAGGGAAAGCCAAGAATTCCCCAATAACTATTCCACTGTTGCACTGAAATAGTTTTGGCATCAACAGACCGCATACAAGCCATAACTCTTGCTGGATTTTCAGTTAACATAGTGGAATTACATCCACAATCATCAACTAGTACTCTTGCCACTTCATTAGCCTTTTCAGCAGTCATAAAACTCCATGGTGCATTAAGAGTACCACTTTGAAGGATACCACGTCGTACAAGACCTCGAGTGACTGGTGAAATCAAATGAAGTGATACAGAACCACCTCCAGCAGATTCACCAAAAATAGTTATAGCATCTGGATCACCACCAAACGCTGGGGCGTTGGTTTTCAACCATTTAAGAGCTAAAGCTTGGTCCCAAAGACCCATATTACCGGGAGCTTCTTCACTATTACCAAAATATTTATTAAGATATAAAAAGCCAAAAGCACCCACACGATATTGAATAGATGCTATGATAGCATTAGAAGCAACAGCCATAAAATCAGCATCATATACATCCAAAGTAGCCGTTCCTGTCATGTATCCACCGCCATAAATCCAAACTAACAAAGGTATCGCTTTCTTCTCAGTACTTGATGCTTCTTTATGCCTCACTCGAAATTTTTGTGGTACCCAAATATTCAGATAAAGACAATCTTCCGATACATTAGTATTTGGATTCCACATCTCTTCACCATCGAAACCAGGAAAATATTCATAACGTTCTTGAAAGCAACTGTTAGATAGTGTTGTTGCATTCAATATTCCATGCCATGGTTCAATTGGTAATGGTTTACGAAATCTCAATGGGCCAATGGGTGGTTTGGCAAATGGTATTCCTAAAAAAATATGAACTTCATGGTCTAAAACTGTTTTTGAGATACCACGAATAAGACCACTACTTGTTTCAACTATTAGTGGATCACTCTTAGTGTCCCGAGTATAAGCAGGATTAAAGACAGTAAGTAAACACACTAGCAAATTTAGGATTAGTGCCATCGTGTTACTGTTACTTTTATTACTACTTAACTGATAATAATTCATGGCACGTTGCTATAAACAAGACTCAACGATCAACAAGTTAGAGTCAAAGCGTTGGGAACCTGTCAAACTGGCTACCTAACGATTTTTCCAACTTGTTTATTCTTTAAGAAAATCAAGAACACCTTTCCTTTAATACACACACTACACTTGAAGTCATTGCTCTGTACAAAAAAATATTCAATTGTTCAGTCTTTTATTTCAATTATATTCTTTCTTTTCGATGTTACTTTTATGTTTTAATTTTATGTTGTAATTCAGTTATCAAGTATTATTTTATTAACGTATACTTGTAAAACAATTTCATGTATTGTAATGAATGAAAACAAGCTGTTTATCGCAAACATGCGACACCAATACAACGACCAACATGCCGCGATACACGGGGTCAACTAAGCAAAGAGCTAGAAGGCGCTTGAGTCCATAGAGCTATCGAGAATTATTAGGGGTAGGGAAGAAGCGTCGGCGCACGTCTTCACACTGCCATCAGGTTACACACTCGATCAACAACTTGCATCAGTTGTACAACATATTCAACTTCATATCTAATATATATATTCCCATTTATAAAACAAATACTTTTTATTTTATTTCCCATTAACATATTTTATCTATTAACTCCATTTCACCCCTTGATTTTCATTCAAGTTTCACCAATTATACTTTAACTAAAAATATATATTTCATTGCAAAAGCATTCATATTCATGCTAGTATATTAACTTGGATTTTTAATTTATATCATCTGTTTGTTCCAATAGTACATTGAGTTTTTCAATTAATATACATTCACAATATAGTACTCGATGAATATTTGATACATAATTGCTACAAAGTCGTAACGATTATTTTAATTACTGACAACTTAGGATTGTAGAAAGAATACAAAACTGGTAATGAATTCAAGATTATAATTGCAAAATAAAAGTTAGAAAACTGTTTAAGATTGTATTGGTACAGTTTTTTTTTTTTCCTTTCAATCCCTTCAAATCGAGTAGAATGCTTTCAATTGTAAGCGGAAGAGAGTCGTTATTCCCTCAAGTGAAGCAACCAATCGTTAGCCGTTTAGTCCACGATCATTGTCGAGGTGCTCCACAATACTTACTATGTAGTTATTAATAATTGGAATGAGAAAAAAAAGAGATTCATGTTAAAATAGTTGTCTTACAAATTCTATTCAATGGAATATCACGTTTAAATTTATCTTACACTTGGAAAGATGAAAGCACTACACATGCGCAAAGATCAAATGCTTTATTCATGTCTAACGTCTTCTATCAAACGGCCAGACAAATGCCAGATTCCAATTTGTATACTACTATTTGATTAATGATAAGGAAGATTAATTAAAAATTAATCATCTGTTTAAAGTATATCAAACATTGATATAACTTTGAATCATTTAAATTTTACTTTCTTAAAAATCCTGGTAATACTTAATGTTGCAATTTTTGTCAATAATTTCGAGATATCTTAATAATATGTTTAAAATTTCAATTGATTACTGATTCTCTCTCTCTCTCATTCATTAACAAGTCAGCTAATCAGACAGGAATTTTCAATAAAATATTAATTAAGTATTAACTAATTTCTAGTAGTATATGTAAAGTAAATATCCGACGACAGGTTGATCAAAAGTTTTCAAGTAAGTTTAATTAAAGTGTCATTTATAGATATATACAAGTAAAGTTGTTGTGTTTATAATGAAAATAAATTTATATTTTAAGTGTTAAATTATACTAATGTAAAGTTCTAACCAATGATCGTATAATATTTAATATGAGTATCAGTTAAGCAATTGACCTGCATGATATCCAGATGGATGCTGCCAGCAGGTGGCAGGTTTGCTCAAGTATCGATTTCTTACAAATCCAGGCTGCTGTGTTATTCTACCGGTAGGCTAGTCTTAGAATACTGAAATGTCAAGTAGAAAAGAGATGTACAGAATAACTTTTTCAAATGGAATATTTTCGAGACGATTTAAAAGACAATAAAATATAAAAGGATATCTTTTGTTTGATTCAATATTTCATTTCTGTTAATGGTTGATTTATTATTTTATGTTGGCTATGTATTATGTGGACCAATTAATTTAAACAGTTAATAAGGATTTTTAAAGATATTGTATTGTTTGATGACGTAAACAATGACCTGCTTGGTGACCTAGGTTATTTTCAGTTAGCCCCATTTGTAATTACTGGGGTCAGGAGAGTCGCTTGTGGCTTCTCTCTTACTAGATTTAAAAAACATCGCGAGTCTTTCAGAGATAAGAAAAGAACTTTACCTAACAACATATTTTCTATATGTCTTCAATTACTTATTTATCATTTATCCTTCTTTAATCATCATCAAAATTATCGTTAAGTCAAAAATTTTGTTCTAAATTAAAAACATCAATTAATCGAAATTTTTTTATACTCACATAGCAATTAATAAATTATTATAATAATGACAATTTATTGACATATTTTATAGGTAAAATAAACGAAAATTTTTTAAAAAGGTTGAAGTACATAAAAAAATGATGAAGACGAGAGACATTGAAGGGTAGATGGAAAAATAAAATGATGAGAATACTCAAAAAAATTACAAGTTAAATTAAAAAATGTAAAAGTCCAAAAACAGCAAATTCAATCATAGATTCATGGTAAAGTTGTGATCATTAAATCACTAAAAAAAATGAAATGTTACAAACTTTTACGATGGTCAACAAATTATCAATAAATAAAAAGTAAAATTAAATAGTGAAGAAAAAAAAAATAAATAAAAAGAACGAAAATAAATGAAATTGAAAAATCTTGAAAGCTGTTTAGATGGGTAAACTTATGTGAGATAGAGAAAAAGAAGTAAGAAAAGACCGGTTGGGGTTACCGAAAGGGGAAAATCGAGGGTGAAGAGGGAGAATACCGCTCCCGGCTGAGATATTGATCGTTTGGGTCACGCACGCAACAGGCTGCCTGTCAGTCGTTTTCGACAGCTCAACAGCAACATGAGCCTATCTGAAGACCATCAGTGCTTAAAAAAGCTTATTGTTAATGACAATTCTTAATAATAAATACATTATACACCAAATAATTTTTAAAATAAATTTTCACGTTTATCAAGTCACCGTTTTGTCAAATTTTTTGCTGGTAGATTAAAAAAAATGACAGTATTATTATTGTAGCATCATTATTCATTTGATAAGCTCTTAATTGAATTTAAATCACTCAATTGTTAATTATAATAATTGAATAATAAATATAATAAATAATCAATGATTATTACAAAAAAGTATCTTTTAATTTTATTAATTTGATAAAATTGTTTAATAATAACAATAAACTTTATTAATTGGTATCTAAACGTTCCTATACTTAACTTTTGAGTTTGATATTGCATAAAGGATTGGTTAAGTTGTTTGTCACATAATAAACTTATCACAACGTCAAAGTTATTCTATTACTATATTGAATTGATACTTTATGTAACATGATCATAAATTTAAATTCATTCGAAATGCATGAGTAACATAAATTTTTTCTAAATATGAAAATAACTGATGATGTTAAGAAGATAAAGTTCTTGCAAAAATTTGAAGTAAATTTTTCACTTCAATTCCATTCTGTATTCCTATGCAATATTGATATTTTACAAATGAAATAGTAGGGAAAGGTGAGGTAAAGTGGGACACCAAGAAAAAACGTAAATCAACAAATTATCTAATTTATTAACAAATTTTAATAATTTTTTATGCATTAATAAATTGAAAAATTGATAAAAAGTAAATGCAATAAGCGTTTTCAAGCTTATTTTAACAAATTTATACATTTTCTCGAGTGTTTCACTTTGCCCTTCCTTCCTCTAATTATTATTCTGTGCAAAAGTTCATAATATACTTTATATATAATAATTTATCATAATTTGATCTGTCCTATTTCATACCACAAAATACTAAAATATCATATGTTAAAAAATACTCTTAGACTTTTGGTTTCTTTATATAATGCATATATTGTATGTATCTTTATACAATGACATGAAAATCCACTCATGTGTCAGGTTTTGATGGATATTTTTTTAATTTTAGAGATAATATATCAACATGTTTGATGATTATTTACCAGTGAGCTGTTTTTCTTTTTTTCAATTGTATTTTTTATACTTAATTAAACTTCAAATGTATATTGTATGTTCTATCATGATCCTTTTTAATAATTGATTTCATGGAAAATGTAGTATAATCTTTTTGAGTGCTTAAAGTTTGATTTTAATCTTTTAATTTAATTTTATTTTTATAATTATCATTTTTTTTTCTGCATTTACTGTAAAGAATAAACAAGCTTCTGAAATTAATACATGAAAAAATGATAAATTTTCGACCTAAAAATTCATTACAGTTATTAAAATTACTTTCAACTGATAATTGTTTATTATGACTCATAAATAATTACATAAATTCAATAAATTAATAAGATAATATGAAAAAATAAACTGCAAAAATTTTAAATCAAAACTGATCGTAAAATAGTAAATCTAATTATTACATTTTTCTTTGGGTATTAGGTGCGTAATTGGTTTGATAAAAAAATCTGTGGTGGTAAATTTATATTTATTGACGACGCAAATTTATTTATTGCAATGATGGCTATCGGGTATCTCAAACACATATACATGTATATATTATCACAATAACCATAATATGCAAATCAGGAATGTTGGTAACATTAAACGCACAACGGATTGTAATCGCAATATTCTCCAACTACAAGATTAAATGGACCACTATATAGTTATTTTTATCGACAAGATGATACTACCACCATCCCAGTTTAATATGTCGGTTGTGTATATAATATTATGTCTTTATATTAGATTTTGTCGTTCGAACTGAGAGACGTATTGACGAAGAATAAAAATAATATAAAAACCCAACTGAACTTGAAAAAGATAATAAATAATTTACATATACTACATAATCATAATCAATATTTACTATTTTCAATTAGAAGATGATTATTAAGAGCCATTATCAGTTATACATTAAACAAATGATCATACCGGAATAAATACATTCATTTATTAACCAACAGAGATTTTTCATATTATATAGTCTTCTATTGTATGATGACAGTATAATTAATGAATATTATCATTGCATATGACATTTATAAAATATTTCGACTGACCCCGTCTTTTTCTCGTTCCACTATTAATGGTCATTATTTTATATAAATTTATATATGTTAATTTTATTCTTAATTCTCCTTCAATGTAATATAAACCTCCATTGCTCTATTGATCAAGTTCAAATCAAGATAACTAATAAAGTTATTGGAATTAATTTTAAATGAAAGACTTTTGAACTTCATAACAAAAATTTGTCTTATCAAAATTTGTCATCACTTTTTTAAAACTATAAAAAAGTCAAATGAAAAATAAAATTATCTAAATATGCTCCAGAAAGAATTGATTAATAAAAAAGTAAAAGAACGTAATAGTAACGTTTTTTCTGATTGGCTAAAAACTTGGGGAAAAAAAAATCGTAAGGAAAAAAAAGGTGTCCCAGTCTTAGAGTTTTCTTTTTTCTATTTTCCTGAGATCTCGAGTTCATTTTTAAAAGTAGATACACGACTCTTATCTGTTGTGACTTTATTCTTTTATTACTCACTACCTTTACTTATATTACTATCTTATACTGATCATTAATGTTAACATTTTTATACTAATCAATTTTTCTGTGCTTTTTCTTACTTCAGACGTTTATTTTTATCTACATCTAAAACAAATTGCAATCAAAATAATATGTAGGACAATAACGAATTTTTATAAAAATGAAAACAAAAAGAATTCAAGAGTAATATTTTACTTTAGCATAAAAACAAAAAAAAAACCTTTTATTTTATTTTACAATAACACAGTCAATATTTGAACAATTTTTTTTTCTTTCGAACGCTATGTTAAATAATTCTAAAATAATTACTCGATACATAGCGGACACATAGCAATTACACTGTTGACAACATAATAAAGTGTGAAATATTAATAAAAAAAAGAAACGACTAACAAGAAAAGATAGATGATTGCATGCAACATGTGTGGAAAGTTAGTGAATGAATAAAATACTACGTTAAGAAAGAAAACGTACAGCTGTTGTAATTGACTATTGAATAAAATCGCGTGACACATGGAAATTATCATTATCTTTTTCATCATAATTGTCTATACAATCCAATAATGAATTTACTCTTAGGCGGTAGTCAGAAATATCGGATAACCGTACATAATATTCGTAGAAAAATAATACTCAAATAGTCTGTCATTGATGGAAAAAGATATTAAAATAGTAATTAAAATACTTTTCTACTCTTCAAACTACTTTATACTCTCAAGTCCTTGACATATATAATTGCTTGAAGACATGAAAAATAGCAGTAATGGCAAACCGATCAATAAAATATCAGTTAAAGTATCGTTATTGTAAGCTGTAGAAATAATGTATGATAAAAAGATGAAAATCATGTAAAATTTAACAAAAACATTTGTTAAATATTTTTATTAACATGATACTGGAATTATTATTCATAACACATAGGTATCCATGATCTTTATGCCTCTCATGTCTAACACAGAGCATCTCTGTCACACAAATAATTGAGTTTTTTAGGCAACAAAAAATATAATTTAGAAAAACTTGTGTTTTTACATAATGAATATGTGTTGTATGTAAATATGTCAATCTGAAATACAGAAAATAATAAATTATTTCATAAATAATGATAACTCATAACAAATTTATAATATTATTTATAGAGACTAGCTATTTCAAAAAAATAAAGTCTTTGAAAATTTTTCAAATATTTCCAAAATTTATCAATATTATTATTTTTCTTCTTCTTTTTTTTTTTAGTAATTTAAACGCAAAAATTTATTTAAATAAAGAATAAGTTTTTATGGAATTTTTAACTATGAATTATTTGTAAATTGTCATTTTTATTTAAAATATGTTAACACTATAATTATGATCAATTAAAAAAAATTTTAAATAATTATTAATACAATATAAAATCTTACTTATTTGTAGCAGATCATGAAGTGCACAATATAATTTTACTACCCACCGGTCTATGTTTGTTGATCAAGTAAATATTTTTATTAGCTGCGGCATTGGTTTAAAAATTTTCGAATTTTTTAATTATTATTATGATAAACAAATTGATAATAGATTCATTATAAGTAACTACTAATTTGTTAAAAAATATTAATAAGCTTGACTTCATTTTAATTATTAACATACTTATGTCAATTCATAAATCAGATATGTATTATCGTGAGTTTTTAATTCAAAGTTTCGCGGGTCATTTTGTAGTACCAATAATTACCACATGATGTCGTTTCCAGTTTATTATTTATATCACGTAGTGCATGCCTGATCTGATAAATATTCTTCCACTCTTATGGCACCTGTAATTAACAATAAAATTTTGTTTTATAAAAAGCAATCAATATAAGCAATGATTGAATCGTGTACAAAAAAGCGAATGTTATTAGCAATTACAATATTAGGCGGGTAAATATTGAATACCTATCCAATTTATAGGTTAAATTCAAATCAATAACATTAATTTATGTTTATTTTTTATCTTATTCATTTATTTATTTGTTTATTAAAGCACTATTTTTCTATGTATATAGATTGACAGTTATCGTTCTAATAGTTGAAAGTCAATGGACTGAAAGTTCAAATAATAAACCATATCTTGAAAATTTGGAACACAATGCAACATGTGCTATTGATGGAAAATATGAAATAATTTCTGAATGTCATCCTTGTACTGCATTCGAAATTGCTAGTAAAAGTATTGGTGTTTGTATGCATGCGAGGTATAAAGAAATAATAAAATGTAAAAATGATGAAATAATTACTAGAAGGTAACTAATTGTGTGGTAAAATTGTTTTTATCAAACTTACACAATTTACTAATATTCTTGTTTTTTTTACAGTTGTGATAGAGTGGCTTGGCTAGAAGAATTATCATTTTTGAAATTTGAAGGATTTATGTTTGTTTTATCTATGATATCATGTGTAACTGTTTTCTGGCGAGAAAACGTACTGAGAAAGAGAATTATCCGTAAAGTTGCCCGACAACTCAGATCAAGTGTATAGTATTGGTTACTAAAATAATTGCATACATTATTATTATTGAATCATATACTCTATTGAAGGTTTAAAATCTTTTTTATAATGGCTGAAATTTTTCTAAAAATTTACTCTACATCCGACTACTCTGATGTTCCAATTGAAACTTGTGTGGTTCTTTTTGTTATAAAATACTGCAATGCACCATTAAAAATTACACTTGTACGTACTGAAAAGCAACTAGAAGACCAAAGTTATTCTGTAAATATTTCAGATTTTTCCTATACTGTTTTAGACATGTTTGAACTTCCAGTAAATGCAGAATCTTGTGAATTACCAAATTTAATATTAAATCAGTCAAGTTGTATTGCAGGTCTTTGTGCATGTCTACGACAAATCATAAAGCTTGCAAGTCAAAGTAACGTACAACATTGGTGTCATAATTTATTAGGTTTTAAAGACTCTTGTCTTTTAGCATGTGCAGAAACAAGTACTTGGACAAAGTTTTGTGAAATTGATTTAATATCAACATTAAAACAATTTACAAAGGATCCATATACTTCAGAACTTCCACCAAATATTGTTCGTTTTGAGGCACATATGGCACAACCAGTTCGTCTACATAATATTAAAAAATATACAACATCTAAAAAATTTATTTTAGAAAATTTGATTTTAAAAGATGAGTGTAATTCAACTTTAGAACATTGCTATGCGGAAGGATCATTCATGACATTGGCTGATTTAATTATTTTCATCTGTTTTCATATTCTTTTTATGTTTCTAGAAAAAGAGAAACTATTTAAATTATTACCACTCACTGGAAAGTGGTATAATAGAATTCGAGAAACTGAAAGAATAGAAAAATGTCTAAACATTTTCCCTCGAGAAATTAAAAATATTTCGGCTACAGATTATTTACCACCAATACTTTCCGATCATCAAAGTCTTTATAAAAGTGATGCTAAACGGTATAAACCAAAAAGTAAATGGTTCACAAAACAAGAAGATGTTGAAAAGTCATTGGAATTATCTAGAAAAATAATTATCAATTCGAAATTTACATCTGTAACTGACTTGAATGATTTTCAAATAGATTGGAATAAAATACCTGCAGAAGCAACACCAGAAGGTGGTTTGTTACCTTTAAAACGGTTACAAAAGAAATTTCATCAATTAGAAAATTTGTGTAAACCAGTCATCAAATTAGCATCACCCGGTGATGTTATTGTTGATTTTTGCTCTGGAAGTGGACATTTAGGTATTTTGGTTGCTTATTTATTACCTCAATGCACAATAGTCTTATTAGAAAATAAAGAAATTTCACTCAATCGATCTAAAGAACGAGTAAAAAAATTGAAAATGACAAATATAAAATTTTTTCAATGTAACATAGATTACTTTAAAGGCTCTTTCAATATAGGAATGTCACTTCATGCCTGTGGAGTAGCAACAGATTTAGTAATTCAACATTGTCTTCGCCAAAGTGCAATCTTTGTAAGCTGTCCATGTTGTTATGGATCAATTCAAGATTGTCATCATATAACATATCCTCGTAGTAATATTTTTAAAAGTAAAATTAATCTGCGAGATTACTTAATTTTATGTCATGCTGCAGATCAGACTCATGATGAAAAAAATATTAAGACTAAACAAGGATATGATTGCATGTTTATTATTGATACTGATAGAAAATTGCAAGCTGAACAGTACAATTATACTGTTTATTTAACTAAATTAACTCCAGAAACGTGTACTCCAAAAAACCATTTATTAATTGGAGTACCAAAGAATAAATCAGTAAATATTTATTAAAAATTAGTTATCGATTAATTATTATTTTAATGCAAAAGTATGAATTTTTATAATTTTTAGATTATTGTTAATTATAATGATTTTTATGGAATTTTCATGATTAATAATCATAATATTAATAATAATTGTATCAAAAAATTTCTATTAGTAAAAGAAAAAAATTATAGAAAATTTATTTCACAATTTTATCTTGAAAATAAAAATTTTTCTATAATTATTAATTGTCATGTTCTAATGAGTTATCATTTAAACAAAACTATTTCTAATGTTTTCTGACATCAGAACTACTTATTCATGTAATAAAGTACATCATTTATATTAATCATTGATTTTGCAAGATTATTTCTACTTTAAGCCCTTTAATAAATTAAAAGTTTTCTTTACTAATTTTTTATATAAATCATTAAAAAATTTACCGCCAATTTGAAAGACCACACAAATAATATTATACTGGGATAATTCAAAATGCATTTTTAATGATATAATTATACTCTCTATTTACAAAAACATAATCGCTTAAACATAACCACAAGGTACATTAGCTGTATTTGATTGATTATTTTTTTCTGTTTTTATATCAAGCATTAAAACATTGATGATAATGTTATCACCGTTAATATTTTTTTTAAACAAACACTTTTTATCCGTCAATAATTTAATAAATTAAAAATCTTCAACTTCAATGCTAACTACAACTATAGTATCATTGCGGTCATGAGAATAATTTATTAGTAATACATCATACACCATTTCTATACTGGTATTCAATTATATCATAGGCAAAATCCACTGCAATTTTAATTTAAACAAAATTATCCAATATTTTGTTGTTTCAAGTGAGAATCAAAAAAAAAACTTGTTTATAATAATTTTTTATCTATCTCAAAGTGTACATGATTGTATATTTTTTCTATTCTATATATAAAATAATTTAAATCAACTATCTAATAACAATACATTTAGAAAAATGATAAATTATCATACCGCACATGAAAACAATTCAAAAAAAAATTATAAATATTTCAAATAGTTCCTAATAATGCAGTAGTAATTGGCCTTTATCAACCAATGAGATTAATCAAAAAACACTTTTATTATAGTTGACTAATTTTTCTATAATAGTAAATACATCAAATTAAAATAGACAATTACGTTCCGAAGTTGAAAAATAAAATCTATCAGTAAAAATTCGTAGCAATAATGAAATTTTAATAAAAAATGTCTAAAACTTAAAAATTTTATAAAGAATTGGAGTTACTAATTAATTATTCGAATCGATTATTTTAATACATGAATTGCGGTTAAAAAAATTTATAAAGAATTTAACTATTAATTTTTTTTTAATAATTACAAATTACTAATTTATATTTTATCATTAATCAAATGATTATTTATAAGACCATATTCGATTATTTCATAAAAGTAAAATTGAGTTTATTAATTATTTAAATGTCTGAGAAACAAATCATCTCTTTATTATATATGTATATATGCAATTGAAATTATATTTTAACCTATTTGTTTAATACTAGCTATAAAATTACTCGTTGAAATAAAAAAAAAAGCAGCACTGTTTTTGATAATTATTTATATTTATAAATAATTTATTTTGATATAAAATAATAATACAATAAACAACAATTCTATCATTTTTCATGACTTCTTGTAAATTCTGCATAAATGTCAATGCTGTTTTTTTTTTGTTAAGAAATTATTTTAATATCCACTATTATTTTAATTATCTTTTTTTTTCATTTCTTCTTACTTCTATTCGTTAAATTCTTTTCCTAATAAAAAATGTATTATGATAAAATCTTTGTCTATTCGTACTTAATAAAATAATTTTCTAATTACAAGAACTCAAATTTCATGTAAATAATTTTATTATGAATGAGTATCATCGAATCAATTATCTATGAAAATTATAGGCAAAATTTAATTGAAATTAGTATTTAATTGAATACGAATCGATGTTCTATCAAAATGACAAAATATTTGTAAATTTGTGACTTATTTATATTTTGCGATAAAATCACAAAATTTTTTTATATTATCATTTTTTTCAAATTATTATTTCAATTTTATATTTACCTTAAATTTTTGCTTTAATTGTCCTATTACTCAATAACAGGCTTTGATAAACTTGATGTTCCCACAATCGATATAGCTTTAAAAAATTACCGATGTATTTGTTAATATATTGAACTAACTTGATGAGATTTATGGGTTTTTAATCAAATATATGATGTCCACAATCTAAGATGTCATATTCAGAAACTCATTAATTCATCAATATATTAATTTATAAGTAACTTATTAGTAAAGGTGTATCATTCTATTTATTAAAACTATGGAATTGATCACGATTCGCCATTACCACTGTCATCACCATCTTCATAATCACTCACGCTTTGTTGATCATTTTCATTATCTTCATCATCATTATCATCATCATCATCATCATCAAGACCATATTCTTCGTCATAAAAATCCGTCATATCTAAGGGCTGCTCAGCAGGCCTTGCACGGGTTTTTATACAATAATCTTCAAGGGTAACTGGAACAACAATTCCCTCTTTTTCAGCTTCCATTTTTGCTGCTTGAGCTTGTTTCCTTGTAATTATAAAAGGCAAGTTCGACTACTGGTGTCTTATTTTCATTTGATAAATATAAACATAATTGTTTAATTTCTTACCGAATAATATTTTCATATTCTTTATCTCGTCCTTTGGAATCACGCCAACGTCGGTACATTACTGAAGCATCAACATTTGCTGGACTGTATGTATTGGGTTCATTCAAGAGTGAAATGACCGATAGTAAAATCGTCCTAATAAGAAAGCATCAAGATAGATACAAATGTATTATGATATTTAAATTTTATTGAATAAATTTTTAAAATTTTTCTTTTATATTTTTTTATTATTGATTAAGTATATTGTTAACTCACCTAACGTTTTGAGTTGGATTCCACCTCTCACAAGGCAGTTCACCACTTTGTGGATCATCAACTGGTGGATGTAAAATTGAAATACACAAATCTCCATTCTATAAAGAAAAAATTGATTAACATTTTTATACTTTTCTGTTTAAATGTAATATTTATTACTATGCTTATTTATCAATAAGTTAGTTTATATTATTGTTTTATAATTGGACTTTATTTATTTTCAGGGATAAATAAAAGACATTGAAACTTGTGTACTGGATACCACATTTAGAAGATTCTGAAGGAAATTGAAAAAGAGTAAATGGCTATTTGCCAATATTTTCTTGCATTGCGTCAGTCTTTATCTCATTTATAAAAAAACCTTCAACTTGGAGTGCAATCTACATACATTCTTTTTTGAATTTCTTTGTGCAGTTTAATACAATGATAAAAATAAACTTATTGTAGAAACTCAATTATAATTAGCTGGATATTATTTTGCTAATTGTATCAAAAGATTCTGAAAGTAAATTTTTTAATCTTTAAAAGACTATTTTAATTGAATTTTTTTAAGGAAAATTGGTGTTCGAAATGATAAAGTGACTCAATGTATTCTTTGTTCGTGATATTTTTGTTTTCATGATAATAAAATGTTTGTAAATTTACATATCTCAACAAATATAAAAAACAGTATTATTTGATAGTATTACATTGCATATTTAGTTCAATATTATGTAAAGCACGCGCAAATAGAAACAACAGAGAAAAAGGGAAATGACAGATGTAGACAAAGAAGGTACTAACAGGTAAAATCGATAATTCTCATGTGTGCTCACCTCGTAAACATTTGGGTGCCAGACTTTTGTCATAAAGCGAATACTCGGTGGACTATATGGATAATCTGGTGGAAACTTCATATGTGCCTATGAAAAATTGAATTGTCCATTAGATTTTATTGCCATTGTCAAATACTTATTAATTTTTCTTAATTAATTATTGATAAAATATTGACATTGATATTACAAAGAAAAATGGATAAATAAAAGAATAGATGTCTATGAAACATAGTACTCTACGCGACAATCAAAACCGGTACAGCATCATTATATTGATCGCTGACCTGCTCATGGCCCAAATATTTGAGCCATTTTTTGGGGCATTTTCTGAACTTCATTATTAAGTAAACAATTTAATTAAAACCTACTTTAAAAAACCATTTTGTAAATTGTAGTTTTCTTCTCTTTTACATTTTTTTAAACTTTTTTCAGAATACATTACGTTAATATTACTCTATTATTCATTTGATATGATCGTTTTAAGTTTATCTTCAATCTTATATAAAGTGAAATTATTTTTATCTATACAAGAGATTTCTCACCTTTTCTTTTATTTTACTTATTTTAAACACATTTTACACTTAATTTAAAGGCAAATACGTAAATATAATCAACTAAGTTTGTATATCAACAATGATTAAAAAAAGATATAACAAGTTAAATTATATTATTTCCAACTTGAGGATCAGTAAAATAATTATTACCAGTGAATTCATTATTATATTTTAAATGGAAAAATATCTATTTGAAGAATGAGAACACGGTGCACTTAGTGTACCAGCGTAAGTAGATATCGAAACAGTGTCCTAGCGGAAATTGTGTAACGCATTTTGTTATTCAGAACAGTTAATTATCTGATACAAAATAGTAAATAAATCATTAATTTCATTTCCGTCATTTTTATATGGTAAAATTACTTTTCTTTATTATTAAAAAATAATTCAAAATTAAAATGATAACAATAATAAGGATTTACAAATTCAGTAAATTTTTATTATCATATGAATAATTAATTTTCGTTTATGTTGCAACAATTTATTTACAACATTTACATATGCTAATTAATTGAGACTTTTTTTACTTTGTTATCTTTTATGGAGAAAATATTTTAATAAAATAATAACAATTGTTCAATCATTACCATATTTATATCAAATATAACATATAATTTTAAGCATCAATTTCACTTATAGCATAGTAATGTTTACAAAATAACATCAATTAGTAGCTTATATCTATTTAGATATAAAAACAATTATCTTCTCATCATATATTAAATACTGAATTAATGTATTAAACATTTAAGTATATAAATTATCCATTTCATCGCAATTTTATCATGATTTACTTCAGCGTTTCTTTTATTTTTTTTAATTTGTAAACATCTCTTCATTTAATTCAATTTTTCATTTGATACTTTCATTTTCCATTAAATTTTATTTAACATAAAATTATATAACAATTGAATATTATAAAATAACAAATAAAATATTTAAAGAATCTTACACAATTATTCTTGACATACATAATTATTTTTATGAATTTGAAAAGATATTAAAGAGTTAATTAATACACAGAAATTTATAATAAATATTTATTAAAAAATTTTTAATGAAATGTCAATGGAACCATAGTGATTTAATTTTCAAATTTTATCTATTGTATGATTATGAGCAATTGACTCATAACAATTAAAGTATCTATATAAAAACATAACATAAAAAATCATGTAAAAAACCAAATACACAATATAAATAAATTAATCAAATAATACCTTAAAATATCCACCCTGATAAAGAGTATCGGGAGGGCCAAATATTGCAACCTCCCATTCAAACATGTTGTCCTCATTAACAAGTTTTACACGGAAACCTTCAACTGGTTCTTCTTGAAGACTTTTGTATTCCAAAGCGAGTGCACGTAATGCGCTGCTTGTTGGTTGTGCCATAATTTTCACAGGATACTTTCAAAATCACAAAAACACTTTACTAAGTAACTGCAATCGATGTAAAATTAATGCCTGCAGCTGTTATTTTTTATCGTCTTCAAGTGTTCACAACTACGCTTTTGCGCAATGGCGGAAATTGATTTCTAGCTTATTAAAAATATTAATAAAGTATTTGTTTTTATTCAAAAAATAAATTAACTAATAAGTAAATATTCAGTTAACATTCAATTTATCGTTCACATACAGCTGAAGAATCAACAATAAACATGCACTTGATGTAGATAAACCATCGAATCACAGTTACAACGAAACAGCTGACATACAATGTATAATTTTGTTCTTTCCTGCATTATAAGCATTTGGAATGCGCATGCGTCTGTATGTGTATTTTTTTGTAAGAAGAGAGAAATAACATCTATCTGAGAATAGAAACATACAACATATGTATGTATAATACATATAAAAAATTTAAACTTTACTTTTAAAGCTTAATAAGATACTGGTAAATCCTTTAAGAATTATATTGGCTATGTAAGTAGAATCTGTCGTTGTAAATCAAGTAATATCTGTGATGAATTGTGAGAATGTATGTATTTTAATTTAAATGAATGTAAATATGTAATCCTTGGAAAGTTACATATTTTAAATATAGCCGGGTTAAAAAATACACCAGTGCCATCTCACCTTCGTTAATGGGCATCAATTTATTTCATTGTATTATGTCCATGGAGAAGACTTCTCTCTGGATATGTAACATCTATCCATAAAGCAGATTAATTTAGTTCGGTATTTTTGTTTATATCCGAACAGATAGCATTCGCAAAAAGCAAGTGCAAATCAAATTAATTGAATGACATAAACAATTACACACATTGTTCCATTTGAAGTTATTTTAATCATATGTAAAAAAGAATTTCAAAAATTTCTAATTTATTTTTTACTAATTAATAAAGATTTCCAATTTTTAAAAGTACATTGATAACAATACAATGGATACTGATCAATTGATGTGTCCACAATTGTTATCAAACGAAACACTAGAAAAAATACTTCAAGAAGTGAGTATTTATAGAATACCAGTTAAAAACAAAAATTAAATTTTATAATCAGAAGTAAAATAATTTTTAAAATTATTATTATTTTATCGAGTCAACTGTATCGTTATAGTTCATTTTTCAACGAAATTCATAAAAAATAATAATGCAAAAAAATTATTTATTAATGATAATGTGTTTACCTTTTATTTCATTTTTTTTTTAAATTTAAATAATTTGCAATCTATCTTTATTTTTATTGAATTCCAAAAACAATTATTTAATAATAATTCATTCATCTTATCATTGTGATTTTATCTTTCTCTTAGAATGTTCTTAATTCGATAAAGTCAAAATATATTCACTAAAGAAGCAATAACATTTATCTTTAACTTGATAAAAAGTTTATGATTTAATATCCTTATCAGTTTATGTTTGCAATTCAAGGTTACCCATATAAAAATTAATTGTTAGTTATAGAATATTTCTCATAGTACAGAATAAATAAAACTTATTAATTAATTGCATTAATATGTTTTAGCGATGTATTGAAGTACCCGGAGGCATGCAGTCTTTTGATAAAGATAAACTTATCGATATTTACAATAGAATAGTATTACCTTTTTCACAAAGAAAATATAACAATAAACGACTTTTAGAAAAACGCTTGAATCATCTGAGATTATCTAGAAAAGTAAAAACTATCAATTATGATAAAATTGAAAATTTAAGGTAATTCATATACATATCATAGGTATTTTTATTATTACTATAATTACTAATAATAAACATTTTGTTTTAAGTAAAAATGATGTAAAAAATCTAGAAACAAATAATGAAGAAAAGGAAAGTATCAACAATAATCTCGAAAGTAGTCAAGTAAACCCTGCTATTAATAATAGTGATAATCTACAGTCATTGAATAAAAAAATTCGTTTATCTGATTCTACTCCAAAATCAGTAGATGTTGAAGAACAATCAAACGAACAAAAAAGAAAGTCTAATGTACGTATTGCATTTATTACAACAATTTCTTTAAAATTAAATATTTTATATGTATTATTCGTATGAATAATCATTTTTTAGATGCCATTAAAAACTGACACCAAAAAACGACAGAAAATTACATGGCCTTAATTTTTAGCAGAGTGATTTTTTTTTTATTCTAGTTCTAAAACTTAACATTTTGAAAATATATTTCATAAACTCAATCATAATGAAACCAATTTTGGATATATTAAAACTGAATTTTTATTTGTGGAAACTCAACTATAAGAATATTACTCATTGTTATGATGACAATTGGTCATAATAATACATACCAATCTATTTTTGAATTATTGTAAGATTATTAATTGAACATAAGTATGTGATAACAATTAATATTATATTATTTTACGTTATTTCTCGTATAAAAATGATCAAATTTGTGAAAAAACATTGTATTTTTTTTTACCAGTTTTGTAGAAAGTGTAATATATTTTTAAAATATTTTCAATTAAATCTAAAATACATTGTAATTATTACATGTTTATTGATAACCAAAAGCCAAAAACTACCTTTCTCAAATTTCTAATTATTTGGAATTTATGCAAGTTGACCATTAAATTTTGAACATTTGTTTACTAAACTCTAAATTGTGTAATGAAGAACACATTATCTAATGTTAACTTAAAATATATGACAAAAAAATATATATATTCATTATTAATGTGAAATGCAATTAATTTTCAAGATGTCATAATTTATATTTTATTCTTCATAGTATTACAATAATAATTATATTAGTTTTAACAATAATTAAAAAATACATTACATCGAATTCTTATTTTAAACCTAAATTTTTTAATTTTCTATTATTTTCTCTTATTAAAATCGTTAAGCCAGTGCTCGAACAAGCATTAATTCTAATTATCATTATGACAAATACAATTTTTCGTATTCTTGTAAATTATTATATTTTTTTTAATCTCTTATTTCTAACTTGTTTTTAACGGAATTTTATAAAATTATTTATTATTTAAATTAGAGTAGATTATAGTGTTATTTGTATAGAGAAAATTTTACAATACGAAGTTTTTAAAAATAACATTTTATAGAAAAAAATAATTACAGTTTAAAAGTTTACAGCACAACTTATTTGTATAATGATGTATTGCAAATATATATAATGGCACAAAATTACAAGATAATATGGAAGCATTTAATTGTATCAACAGAGAAATCATACTATTAATTCTTAAATTCTAAATAAGACTTAATAGAAATATTTTTCAACTTAAAACTGTACACATTACTTATTCAAAATTATAAAAGTGTAAGGGCAAATTACAAAATATTGGCGAGATGAATTAAGGAAGATTTAATACATTATTTACTAATTTATATTTATTTCAATAATTAACTTTTCATTATCAATCGATAATGCATTGTAAGTACATAAATATTCGTCTTGTCATATAATTATTGATGAGGTTTTCAAAACTTTTCGTAGTTCAATATTCATAGTAATGGTAAAAAAAAAGTAAAATAATAATAAGCAAATACCAACTGCGTCTTGTATATTCAGTTCATTTTTATATTTCCAAATATTATTTATCACTTTTTTACGCATAATTTCACTACTTATACTTATATAGTTGCGAAAACTGATATATTCTGTCGAGTTAGACTAGACTTGGGCCGAAATGACTTAATCATGATCGTAACTATTTCAGTTACTTATTGTACTCAGCCCTAGTTTAATTTTTTGTTCAATCTTATTTTATTGACTGTAAAAGGATGACACTAAGGATGAATGAAGTGTGTTACACAGATGTTTCGTGGTCAGTCTCTTCAATTCTTCCCAATCGCCAGGCATTTGGATCACCAGATGCTATTGATATCATAAAAAATAAATAAATAATTGAGATAACATTTGTAGAAAAAATTACTGTTTGAATTTATCGATTCTTATTAAAAGTTATTCCTTCAAATCTATTTCCGAATTTTTGTTGTATATAAGTTAATTTTTTCAATGTATAACATCAATTCTAAGTATATAATTATTAGCCAAACTTACCACAATAATAATATCTAATCCTAGGCAAACCTGTATAAATAAAAAAGAATATCAGTCGAGCATCTGCTCATATAGTTTTAATAGCTACACACTAAAAAGTGTTACTTCAATTATTACTTTCTATCATTAGTCTTATATTCAATTAATAAAATCATCAACTAATTTATACATTACTAAATTTGTAAATTTCATACAAACTGATGCCTATAATTAATTACGTCTATACATAAATAAACAATGGTTGAATTTATAAAATATAATACTAATTATAATGGTACAAAATCTAATTTATGGTGATAATGTTATGTAATGAATACCACTCTTGATATCATAATATATCATTTTGCATGATAAACATTGTAATAAAAATTTGGATGATTGTATGTACATTATGAAATTAAAAAAAAAAAATAGTAAAATTAAATAGATTTAAAAGTTTATACACATCTTTGAAAGATCAAAAATAAGCTAAAGATAATGAAGATAAAAAACAAAAGTGATGATATTTAAAAATAAAAAATAATAATAATCAATCGAATTGCTTGAGATGAGGAGAGTGGTGATAGAAAGGATTTTATATAAATTTGCAAAAAATAAATAGATTGATAAAATACATATGTATATATTGATCACATGTAGACAAAAGCTAATAAACAAATGTTTTTTTTTTTAAGTCGGTTAGTCGAATAATTATTTGGGTATGTTATGAACATTTTCAAAGTCTCATTCACTATACAATTTTTAATTAATCTACCTTTACCTTTTATTAATCAATGTAAGAATTATCAACTGATAAAAGGTAATTAGATATAAAAAAATTCAAATTCAACTTTAAAATGGTCTTTGTTTTATGAGAATAAATTATTCCATCAATGATACTATAATTAAGAATGATTTTTTTTCAATTTAGTAAATTTATCAATTAATTATAAATACGATTATTTTTTTGTTTATATCATTAAATTTATTTAATAAAAACAACAATACTATTTCCAATATTCAAATAATCCTAATCTTACAGTAAAACAATATTGTAATATTGTTGTATCATACCGTTATTGTGAAGAAGGCTAATTTTAAATTAATTGAATACACATATAAATAACAACAAAATAAAAAACAAACGTTGTTTTTATTACAGAGGAATGGAAAAACTCACCTGGAGATTATGACCGGGGAGAAAAGAACAAATGGAGTAACCCTTTGGCATTGGCGAACGTATTTTACACACAGCAGATGTGCACATTGATGTACCGAACATAAATCTGGATTAAGGATTGGTAATATTTGTACGTGAGGATTCTGACTCAGAGGAGTGGATATCAGTTTTGTCGGTATTAAGAGGGAGTATATAAGGCGCGTGTAGGTGGTTTAAGTGATGCAGTGCGTTGCTCAACACATCGGGGCTCGTATACAGCAGCGGCACTCTCTCCTCTACCCAAACCGAAACCAAAAAAATACCAACCAAATTATAAAGATGATAATGCATGACATGTCGAATTTACAATGATCTTTGAATTATTTCCAGATCTATTTTAACTGGTTGTTTCAATAGTGAAGAAGGTTGGATTGTGATCCAGTTTTTAATATGGTCTGTTCATTTATTTTGCGAGCGATAATTTAACAGAGTATAATGTGATTGAGTAAAAAAAAAGGTAGGATTATGGGTCACTTTTTGTTTTTACTCAATTACAATGTACTCTGTTAAATTATAGCTCGCAAAATAAACGAACGGACCATATTAAAGACTGGACCATAATCCTACCTTCTCCTCTAGTCAATTGTAATAATGAAATGATGGAAGATGCTATAAATGAGTTTTATAATAGTAGAAAAACTAATTTTAAAAAAAAATTTATGCCAAAATAAAGGTTTGGATGATCATTTTACTTGATTTTTGTACTAAATATCAAGCGGCATCTTAAAATTTATGTCTTATCAACGTGAATTACTGAAAAACTGAGCTTTTTGTACATAATTTATTATTTATTGAAAAAATGGGTAATTTTCTAACCAGTTTAAGTAATGTGCATAAAAAATGTACTTTTTAATATAGTAATATTAAGTACTCTATCAGAAAAATTACTTCAAAGCTAGTTGTATGATAACAATTTGTCTAATTAAAACATACTCACATTCATAAAAAACAAAAAAAAACTAGTATAAAAATTTATTAAAAAATTAAACATGCACTATTTAGTTATTTACATGAGCAAATATTATATAACAATATCTCAGATGAAAAATATCTGATAATTCTACGCCAAATTGCCAAAACATTATGATCATCATAATTTTTTATCTGAGTAAGATTTAGTGCATTTAAAGCCAAATATGTTAAAAACTAACAACATACAATAAATTGATTTAAAAACATGCAATACAGTAATGCAACTAATAATTAAAGAAAAATGATTGCGACAGATAAATTAAATGATTAATGGAAATTTACTTTGAGTAAGATGACGTTAAAAAATGTAATTTTTTATTATATTTAAGGAATCTAACGAAAAAAAAAAGAGTACACTATAATTTTCGAAAATAAATATTTTAGTGTACATTATCCTACATATTGTTTAGTAAACGGCATAAAGATAATTTATTTATATGATTATTTGATAAAACTAAATTAATTTATGGTAGTAGAAAACTATTTAACTAGTAAAAAAAAATTTTGTATTTACCTTGTAGCTGCCGACTTATTAAGGCCGTAATACCGTGATTATCACTAGATTTTTTAACAACAAAAAGTTTTGTATCTTGTTCATTTTCGAGATTTCCCATTCCACCAAATCCAACTATTTGTCCGTTTTGATTGTGGTGGCCACCAGCTGCCATAGTTTCACTCACCTAAAAAATAATAGACAATTAGAATTGTATTAAAATACATGAAACTTATTATTAAAATTATAATTTTTAATTAATACTATTCATTTAAATTCAATAAAAAATTTGCTTACTTGCATGAGTTTTTTTACCACATCTCTACCTAATATATGATCGAAGACTGCTTGTAAAAATTGATCACTCATGATACTTAATTTCAATTTATCTCTGTGCCAAAGCAATATTCTCGACTCCTCCATTGCCGTAATAGAAACCTGAACATGAATGTGATTCTTTTATTAACTACTTGAATAAACATAGTTCAATAATGTTTGAATAGATTGATAATTTACTTGAAAATATTCATCTGTTGATACTCCAAACCACTCTGGAGAATCAAGAAATTGATGAGGAAAAACTATATGCAATGCTCTTCCATTTTGTGACACAACCAATCTAAAAAAACAAATAAATTACTTTAATATCAATAATTAAATAAAAACATCAATTATTTTGACAAACTTACTTTCCCGATAATACTAAAGACAATGAATCAACTTTAGTAACTTTTTCTTGTGCATAAACTTCTTGATATTTTAACTGTCTTATAATTTTCATACAACTCAATATTTTTTTAAATTGATGTCTTGATACTCTAAGAGGTTGAAAAGTCGCCGCATAAACCTGAAATTACAAATGTCTGATAGTGAGTTTATTAACAAAAAAGAATAATTAATATAAACAAGAAAGTAATTTGTTTTAGTCCAATATGTTGAAATTAAATTAAAAGAAATTGTGTAATGAAAATATGAAGATAAATTATTATAATAATACTCATTTGTAAAACGATTTTCGGCAAGATTTTGCTATAAGGTATTTTTTTGGTTATTTAGATAATTTTGGAAATTTTTTTTTCGTCATGCCTGCGCGGAAAGTTCACTTTTCCATTGGAGAGGGGTTGAACTTTCCACTCAGGTATGACGAAAAATTATATTCAGCCCTAAGGAGGACAATTAGACAAGCTTAAACCACGTGTTTACCCCCCTCGCCTTCGGCTCGGGTTGTAATTTTACACGTGGTTTGAGCTAGTCTACTTTTCCTCCCTAGGTGTGAAATATACTATTTTTATTATAGAATTAGTTTCTATTTAACTCTTAATTAAATTTACCTCTTCGATTTCCTTTGAAAATTTAATCGGTCGTAGTCGATAAAGTAACGTGCATACATGAAAAAAATTAATAATAACAAAAAGCCCATTCCACATTGCAGCATCCATCCAACAAACTATCGTCCATCCCCACAAAGTAAGAAATGCACAACCGATTAATAAAGTGCATCTCAAATATAATACACCATGAATTCCACTTGGAGCAAGATGTGATAGCAAGAAGAAGGCATTGGCTAATTGAAAGTATATGTGATTTACATAAATTCCACGGTAGGGCTGGCAAGTAAAAGCTTCTGTTAAAAATGGTGGAGGCACTGTTGGTTGAAAAGGATATGCAGATTCATGGTCAACAACAGACAAACCTAAAACAAAATTAAAGATGTATATAAACAATACTTGCTTTGTCATTCAAACTGAAAATTAAAATTACCGTTGTTGATATCAGAAGTCATATTGCTGCATTTTTCACTATTGTCCGATGTCGGAAAAATTTCTTGAGCCACAACATTTTCAGGTAAATGAGAAGCTGCAGCATTAGTTATATCAGCATTGACACTGATATGACACCAACATAAAATAACAAAAGATGAAAGCGAAATACCACTGCCGTCTCGGCATTTTTTTAAATAGAAATACATCCACATCCCCGCATTAGGACTAATTAGCACTATCACTTTCTACAGTATTTTTTTCACTTGTTTTTGTATGTTTTTATTATTTTCTATCAACTTTTCATTTAATTTTTATAAATTTCAATTCAAGTAATGAGATTTATTTCTTTTTATCTACTTGCTATATCACTTATATAATATTTTTCAGTTAAATTATTTTGCAGACAATTCGCATAATTCCCAAGGACATCACTGATACAGGTGTTCATGATTTCACAGTAAATAACCCTAAAACATTTATTATCAAATTAAGCCGTTAATTTGAGTAATTTTTATGTAAAATACACTTAATTTCAAGATTAGTATATTTTATTGCAATAAATTAAAATAAAATAGATAATCATTTTAAATCAATGGAAATTAAACTTACGGATACAATCAGTAAAACATGGTTGGTTGCAAAGCAAACTCCAGTTCCATATTGTTTGCACCGTACAAGTTTTTTTTTTTTAATAAAATTTTTTTAAATAGAACAGTAAATTTTAATTATCTTGGAATTAAATATTATTCTTAACACCCCAATCAATGCATCATTGAATATTGAAGATTAGAGAAAGATCAATTACGTTACATTCGCAATAATTACTAGAATATAATTTTTTATTTATAAGATTAGTTACTGTATAAAGAATTAATTATAATAATAGGATGATAGAAATTTTTGTTAATAATTTAATTGTTATTGAAAATTTTTTATTTAAAATAAGAAAATAAAAATCCACGAATAGAAGAAGATACACAAGAAATCATGTCAAACTTAGCCGAAAAGTATTTACTTTGTAGAGGGCTAACTGTGTCGGTTTCTTGACTTCTTTCATGTATTGTATACCTATATCACCTGCATTCAGCAAAATATATATACAATGATTCCGCGATAGTTTGAATCGGAACATTTACAAGATAAATTGCGATTCCCGCTTGCTAGTATCGATTTTAAAGGCAACTTTTCATGTATTTTTATTGAAATACATTTAAAAAAATAAGTTTATTTAATTATCCATTATAATTATTAATATATCTACAAATTCTCTGTTTAAATATAAATTAACCATAAAAGTTAATAATCGAAATTTAATTCATATTATTATAAGCTTCAATAGACATTACCTGAATATTAAAAAATAATCATCTTTTAAATTTATGTTTTTACTTAATGATTTCTCTTTGTTAAATATAAAAAATTTTTCATAATTTTAACGTATTTTCTACAACATCTACTCATGATTTTTATCAGAAACAGCATTAATATGATCTTTGAAATTAAATGCAATATCTTTGAGCTGCTGAAGTCCATCTTCGAGTAATTTCAATGTCTCATTTTTAGTGAATTCATCTTCAGAGCTAAGTAATTTCAATACCTGATCTAAAAAAGAAACATTTTTTAAATAATATTTACTATAACAATAAATATTAATATAAAATAATTGTTCAAATAATATTACCATGGTATTGCATGAGTTTAGTAAAGGTATCAGGTTTTATATAATCTTGAAGAAATGTCAGAATAATTGAAACATGTCTTCCAGATATATGTAAAGCAGTTTGAGTAGCAGCTGTAAATAAAATACTCGTAACTAGATGAAGGGCTAAAGGAGGATCTTTTATTTCACTTAGCTGCTCCAATAAAGCTTGACGATGAGATAAAATCAACGATTTTTCTTTTTTTTTATCAAATTTTTTCAAAACTAAACAACAAGAAGCCATTGCTTCATCAATAGAATTCAAAAATTCTTCTACAGACCCTTTCGTAATGGCTACATGAACATTATTTAAAGGTTCCCGAACATCTACGGGCAAATCTTGGAGTGTTTTTAGTCTCATTTCATTATTAGTGTTGTTAAGACATTGAATGACGTTTTGTTGAGCTGCTAATTTTAGAATTTCATTGATAAAATCTGTACCTAATGTCTTCATCAAATATTTCGATAATAATAAAATCGATTCTTTATTTGAAAGACATTTAATCCCTTTTTCGAAAATTTTTATGTTATTTATTAGAAGATTTAATTTTTCTTCTATTTCTGATAAATTAGTGGTTTTATTAGTTTGAGAAAATTTCTCAGCAATTTGATATGCTAATTTATTTAATCTCTGATGAAAATAATTAATTAATTCATCACAAAGCTCTGGAATATCAGTCAAATTTTCATATATTTCTAATTGATTTTTTAAATCTTCGAAAGAAACCAAAATTAACTCAGATTTTTCCATTTTCACGGATTTCTCATCATCCGAATCCATTTCATGATTTTTCCCTTGGTTATACTTCTTTTTGACAGCTTTCATTTTAGTTTCACGTCCTTGAGTCCCACCGCCGGCTTTACCACCTACTGCTTTTTTCCTCCTTTCATCTTTTTTACTGTCCGTTCTTTTATTTTCAATATTTTTTGCTGCTGAATTTTTTAATTTACTTTCTATAATATATTGTAGCCACTTACCATTTTCTACAACTTCTTTTGCTTTCTTTTCAGCTAATGATTCTAAAGATTTATTTAATTTTTGTAGAAAAACATCAGAAACAATTACTGTAGTGGCAAAAATATAAAATTGTGTTTTAGAACGGTTTAAAGCTTCCTTCAAAAGAGTTTCAATATCTTCAGGTGTAAATACTGAAGGCATTAATGGATAAATATCAACAAATGAATTTGTTGCAATTACTTCTTCAATATTAGCATCAATTTGATCAATTATAGCGGTTCCTACAGCTACAGTTCGTAGTAATACGAAAGTATTTTGGGAAAAGTGACGTTTTATATAATTTTTTGGCTCTGATATTCCTAATCGAATTAACGCATCGTATTCTGAAACATAAATTTTTTTTTAAATAACAATAATTCATTTAAAATTATAGTGGAAATAGATGTTTAAATAATACCTATGTAGCCATTTTGTTTGTAGAAATTATCTACCCATTCAGATTGACATTTAGAATAAATTGTTGGCACATATATTCCACTAGTACTGTGTCTTCCTGATATTACACCAGGAAATTGCATCGATCCACTTAGACTATCAATAATTGCTGGAAGTAAATATGCTTATTGTAATAGATCAATTATAAATTATTTTTTAATTACTTACAAAAAAAAATTCGTTCAGGTATATTGCACTGTCCTAATATTGCAGACAATGGAGTAGGTTTAGTTATTGCAGATAAAGCGCCTCGAATTATAGCTCTATTTCTTGCTATAAATCCTTCAGTATAAAAGAATTTTGGGTCTTGTTGATCTTGCCGACCATAAATTGTTTTTCCAAGTGATTTTTCAATCAATGATTGCAAAAATTCTCCTGGTAAATCATAGTCAAGAGTTAAATCTGCAATGTTCATGAATCCTACTTGATTGAGTTTATCATTAATCTCTTGGACAATTTTCATCATATAAGTTTTATCAATTAGTTGGCCTAAAATTCTTTTAATTCCTTTATCATTTTTTTCAATTTCCGTTGCCACTTTAGATATTTGAGTAAAATCTACATTTAGAATTTTTGTCAATTCTACCAAGTTTATTCTTCCACCGTGTATATATAATTCATCTTTAATTTCTTTTTCCAAGTGTTGTGGAGTTACGTATTCTTTACCATCGATTGTAAAGATGACATTCAAGAGGTTGGCTTCGATTAATTTGGTAATGATTTCAACACAATTTCTTTCTGAAAGTCTACAATAATATTTCCAGATTAGTAGTGAATTTTTCAAACTACTTTTCAATCAAAAATTAAATTTTTTTTTATTTTAAAAAAAGCTTGACATGTACCTTTGTGAGCTAGTCGTTAGTTGAACTTTCTGAAAATCCGCTGCTAGCCTTTTTACCTCTTCCCAGTCGTGTAAACTCATTTTAATTAGTAAATAATTATAATCACAATTATATATTTAATGCTTTTTAATTATTTGTATGATTTTTTATATCATTAAATAGGCTATTAAAAAATAAATTATTTGATAAATTGAAAAACAGCTGGAACTTCTATAAAATTCTAAACCATACAAGACGTATACATAAGTCCAGAAGTCTATAATCCCGAATATTGCGACGAACTATACATTGCTACGAATATCCATTCTCCCGAAAAACCATCTCTTTACGCAGTTTTGATTATTACAACTATCGGTAATGTAGTTCTTAAGAAGCAAATTGGTATTATCATATGAATATAGAGCCGAGTACAGGCAAAACAAAAAACTTTTTTTTTTAATTTAAAATCAATTATATCTTGGAAACCATTATTTTCCGAAACTAATTTTAACTTTAATATAATTACAGCAATAATTAATACTTGTGTATTTTTTGTGTATATGTATTTTTATGTATGTATGTATTTTTGAACTCGGCAGTTTACTTTTTAATTATCGTTAATTTTAATTTAAATTTACTAACAACTTTATAGAAGCTTATCACAATCGTCTTTGATAATATTTTTATTTCCTTGGGGTCTTCTGATTTCATTACCAATTTGGAGACTCATTAATTCTAGTCTTGCAACACTTTACCTGGGCATACGAACGTGTTGCCAGTTCGCGAAGTCGCTGCTGAACCATCTGGTAGTCGCAATCCGGTAAGAAAACATTTAATTCATCATTGTTTCCACTTTTTCGCCAATATTTACCGCCAATAAATTCAACAACCAATCAATTAACGAATAAAAAGGCGACGGATATGACGCAATTCTGACGCCAATCCGCGAATAAATTTTTTAGAAAAGGAATGTTTTCAATTTCGTTAAAATTAAATTAATTAATGTTTCCTTTTTTTAAAACCATACATGTTAATAATTTGTTACTCTAAATTATCTGTAGACATGACATGGAAGTCAGTGATTAGTATAAAAATTTTAATTTCAATTTTTATATTTATTTTTAGATGTTGAAGAAAGAATAAAAATTCTAGAATCTAAAACAATGGCATTAAAGTGGTTCTGACAATAAAAATTTTTAAATGAAAATATAAATTATAATTTATTCATAAATATTAACATTAAAAAACATTTATTTACATTTATTACAGTTTAACTTTTTTCAGTTGAGCAAAGCAAATGACAAGAAACTATTTAAAAAAATGATAACATTTTGAATAAATAATATAAATATATTTCTATTATTTCAATTATTTAATATCATTCTGTTTTCTAGTTGATATTAATTGACTACAAAAATATATTTTATCAAATAATTAATTACAGTTATATACGATTTATCATTTTAGTAGGTTGATAGAACTATTCACTGGCTTTCTAAGAGTACGTCCATAATTAAATATATATAATAATTAAATTCATTACAATTTGCTAATTTTATAAAGCTGTGTGATTTAAAAAATTATAGAGAAAAAGATTCTCCACATCCACACGTACCTTTTATATTGGGATTATTAAAAACAAATTCAGAACTTAATTTATTTTCTACATAATCCATTTCTGTTCCTAAAAGGGAAAGTTGAGCTTTTTTGTCAATTATTACTCGTACTCCATCTTGAACTACTTCTTCATCTAGTTTTGATTTTTCAGTTGCATAATCTAATGTATAACTTAATCCATTGCATCCTTTTTGACGAACACCAATTTTGAGACCAATCTTTTTTGGAAGAAGGTATTTTAAATTATTATAAGATGTAAAAAGATATAATGTTTTAATGGAATTTTCAAAACGTGAAATAATGGAGTATTGATACAAATTAAAAAATATAATATAAATAAGTATCGATTTATATAATTGAGAATATAATTTTAGTTCAGTAATGCTATTGTGTAAATTTAAACAGCTCCAATGACCCATTAAGATTTATATTTCCCAAACATTAATTTTAATTTCATTTGTTAATTTGTACAATTAAATAATCAATGATAATATTAACATAAATACTTACAGCATCCGTCCTATCTTTTAAAATGTCTTTTATTTTATTTACTGCATTTGGAGTCTAAAAATAAAAATGTTTATGAATTATTGCTAAGATTCATTGTCGTAATATTACGATATGTGAGGTTATACTAGTCAAAACGATTACTTTATTTTTACAGGAAAGATAAAAATTAGTTAAGTGACAAATATGATTGCTTTTAAGCCATTAAATAATTTATTATTAGCCTAACTTACCAATACAAGAGCCGCTCGAGTAGGAATTATCCTTTTACCTTTAAGTGCACGAACAGTTGCAGATGCAATGTGAGACGCCATACTACGTTTAAATTTTTGTCAATATTTTGTATTGCCAAACTAGAAAAAGAGTTATCGCCCCACTACATATAATCTAAATACATATAATCACTATCATATAATTGACTAAATTTGTTATGAATATATATTATCTGTGTACTCCTAACGGAGATGTATTGAACTAATTGGTAGACACGTGAGAACTTGTACGTCTTTCGCATTAGATAGGAGATACTATTTATTGTGGTTTATTTTGATAAATTTAAGAGTAATAACAAACTATTCAACAACAAATAAATGTAAATTGTTTAGTATTGCAATCTTATACAGGTTAGTTTTAGTTTAAGATAAAAATATTTATTAGAGATGATGTAGAGCTTGAGCTAACCTCAATTTCTTAAATATAATAGTATATTTTTTTTTGTAATTTATAAGTTTTTTCAATTAAATTAGCTCAAGTTTTGTACATTGAAAGAGTTTATCTTAATTTAATTAAAGTGAAAATAATTTTTCTTTATTTTTTTGAAAAACAAAAAATTAGATTGTATCTAATAATTAAGTGTTTTTAGAATAAAAAATGTCTTCGTGGAAAAAAGCAGCAAAAACTGGCAAAAAAACTTATAATGAACGACACCAGCCGGATTCTCGAAAACATCTTGGACTTTTAGAGAAAAAAAAAGATTATAAATTAAGAGCTCAAGATTATAATGAAAAACAAGAAATTCTAAAACTTTTAAAAAAAAGGGTTTTAAATAAAAATCCAGATGAATTTTATTTCCATATGATTAATTCAAAAGTAAGAAAAGGAATTCATCGAGAAAAAGACAAGCCTAAGGAGTATACTGAAGAACAAATGAAACTCATGAAAACACAGGATCTCAAGTATATTGGCTTTAAAAGGAATCTTGAATATCGAGCGATTGAAAAAATGCAGAGTCAATTACATGCAATTGATGCAGCAAATAAAACTCCAAACAAACATATTTTTTTTGTTGATGGAAATGAAGAAGAAAAAAATTTTGATGTAGCAAAGAAATTACAAACACATTCAGCATTACTAGAACGAAAAACAAACAGATTACAACTTGATCGATTAAAAGAAATAAAATTGCCAGATATTGATGAAAAAACTCTTGCTAAAATGGAGCAACAAAAACATATGGCGTACACTGAACTTGAAAAGAGAATAAAAAGAGAAAAAGAATTGACATTAGTTCAACAAAAATTAGAAATAAAAAATGCATTAAAAAATAAATCTAAAAAACCGATACTTATAAAGGAAGGAACAAAAGATGCTCCACCTATCTACAAATGGAGTTTTCAAAGAAAAAAATAAATTATAATAATTAATTTAATAATTCTCAATAATTTTTTTTATTTTTATTATAAAGGTAATTATTCTAAAATATGGTATTGTATTATCTTAAAGTAGTTTAAAAAGTATTTTATAAGATAAAAAATGTTAATTGTCTTTTAAAATAATGTAAAAAATGAATACATTTCTATATTTCTGAATTAAACGTTGTGTGATGTAGTAGTATTTTCTAAAAATTCTATTGATGAATTTAATTTTACGGATTGTGTCGTATGATCATCGCTATTCAGATTAGAATCATTCGCGATTGTTGGTGTTGTTGTTAACATAATATCTAATAGTGTTTCAGTAGATTCATCTTTCATCACTTCAGTACCGGAAGAAAATGGTTTGGAAGTTGTTGAGAAACTTGTGTCATTAAAATTTAATTCATCAGAAAATAAATTTGCATAATTATCTGGAAAAATAATAGGAATTATCGAAATTATTGGAGTCAATGTCTTGTTCAAAGTTTCCGCAATTTTTTGAGTGCTCATGGAAATATTGTTGATTGTTGATATATTTTTAGAATTGATTGAACCGTTATTAGCTGTTGTTTTTTCCATTTCAGTGGTATCTTGAGTATTTTCAGTAATTAAGGAAGAATAATTAAAAGGTACAGGAGTACTGAAAATAATTGAAAACTGTTTAGTGGTGGCTAACATATTGGTGGTAGAGTTAGGAAGATTGTGAGAACTTATCGAAAGAGTATTTTCAAAATATGGTGTAAACTTTTTTGAATCCACAGTTGTTGAGGTGGTAATATTAATTGGATAATTTCGGAAATTCGTTTGATTTTTAGAATTCTCTGATGATTTTTTACAAGTCAATGTTGTAGTAGCAGTATATGGAAGATTTCTAGAGCTCATCATTACGCTAGAAGTGGAACTAGTATCAGCTGACATTGTAAGTGGAATATTTGAAGTACTTGTAGATATTGCAAGTGATCCTGGAAAGTTTGACGATGACATAACATTCATCATTGGAGATGTTGATAATGTTTTAAGAATTTCAGGAGTCATTTTTGTTTCACTTATATTCAATTTTGATATATTAATCGCTTCAGGTGTCATTGCTGATAATTGTGATTGGGTTTGTTTTGGTGGTGAAACACTTTGCATTGAAATGGTTTGATTTTCAAGTATACTTAATGGATTTATTACTCCACTTGTTAATCGATTAGGGTTATTGACAAGTAAACTATCAACTTCAGATCCCATTGGGGTAGAGATGCTTACACAGGTATAATTTATTTTCCAGTTTTGATTTTTCGTGGCTATTTCCAGACGAGGACAAGCTGTGATTGATCGAGGGAAGAGATTCAGTTCTAATATATTAAAACATATTATAGAGAATAAACTTTTTGGAATGAATGCACAAATTTTTAATGGTCGATAATCTAAAAAAAAATTTTTTTTAATCAATTTTAATTTCTTTTTTTTTTAATTTTTAATCTAAAAAAATAGTTGAATAATTACTTGTAACAGTCATAGATCTGATGGTATTTCCATCTAGAGTAATGTTCACATTTAATCCTTCTGGGCGATACATTAAATTACCACACACTAGAGCAAAATAATTATTGTTAATTTATGAGACGAATTTATTGAAATGAGAATAACTAAAAATACTTACGTTGTCCTAGAGATTTAGTAAAAAGCAATACAACAGACTCACAACAGCTACAAGACATTTCCATGTCACAATTACAAGATCGTTCATAAATCACATTCGATTTATAGAATAAAAAATGTTTAGTTTCATGAATATAACCATTTTGATTTATTAACTTATCACTTAATAAGTTTTTGATTTCTTTCGTTTGACCCAAACATGAATAAAATTGAAAAAAAATTAGTATGCTCCATAAAATTTTTTCATTATGAGCAATCATTATTCTGATAAATTGTTAAAAATATTAAAAAATAATAATATTTGGAGATAATGATAATATTATATATGCAAATACACTAAAAAAAAAAATAATAATTTGAATAAAGACGTTAGATTCTGACAACAGCTTTATATAAACTGACTGTCATTTACAATTGGTCGTTTTTTCCGCTCGTTGATCATCCGTAGGAAATGTTAATAATAGGACACCTATGATAAAAGCAAAAAATGCTTTCATTTAAGGGAAACTGAAGGTGAAAGTGGTTCAGGAACTGTGAACATAAAAATGTTATTTATTCATAAAAATTTAATATTACACATGACATTATCCTGAAGTGTCATAAAATATATTGATGCTTGGATATTTTGTATTTAAAATTTTGTAATCTTTACAATAAAATTTTAAACTACTTTCACCTATTATTAGGTCAAAAATGAATCTAAAACTATTGTTATTAATTTAGAATATTTACATTTAATAAATTAAAAAAATATACATAATCCGGGAAATGTATATAAAAAAAATAATAATTAAACATTTAATTAATAAAATAATTACTTAAAAGTCTAAACATACCTGTTATTAAATATTATTATTAAAACAATAATTCTTAAAATTAGTAATCATCATCATAATCATCATCGTCATCACCATCATCATCATCATCGTCATTGTCATCATCATAAGTGTCAGGTAAAAATTCAACTTCTCCAAGTCCAGTACCATCTTCTGGTTTGACAAGAGCAACTCCGTTAGCACCAAATCTCAGACAATCAAGACCCATCTAAAAGAAAATCTTTAATGTAAAAATTTGTTTATTGTTCTCATTCATATAATTTAATATATCTTGATAATATTGATAGGTAGTATCTATAAATAAATAATCCAGTACATTAATTCTGAAAAATTTTAAATATTCAAAATTGGATATTGTCTGCAACGAATGTTGCAAAATATTATGAAATTTTGAAAGAAATAGAATACTTAATTATTTTTAATCTCTCACTTTAAGTAGCGTAGTATCACCAAACTTGGCTTCTAAGTTGACGCAGAGATGAATATTTCGACCTTGAAAATAAATGTTATAAAATCTGACACAAGCTCTCACTCCAGGGATCCTTGGTAGGGGAATGCATATAGGTCTTGGATTTTTTCCGGAAATAGTTCGTGTATACATAACTCGACCATTTAATAAGATTTTAGCTGTGAAACTGAACTCATCTGGTTCATAGGTAACTTCTACACAAGCTTTTTGTTTCCAAGTATCATACAAAATTCGAGAACAACAAGAGCACAATCCACCACCACAAACACAAGCACTTGGCTTCACTTCTGTAGTCGAATTATTTAAACTAGTATTATTTGATTGTTTAAACGAACTGCGAAAGTTTATTTGATTAAACATTGGTTCTAAAGTCAAATTTAATTTTTTTTCCAATTCGTTGAAGCATTCAGTTTGGTGGATTAATAAAAAATAAATAAATACAAAATAAACTAGTTGAACATTATTGCCCATAATATTCAATGTTTTTATGGCCAGTTGATAAGTTTGTAAAAATAATTCGTTGATGAATTAAATGAATCTGAAGTGCTTTTAACAACGAACAGCACTCGACTGTTCTGAAAGGCTTAATGACCTCATTTTATGAAGAGAAATTTAGGTTTACCAGCGAAAGATTTTATATGATTATTGAGTGCTTTAATTACATTCTTAATCTTCTTTATTTTAATCATTTTCATTATTTTTCTAATCTTAACAACTGATTGATGGAAATGGAAACCATGAAATTAATTATCTTATAATATACCATTATTTGTTTTATTTAATTCAACAGTTTAACAAAAGAAAATTGGAAAAATAAAAAAGAATTGAAATTTCAGTTAAAATTATTGTTTAAGTGTACCAATATGTATTTCATCAAGAGTTAAATTAGTATAACTACTCGGATAAGAAGTTTCAATATTTTCTGGTTCAAATAAAACTTCATCATAAACTTCTGTAGTTGATAAATTGGAAATATTAAAAGCTGAAAAAATTGGATGTGGTTCAATAAAATTGAGATTTTGAGGTCTATTCCAACTTATTCCATCAGTGCCAATTTGAACACAATCAAAATGAAGAATAAATATTGGTTGCGTTGCTATTCTTGTTTCAAAGTCAATACATATATTTATCTTATAATCAAAAACACTTATACTATGAAGTCGAGCACAAAAATCTATGATAGGAATAAAATATAAAGGTACACAAAGAGGTGGTGGATTTTTACCTAGAATAAAAAATTTTGTTATATTTAACCACATTTGTATAAAAGTAATTATAAAATGATGAAAATTTTACCTGTAACTCTTTGTTTTATGACTTCTTGATCATCAATGTGAATAATAAAATCAACAGCAAATTCTTCAGGTACAATAGTAATATTGGTACAAACTTTTCTATCAAAGTTTAATAAATTTAATCTGATTCCAGCACAACATCCACATGTTAAACCATTGCAATTACATCCATTAAAATTAGATATGAATCGTAGAGGGTATCCTGGTAACTTTTCAGAATCATTGGTTTGAATTTTCAATGATTCAGAATTTTTCAAATTGTAATAGATAGAATTAGTTGGTCTAAAATCTTTAAAAAAAAATTAATTTGATATAATAGTGAGCATATAAAGCATAAATTAAAATAAAATAGTAGCTGATAAAAAACTTAAATTAATCAAAAATATAAAAAATATGTAATTCAAATATATTTAACCCAAAACGTTTTATAAAATTCAAACACTACAAACTAGTTTATGCTACTTTTAATAATTGATTGTTCCGAAATGATAATTCTTATTGACATTATGAATAATCAAATTTTATGTTATAACTTACGTGCGAAGGTTTTGATAGAATCATTTATACAAATGGTTTCAATTGAACAAGAAAATGGAGACACAAATATTAACACAATTAACAACCATAAAAAGATATTATTAACTTTGAAAAAAAACGATGATAAACTCCAAACAGTCATAGCTTAATAAAAAATGATATAAATGTAACAGAATTTTTTACTCTGTGCTGTCAACAGCAGAGTTGACTAGTAAAGAAGGATTAAAATATATTGAAATTAGCACATGTTCAATGCAAAAAAACTTTCTCGAGAAAGTTTAAGTCTGTTCTCGAAGACAGAAATGTTTTTTATATATTTTTTGTATAATATATATAGAAAGTTATTAAATATTTTTCAATAATATCGATAAATGATAATGAAAAATCATTAGAGATAGAAATTTTTATTGAAGACAATAATAAATAAATTATTTATGTAAAAAATTTATTTTGTTCTTTGAAAATTGTTTTGGAAACTCACTAAAAACCAATAAATTTAAAGAAATACTAATGACGTTAGGTCATTAATTTGAATAGATATTAAAATCAACAAGTTGGTTATAAAATTGCAAATGAAATAATCAAATATTATTTTTTAAACACTTTATTATTATAATAATTCAAAGTTCATAATTTATATAAATATAAATATCATTACTTTAAATACATAAAATATAAATTATTATACACATATAAATATTATTCATATACATTTTACAAAGAGGTAGAACACCATAAAAAATGTCAATTTCAATAAAAGACATTGATTAACTATTGTTACAAAATAATAATTGAATCTTAATCAATTTTAATATGGTGGTATTATTATTAGAAAAATCTTATTATTTAATATTAATGATTTCTATAAACATAAAATAAATAAATTGAATTGTAGAAAAAATTTTATTTATTGCAGTCTCAAAATTTTACTTTGTCTTTTTCTACTTTTTCTTTCTTTCAAATTTCGTGATAAAAGATCATCATCATAATCTGAATCTTCATCGTTTGGTTTTTTAGTTGTGCTACGGTTTCGATGAACTTTTTTTGTTTTTCCTTTTCCTTTTTTTTGTTCATCATCATCAGAAATCAAGGCTGAAATTATTTTAACGTCGTCGTCGTCATCATCTTCATCATCATCAACGACAATATCTTCTTCATCTTCATTCTCAATACTGGTATTTTCTTGGTGTTTTTCATCATCATGTTCTTCTTTATCATCATCTTTGTGTTCTTCTAAGTGGGTTTCTTTATTATTATCATCATCATCATCGTTGTCATCTAAACTAGTAGCACTCAAAAAATCATCATCATCGTTGTCATCTAAACTAGTAGCACTCAAAAAATCATCATCATCGTCATCGTTATCATTGTGACTATTTTCTATTTCATTATGTTGAGAATTGGGTTTTACACTTTCAAAAGGCTTACTGATTTCATTTTTTATGGCATTGACACTAGTTGACGTAATACTAGGTTTCTTTTCTTTTATACCAACTTTAATTTCATTAACAGTAAATGGTTTTTTCGATGGCATTATGTATTTAACATCGTTAGACTCTTCAGCAACAACTGAAAAATTTTCAGTGGAACTTGTTCCTATAGCTGCTTCAGTGACTTCAGAATCAGAGAGTGTAGATGTTTCGGTATTTTCATCGTGTAATTTATGTGTTGTTTCTTCTTCTGGTTTATCTAAATTTTCCGAGTTCTCTGAACTTGATGTAACGGTTTCCCCTTTAGAAGGTTTCAACGTTGGAACGATAGAGTGATTTTCTATAGTAGCAGGTAATTCTGTTGTAATTTTGTTGATCATTGGAATAGTGAAGGCTAAAAGAGGGGAAGATGTTGTAGTCTTTTTCTTTGAAGAATCATCATCATCCTCAAAATAATTCAAAATGGCACTAAATCCTAATGTATAGTCGTCATCATCATCATCATCGTCGTCATCATCATCATCATCTTCCGTTTGACTTATCGGTGTTGCTGTATTTTTCGATGGAGTATCATCATCTTCATCGTCATCATCATCATCATCATCCAATCCGAAAATATCATCATCGTCATCGCTTTCATCATTTTCAGCAGGTTTTACTTCAATTTCAGGTGGATATTCTTCCGCTGGACGAAGTTTAATACCATCAGAGCCAAATCTAAAGCAACTGACACGCATAGATGCTTCTAATTCAGAAGCTGATTGCAGTTCCAAACCAAGACATGCTTTAAAGTGATCATCATCCTCGCGTTCGATTGAGTAAATTCGACTACAGAATTTTGAATAACCACCGGGCATTGGAACACAAATGGCTCGTGCTTTTTTACCTAAAATAAATTCATTTAAAATTAAAATTAAAATCTATAATTGGTTTTAAATTTTAAATCTCTTACCATTAATTACAGTACTAGTTAAGATGTTGTCACCAAAGCTCAACTGAACAGCTAAATCATTTCTACCTCTGTATTGCAGAGAAACACATCCTGAAAATTTTCATCTCATATAAAATAATTTTATCTATATAAAAATTTTGTAATCTTAATAAAGATTGAAGAAATTTAGAAACTATCTCTTTTTTTCTACTAAATATAAGAAAGCAATTCAAGATATTCCCGTTAAAGACTAGCGTTTGGAACCGTAATCGAATATAATTAGAAGACAGTCAGTATAGTAGGTAACGGGAATCTACTATGATTCGGTTTTACAGTTATAAAAATTTTGGGGCATATATTTTATTTAATTCATTATAAAATATATAAAATATGTTACCTCGACGATTAGTAGAAACAAGAGAAATGTGAAACTCTCGACAGCAATTGCAAACATTTTGACTGCAAACACAGTACTTATTGACATTTTCGGTTGCTTGTTTCAGAGACATGATACTAATGCCTTGAAAATCTTGCTTATCTTGGCCATACGTTGATCTTATAAGTCGACGATTAATATCATCACGATCTAAGCACATTGAAAATAATTTTCTCATTATTATCAAAAATTATCATTAGATCAAGTATTAAAGACAAATATAATTTATAAAAAATGATTACCTATAATTCTTCCGTAAGCTGCAAATGCTATCAGCAAGCAAATTAGTAACAGTTCGAAGACCGTTGATAACTTCATTGTTTTCAATGAATATTAACAAAGAAATCTGAAAAAAGCAATTTTATGACAAAAACTATAAAAGAGTTGAGTTAGTGTACTGATGTATTCTAAGGATTCTTTGAATTTTTATTTTATCTTTACGATTATAACGAATTGACCTGAATTAAAGTCTAAGTTTAAGTAATTGTCTACCTTAAAAAAATTTCCTTTTTCTAAATGATTGTTACATTTTATAATGATGATTAAAAAAATATTATTATTGTAAAAAATTATGATTTAGATTTAGAATGATTACACGTGTACATTATTTAACTCAATTAAAAAAACAAAACACTATTCTTGAATTAAGTAAAATATGATTCACAATAATATTATCCGATTTTAATAATATTAATGATAATTTATATATGTGAAATTATACTAATTAAAACTATATATTTATATTTATTATAAAAAATGATCTAATTTAATACTTACAACTTTAGAAAAAAAACGAATGAAGAAAAAAAATGAACTAAGAGAGTAACGATTTGATTATCAATCTTCACAGATTTAAAACTCTTTTTCAACTGTTAATCTTACGAAGACCAATGTTCAACTGAAGATGCCGCCAACTCCCCACCCTTTGAGGTTACTTTAAAAGTCGGTCGACCCACCTCCAACAAACTTGACGTAAAAAATTATTAAGCATTCTAATGTACCTCTAGATAAATAACACCTTAAAGTTGTTAAAGCACCTGAGCATAAACTTTGAAAGTCGTTGACACTGAATTTTTTTTATCTAAATTTCACTTGTATGAAATGTTCTGATATAACAATAATATGTTAGTTCACGTGCTGAATTGACAATTACTTATTGTAATTAAATTTTTTATGTGTGAATTTATATATCTAAGTTGATATAATATAGTTTATCCACATTAATATGGAATTCAATAAATTAATCAAATATACAAAGACATAAAAAGATATTAGGAAATATTATCAAAATGAGTAAATAGATGAAGCTTCTTTTATATTAATATATTTGAAAATAGTGATGGAATTTCTTAGCATTTGGAGAGGCACAAACTACCTTTCTCTGGTCAGTGGGTCGAAGAAAGTAGTGGTTAGAAGCGGCTTACCTTGGCTAATGATCGTTAATCTCATACTGGAATCCAATGTCAGGAAAAGTATTGTTATTTTAGGACCGATCAGGTATTAATAGATGTATTTTTATTGAGTTTTTTTTATGACTAATAATTATAAATACAACGTTATCAATTATTTATTTATTCTCAGATTATTAAAATATAATAAAATAACAGTTATTAAAATGAAGCTCATGTAAAAAGTATTCATCAAATAGGAAAAAGTATTAACTTTCAAATGGCGTCATTGTTTTCAATATGCAAATAAGTTTTTATGCACCGTTATATGTAGCCTCGCTTGGATAAATAATATTAATGAAATACCTGATTTAAACTAGTTTTTGTTTAGTTTGATTGATATCTATTGGTATTTTTTAAAAATTAGTTTGTCGTTGAAACTTTAATTTTTAAAAGATACCTAAAGTAATGATAAACAATTGACTGTATCCAGATTCAATATTAAATAATTAAATAATAACAAATATATTATATATGTAAAATAAAGCAAATAAAATAACATAATCCAGGTAGAATAAAGCGGAGAGTGTAAAGACAATAGGTAATTTACGAAGAAAGAGTAATTTAAGAATGGGAATGTATACGTAGGAGTGTTGACTGCAAAGAAGAGAGAATATTGCGTTCATGGTAAGAGGGTCACCCGGTAACCTAAATGAGGTTCTTTGCCCGTATAGTAGTCTCCTATCCCTCGAACTTGTATCCTCATCCAACGACGCACTCCCCCCATCGGTTATCCGCCAATCCAGCCTCAACATTTCGTTTGGACAAACGATTGTAAGTATACGTGAAGAGCATGGCTGATGTTTGACCAGATTTAACGTTGCTCCTTCGCCAGGCAGGATCTCTTGTCATTTTTCTTCTTTCTTTCTTTCTCGTTTTTTCTCTTTTTATTATTTTCTTTCTATTTGACACTTCTGATACATAGTTGTCTCTGGTGAACGTTCAGGAGTGGCGCCGATACTCTTCGATTGTGGTATCTTTTCTCCCGGGAACGTTTGGACTGGACGATCGAGCAGTCGCATAAGAACATCCAGCCACGAGAATAATGGCAGTAAAGTTGTTACTCATCCTTTTGCTTGCAGTTGTTGCTGTCTCGTCTGCTGGAATACTCGGTAAGATTAACATTCTCTTTTAATTAATATTCAACTATTGTTTTCTAAACATAATAATTAGTAGTAATGTCATGCATGCATTCGCAACTTTCGTTATATCTTTTTAATTTTATTTGTTTTTTTAATTTTTTTCTCTTTTATTGTAAAAATTATAAAATTAATAAATATTATTATGATTAGTATTTTATACTGTATTTATCTTGAATGTTTAATAGAAACTTTATTATCATGGGATCTTCATGATACAGAAGCCAGATCATCAGTTTCTCAATCCAAATGCCTCTGCCAAACGTCTGGATGTTTATGTTGCGTTGATTTAAATTTAACATCGACCATTGATCTTGGAGGGCCAGCATGCGTTAACATTAAACAAAAGGAAGAAAATATTTCGTTAAATCTCAATTATGGTGATAATCCAGTGCACAATGCTACAATTAAAATTGGTACATGTTTTCATTCATTTTAATCATTATCATTCAAACATTTGTCATTCATATATTGATTTAATAAATAATCAATATGGATTCTTTTCTAGCTGATGCAGCTAACAAACCAACTTGTATGAATTTACTTGCTGATTTGGCTCAATTATGTGCCAAATTTACATCGATTAAAAACCAAGAACAATCTGGTTATGATGGATGTTTAGTGATTGAACCTGCTTTAATGCGTACACCACAAGCTACCTATGCTATTGGATGTTTTAACTTTCATCAGGGTATAGTTAGACAAATTCAAGGATTCCCGTGAGTAACAGTATTTTTTTTTATAACGATAATAATTTAAATTCAAAAAGTACAAAGTTTACTAATTTTTACTTAAAAAAAAAGCACAATTAAATAAATTTACATATCAAAATATTACAGTAAACTTATTCGAATGTAATGCTTATTTTTTAACAGTTATAATAAATGATTTCAGAGTGGAAAGCTCAACTGAAAATAATGACAGTACTCAAGAAGAAGACGAAGAGGATGAAGAAGATGATGATATGGGTATCAATCCAGGCGAATTACTAGCAGTATTTTCTGCAAGTGCTAAACAAGGCATTGCGCTTTTCTCCAAATGGCTCGACCTCAATCTCAATCCGAAAATGAATGTTTCCAACAGTAATAAGGACACCGTTCCGGTAGCTGCTACACGTCAAGAATCCACCAATTCTTCGTCATTTAGACATGCCCGCAATATGAATGAAAAACAGACTATGTCAGAGGAAAATAATGACGAAAGATTCAAACAAATTTTAAGTGCTCAAGATAATATTTTGAAAACATCTGAAAGAATTGGCCACTCATATAAAGCTCGAACTGATTACGTTTATGTCCAACAACCAATAGACCATGTTATTAACCAAAAAATTATCAATAACAACAGTAATAATCTTCCCATTGTTCCGAAAGAATCACGTAGAGGAGGTAGGGCATATAATATTCATCAACATATAAATGAAGTATGATTTTTAAGAGAACCATAATTATGTAAAATTTGATATTGTGAAAGAAAAAAATACACATTGGAATAAAGATAAATGAGGTCAAATTGTTTTTAATTACATTGATAGTAATAAAAGTTATTTTAATTATTAATAAAGTTACGTGATTTTTTAATAAAAAATATTTCTTATTAAAATGTAATTGAAAAAAAAAATATTTACCAATATCAAAAAATTTATCCCTCTTTATATTCATTCGGTATCATTTATTGTTATTTTTGAATTACCTTATTATTAGTCTTTGTTATTGAATTGTAATAATAAATTATTATTAAAAGTACTATAGATTATACTATCTTTATGTATCTATTTTTTGAATAATAAAACTTTATTAATATTACGCACCATTTTCATTGAATCATAAATTTTAATTCACCATATTTGAGAATACATAGAAAATATCATTTCAGATCATTTTGAATCGTATATTTTCAAAAATTGACAAATTAAATAAAAAATTTTGTTTTTTACTGATAATAAAAATTTTTTATTGTTCATTATAAAATACTTAATTTTTTAATACATTAATATCATGTAATATTAATATTTGTAATATATGTTCCAAATTTTAATTCCTTGATACTATTTCAAAAATATAAAAGACTTTTTATTTGTAAAAATTTCGTTGGAATGTCAGTTTAAATAATAATTATTTCATAAAATATGTGAATTCGACATTTAACTGCAGTGGAAGACGAAATATATATTGCTTTTGTTTTTGATACCACCAACAATTATCTGTTATAATTTATAAAGAATATATCATATAGTATTCCCTATTCAATGGACTGTTATTTATTTAACAAATATTTTACCAACCAATTTCATTCGTTTGAATTATTTTTATTATAAAGCAATAATTTTTTTAGTGGGCAGAAATGATGTACTTGTTCTTCGAATTATTTTTTTTATTTTTTATCAAGTTTCTATTTTGTTCAAACAAATACGCTCTTATTTGAATAAATTTTTCTAATTATAAGTTATTAGTAAAATATTTAATTGTTTATAGATATTTATGTTTTGATTATAATATTATTAAATTAAATAATGGTAAATGTATATATGTTAATGATACTTTAACAATGTTGTTGGTAATTTATTTAAAATGTCTATTCATATAAACAAAATAAAGCATCCGACTATTATAACCCTTATTATATAGAATATGCAATCTATCTTTTACATGAAAAATTTCTTTTAATTAACTAATCGTTCAACTGGCCATTTAAACAATAATTATTAAAATTTCAATTCGTAGAGCGAATCAAAATTGTATATTATAGATTGATTCACCTATCATCATTAAGGATATTCAAAAAATATATGTTCCAAAAGTATACGTTTTTTTCTTTAAATTAAGCAATTCATTATGTATAAATGTAATAAAAAAGTTTTAATACAATAAGATACTATCTTATACGATTATACTCTAATGATTTTTCGATGTTCTTTTATTTGAAAAATCTATTAAATGAGTGTTATATATTTTCTTATAAAATTTCAGCAATTTCTATCTCATAGTAAGTAGTGCATAGAAACAACAATAAAAATTGGTTGTTCAGACATCGAAACGTTATTTAGTTTAAAAAATTAAAAAATATTGACTCTTTTCTTACATATTTCTTACAATGATAGTTATTTATAAATTAAGTGATCAATCTTGTGCTATTTCATTATATCATACATAAGATTTAATCGAATGTAGGAATAATTTTTTCATTGTTGTGCCAGTTAAATGATTCAATTTTTGGATTATATTATGCACAATTCTAGTAGACTAGATACTAATAACCTTTTTTTTTTTGTTTTATAAAAAATAACAATTATAATGTATGAAAAATATTGGATTTTTCAGCATAATGATAATAAAAGTATTTTTGGATTTTATCTTTGGGTAATTTTTACAAATATAAAATTAAAAAATTCTCCATTTCATGAACTTTGGATTAATTAATGAACTTGACTGTTCTCAAACTATCATTTCTTTTTCAATAAATGATAATTGAAAGTTGATCTTTAATGTATATAACATTTGTTAAATAAATCGTAGTAACAACACTCATGTATTTTTTGAATTTTCGCAGTTGATTATTTCATGATTTTCTAAAATTTAATATAAATAAAAATACAACAAATATTTCTTTCAATATTTTCTAAAAGCATTATTAACTGTACTAAAAAATTTTTTTTTAATGTTGTATATAATTGTTGTCAATATTGTAAAGATATTGATTTATAAAAAATCATCATTATAACGTTGAAAAATCAATAACTCAATGAATAGAATGTCAAAAAGTCAACCAATAAATTTGTAAAGAAAAAAATTTGAATGAAATAAAATTTTTAACTTTAACAGGTAGATTACCTTTATAGAGAAAAAAGTTTTTCATAGTTATGTCAATCAATCATTTACTCTACAATTTCTCGCACACTAGAGTTCCCAGCACCAACGTTTTCTTTTTTCCTTTTTGTGACTCTTCGGCCTACATGTAGTACAACGTCGCCAGTTTTTATAGCTTTAAATTCTGCGATCGCCTCAGCATGAGTCATTCCATGCAAGGGCTTTGAATTTATCGATAGTATTTCATCTCCTGAGAAAAAAAAAATTGATAAAGTATAACAGAAAATAGTCAACTGATAGTACTGAAATTCTATCCCCTCCTCTTTTTCTTTTGTTATTCCTCTTTTTCTAACAATATACAATTAATATAAATTATTTACCTTCTTTAACCGTACCCGAATCAGCTGCTTGGCCATGAGGAAAAACAGTCTTCACATAAATCCCCATATTTCCTCTAGGACTATCAGTTCCTCCAACAATACTAAATCCAAGTCCTTTGTGTCCTGGACCCTTAGAAAAACGCGCAGTAAGAATAGTGAAAGATGCTGTATTTTTACCAGGTCTTGGTAGAGTACAAAACCGAGATTCTTCATTCTCAACTAATTCTTGAATATCTTCAAGTTCTGAATCAGAATTTAACCCTTCATCCGTTTCTTGACCTGCCTGCCATGGCTTTAAATTTTGTCTAGTTGATCCAGCAATATTGACAACACTTCGAGAACTTAATCTTACTTTAGATTTAATAGTTGAATTTTTATCTGTCCCTAAACTCGATGGACCTTGTTCGTTGGCAGTATTGTGATGATTCGAATTTACCATGTAGTTCGATACTTGACCACCAATTACAAAATCAGTGCTTCTTTTCCGTGATCTAACACGAGGAATGTGAATTTCATTAACTTCATCTGCAGAAGGAATTCGTTGATGCCTAGCATTTTTTTCAAATCTAATGTTTTCGTACGAATTATCGTTAGGACATGGACAGGACAAATTCGAGGTCTCTGAATCCGAGTAGACAACAGACCGACGTGGTCGATGATATCGAACATTTTGGTATGAATGATTACCATTATGTTCTGAATTACATCTCCGAAGAGTATCTGAAGAAGCTGTATTTTCGTAAATACATTCATCCTCACTTTCCTCACGTGTTTGGCCATGAATCCATGAAGTACAAAAGGTTCTTTCATTATCATTGGTTATATAGCACCGTGGAGAATTAGGAGCACTCACTTCTGCGAGTGTGGAGAGTTTTTCATTCAAAGCATACATAGATAATGAAGTGGGCTCAACGCTTGAATCATATTTGTCACTGGTTGAGCTTGAAAGGGGACTTGGAACATAGAAATTCGAAACATTATCCTTTGGTGGAAACACTTCAGACACACTTAAAGCCTTGCGTTTTCTTATACCAGCATTTATTTTACTCAATTTACTTCGCAATACGTTCTGAATATCTGCAATCCCTTTATTTGCTCCTGAAAGAAATATTTATGCTACTTAATTTTCTCTGTCTAAAATTTAAAGATTTTTATTAAATTCTATTACGAAAACTAATGAATTGTATCGGGTTACAAAAATGGTTCAATTTAAAAATATTATTCATTACCTATTTATATATTTATACCTGGCAACCGAAGTGAACTCGTTTGAAGTAATTTTTTCGGTGAATTCCTATCTCTCGATGATTTAGGTGCCGGAGAAGCTTCTCTACTAGTTGGTGTGGATCTAACACCATGAATAATACCAATTTTCGATCCACCATCTTGAATTAGTGATTCCTCTTGAGGCTCTGGAGTTTCTTGAACTGAACATCTTCTTCGTAGTTTTCTCCATCGTTGACTTATGCTTTTATTCCATAAGCTGAGGTCTAAAATTATAAATGAATTGATAAGAAATTTTTCTTAACCAAAGTACGCATTATCATACAGTCGTAGTCAAAATTATTTAAACTGTTTCCAATGTTCATATGTAACTAAAAAATAATTATCAAAAATAACTATCGAGTGTTTTTAATATTGATTTCAAGATATTGTCATTGACAACAAATTGCCATTATTCGTTATTGTTATCAAAGAAAAAAAATATCATTGCATTTTTTTCTGCAAAACATCAAGCTTAACAATTGATAAATATATTTGATAAAATGTCCTACTAAAAATTTGACATTCAAACTAAATATGTAAAAACTGTATGATTAAAAAATGTAGAATATACAATTATAATCATTTCCGTATCAATCTAACAGGAAAAAAAGTCTTTGGACAGAAAATTGTAATACGAACTAATAAATAATTAATGTTGGATTCCTAATGTCTGATCAAGTCGGGGGTCACCTAATTCAATAGTAACTTGGATGGTCAATAAAGTAAATAATGCAAATAATTACTAGAAACTTCGTGAAAAAAATAAAGTGTGATTGCGATGGAAATTGCAAAAAAAAAACTATAGAAAAAAAACGTTAACAAATAATTTTGATAGTTCTCAAATTCGAACAGATAATAATAAATAATAAATATATATTAATAATGAAAAATAAAAATAGAACTACATAAATTAAAATAGTGTAGAAGGCAATGAAAACAGTAATTATACATATAATTAATGTTACCGAAACACTGTTGTCCTTTGGAATCTATCTCTTGTCCCATTGTTCTTAAATGTTTTGGGCATTATTATCATCAGTAGACTTAACTTTCACTCGCAATTCTATTCTTTAAGTTCCATGCCTTCCATCATCATTATGCTATCATTGCTCTTTTATGGTTAAATACTCATTAAAATACCTTCTTTAACATTGAATTTATACAACAAATTTTGAAAGTTTATATTTACTCGGTTCAATAACCATTTGAAGTTCAAATCGAAGAATTTGAAAATAGAAATAAAAAAAACCGACAACAATAGCGAGCATATTTTTTTAAGAGAAACCACAGACAATCAGTTATGTATGAAAATTGTAATATATTAATAGCGTTTATAGATTTATTTTATGCACAAAATAAAAATTATTTATTTAATAAATAATATACACATACATTTGATTACTAAGTAACTATTTTATTGAATTCAAAAAGATAAAAAAAATAAACATGTACTCTAAGCGGTCTCTCATCAACAACTGGAGAAAAACGACGCTAACGACGCCGTGTGTGGCGATACAATAATATTGTATAAAAAGGGAGTTAGAGGGAGTATGTGTAGAGACAAACAGCCGCGCGCAGCTTTTATTAACCAATACAACTTCAACTATTTCTTTTTTTCTCGTACTATTTTCTTTGTCTTTCTTCTTGTATGTGACCAGTGGTTACGAATGCACGTGCATATATGAGTAATATAGTTAAGCATGCATTTCTTTTTCGAAACATTCATCATAGACACACCTTTTTTTTGGTGTTTATTCATAATATTTTCTTCATTTTGTCATAATTATATGATAACATTTTATTGCTATTATAGCATACATCACTTTCAATTAACTGGACGTAAAATAAAATATCTTTTCAAGAAATAAAAATGAGAGTGAGATCAGGCTAAGGGAATGTCAAGAAAAAAATAAACCGACCAACACCTCAAAATACTTCAATTGATGTATTTTACACACTACCATTGTACAACCGCTTTTCTCTACCCTGGGTTGACATGAAACATAAGTGATCTTATTCGATGATCATCCAATAACATCTAACATCTTTTTTAGTAAATGTATAATTTTAAATTTATCCTGTCATAAAAAGGTAAATATTATTATATTTATTGAAACATTTTCTTCGAAAAATCTAAAAAATGTAATATAAATGTATTATTATCGATAGGATTTGTATATCCAGATCGTTTGCAGAGTTAGTGAAGAAATAAAATTAAAAATAGAGCATTGGTATTAACTCCAAATTTAGATAGAGCTGAAAATGTGTAGAAGGTATGTATGTTTATAATATGATTGATATAGATGTAACAAATATACATGAAGTCATCCTATTATAGTGGTGTTCTTCTGTTGTCTAATGATTAGTATTCCTACATGTTGAATGTACCGTTTTTTAAACCTGATATTATTTAGTAAAAAAATGATCAATATAATATAATAGACTAGTTAATTTTTTAATATATTTTTTCAAGATATTATAACAGTATAATTAAATATAAATATCATTTTCATGGTACCTATCATATCAATGCCTATATGTTGTGTAGAATGAGTGTATATTTGTATAAATGAATTGATATTAAATGAATGTTAATAAAAGAAAATGTGCTATGTACTTAGAAGAGCTAAATATAACATAAAGTATGAAACGTAAGTGAGATTAAAAAATGATCAAGTTGACTAGCTTTGACTATAAGTTGAGAACTGTTTGCATAATTAGAATCAACGATGCGTACCGACTGGCCTCAACCATTGTGTCTGTATACAGTTAGCTGATTATTCTTGCCAAGACACGAACGAATGAGCTACAATGAATCTACTGTAGAGAAAAGTCATGTATACGTAATGTACGCAAGATAAGTACCTATATGTTGAGAGCCTTAGTGATGAGACACGGTGCAATGCTCTGGTGACGCGTCAATGGCCTTGTAAGTGAATCGTCAAGGTACTAGCCTTTGCTTTGCATAATAAATAAAATGAAAGCACCATTTTAGATGATTTTAAATAGGGATTTATTGGAATCACATAATATGTTATTTCTGTTTTTGTTTTCAATATGATTATTATGAGTAGTTATTTTTTAATTGATGTATAGGAATTAAATTGATAATAATAATAATTAAGGAAATAGTAGATAATTATAGAAATTGTTGAAATTTTCGGAAATAACAATACTTATTAATGTGTTTGTAAAATGACGACACAGCGTAAAAATCAAAATTTTCTTTAGACACATTAAATATTTTCCTATAATATATAAATATTCTTAATTTTATTACGTATTGACGTTTGAAACGATTAGTTACTTTCACAATTTAACAATTTCTTAAAATTGATTTTTATTAATAATTATATTAATTTTTATTAATATTTATCTGTCTTGAATTGAAAATGAATGAAAAATGCTATTTATATGGGATATTATTATAAAAAGTATTAGAGTGTCGATAAATTGAATATGTGTACAATTGTCAAGACATAATACTCTTTACGAAATTAAAGAATTGAAGGGACACGCCCGTATGGTATTCTCATACAAAAATTTTTCTACTACAATTTGTGATTATATCTTAACCAGCATATGAATAAACCATTATAACAACATATCGAGGTTATTTCCAGAGTTAAGAGTTAATAGATAACAATTTGTCTTTTTTCTCGATAGCCTCGTGTTTTTACTGAACAGTTTGTGATAAGCAGGCGCCTTCATTCAAAGAGTTCATGACTATAATTTCTCTCTCAGTCAATGAAATCAATAATTGTCATCATTATCTTAATATGTGATAATTTTTTATAAATCAATTATTTCTTATAAACAAAAGCTATTGACTAAATATTTTAGTTATTTAATATAACAAAAATAAATGCTCACCTCTATTCTCACAAACGTCACACAAAACCATTATCGAAAAACTGATAATCATTTAGTCATCACTAAAAGACGTTTTCTTATAAAAATAACGATAAGTTTAATGATCAAGTAACATACTTATTGATAGTTGTGAGAAAACTTTGAAAAATCTAAACAGTTTGATAGCTACATTCGTACTGACAGTTGCCGGCATATGGGTGACATCGGGAGAGCATCAGTTTGGTACAAAGAGGGGACAATTTATGTTATTATCGTAGTGGGGACAGGAAGAACCAGCGATCAATATTAGTTGGAAACTGAACTTTACTAATAATATAATATAAAAAGCTGAACAAGCTGAACATTTGTATTATACGTATTAATCATTGGCTTTAACATATTTAATCAATAAACACATAGAATTTTTTATGTGATTTTTTTCAATAATTAAAAATTTATCTAATAATATATACTTGTATATAACTGACCTTTTTTATCTTCACTCTCAGAATCCGAGTCAAGTCGTACAGAACTTTCAGTTTTAAAATCTTTTTTTAATAATTCCAATTGCCGATTAGACTCTTTTATTAATCCATCTAAAATGTCCGGACGATTAGGGAGTGATTCTTGTCGATTCATTGACACTTGCCGATTTTCTCTTTTTCTTCGTGCTGGAGCTTGCGGTTGATCTTGAATAAGTGTTGATTCTTCTCGATGTTTATTATTAACAGACTTTTGACAACTTGAATCGAGACGAGAAACTTGTAAAAGTTTTTGTGCCAACATTTTTGTTGTGATACCTACATCATTATTGATCACTGATTTATTAATATCGTTGAGTCGGTCAGTTTCGATCAATGCCATATTTTGCAAACGTTCTAAATCTTTTAAATTAGCAAGCATAGAATTGGAAGGTGGTCGTGTATGTGGTGATAGATAAACAGTCTTGACATTAACATTTCCAACTTCTTTAGATAATGAAGTTTTCCATTTTTTCTCTGGCAATTTGTTTAAGACACTTTCTCGTATTTCACTAATATTTCGTAATTTTGGTGATTTGATATCTTTATTGGTCTTTTGATTTTTTTTTACAAGATTTGTTGGTTGTGGCGGTGTTCGTATCTCACTTCTGCTTGCTCTCAAAGGTGTTATTCGCACCAATTTTGGCACATTTCTCGGATCATCCGTTTGTAATTGACCTCGATAAACCATGTTTATGGTAAAAGTGAATTAAATGGGCGATTTAAATTCTGTAATTAAATTATCAGTTTAAAACTAATGATTTTTTGGTATATTTCTAATAGGGAAATTTTTACGTTGTGTAATTAGACATTCTTATATTTTAAAATATAAATAAATATGAAACGAAGCATATAGATATGTAGTAAAGATATATGAAAATTCAATTTATGTTATAGACATAATAATAGTCACTTTCACTGACACACACGAAAAAACAAATATTTACAGTTATATTAAAATTTGTAATTGTATAATGTACTTTATGTAAACTTGGCTTTCATAATTATGTATTAACTCAAGTATAAAAATAAAATGAAAACTCAAAATTCCTAAAATGACGCAATGATAATAGAAAATTTGTTTTCAACAACGAATATAAACAAAACAAATTTTATTTGAATTTATTGCTTAAACCATTCAAGAACTTTATGATTAATTATAATTAATTAATTCAACAAATATTACCGTTATCTTTGAAGAAAAAATTGCTGAGAAAATTAATTGGATTGTATTTTTCAACACATTTAAACATAAACGTATTTATAAAAGAAAAGAAAAATGCTGAGAATGAATTTCCAAGTTGTATATAATATTTATCTCAAGCCTATAGGTCATGCTGAAATGCAGAAGTCGAAGGTCGTAATCATATATTGGTTTAAATAACGTGGGTTGCTTGTGACTTTTCGCGTGGGCAATATACAGAAAATATTAAAGACACATTACAACATAGAACGTTTATTCAATTGATTATATTTTAATATGAACTTTTTCTTTTCTATCTCATCAGTATAAACAGTATGAACCAAATGTCACGCAAAGTAAGTTTTTTCACTAAAACTCACCAATTATTATTAATTATATATAAATAACAAATACTTAAAAATAACTGTGAAGTTTTGAATTAATTATACGAATGGACAATTCACAAAAATCGTATAACACCATAAATATTTATAAGTTTAAAGTCGTTAAAATTAGAACAAAAAATAAAACGTAACTAAGCAGTGTGTTGATCAACTGACATACGAGTTGTTTATTTGCCGACACAAAGTCTACTACTGGATACTGGATGATGTGGTATAACTTGGGAAAAAGGAAACGCAATGGCGCGATGCCAAGCTGAGTTATTCACCTCTTCCTTTCCATCGGCATCTCTACTCCTGTAGCTTTACTTAAGCAATCGGTGGGGCATGATGCGAAACGACGCCTCGTTCTTCCCCTTCCTCTTTTTTTCGCGCATAATTTAATGATACAGAGTAACGAGCACGTAATAAGAGACACATATTCACTTTGTAGTTGACGACTTGAAACAACACTAATACTATCATATTACTATTAAATATTACTTGATAGACCACTACCCACTTTTAAGCATTTAAATTTTTTATTCGCAATTTTTTTTTGCTGATTTTATCGTGAAGGCGTCAAAAATTCCTTTTAATGTTTTTATTTATAATGATGATACTTTCTACTTGATTGTTATGGTATTGACTATTTCATTGCAAGAATTTTTTTTTTAATTTTTCGATTTTAAATATAGAAAAAAATGATTTAGCGACTTGGTATTATAGATTAGTTGTAAATTTACATTGGATTTAATCCATTAATGAGTTATTCATGGTTTTATAATTTTTTTTTTTTCAATATTTAAATAGATAGTCTAGTTTATAAGTTTGAGTTTATATATGTATCATTATAAGAAAAAAATTAATTACCCAATGTTAATTTAGCTTTATTTCTACAGTGCATAATCGAGTGGGAAGTAAAAATTAAACATAAAACGACCACACCCCCAAGGCCATGTACTGATTGCAACGAAAAATCTATCTGAACATTCTACATGATTTCAAGTCAACACCATTTATGGCGAGCTCATTAGTTACATTGTACTTTGATATAAATTTATTCACTGGAATGTGTCAATATTTTTTTTAATACTTGTAATAAAGTTTGTATATATTTATGTATATATTAGAAATGCATTCAAATAATAATTTTGTGAAGAAAAAAATTTTTTTTAAATTTATTTAAATACTGACGTATATTTATACTCATATATAAAATATGATATTTAACTTTATGATGACCAAAATTGAAAGGAAATACGCAAGTAGTTTTTTTAATAAGTTGACGGTAAATTATACAAAGGATACTTCCGCTGCAGGTTAAAAACGGAAATGAAACACGTGCTCAGTCACACATCTCAAAATATTACAAAATAAATCGTAAGTACATGTATGTAGACTTAGTTGTATTAAATGGAATTATTCTTGATATATACATATATATATTTTTTAAACGTAGAAGGATAATTTATCAACGTGAATTAGATGATCATTAACTCTAAATTCTTTTTTTCGTTTACTTTGTTTTTGTTGTTTTTTATGAATTTTATAATCAAATGTATAGGCATTTTTAAACTCACTATTATCAAACTTGTTCATGATATTTAAATTGCTTGACTTAGTTGGATTAAAAAACCATTGTAAGAATTTATTGAAATAGAGAAAGTGAATTTTTTCAAGCATAAAAACAAGTGCAGAGGTACATAAACCTCCAGCGATAACTAAAAAAACAGGTGCAGCTCCTTGAATATCTAATGAATTGTTGATATTTAACTCACTTATAGTCAGTGATCTATGTAAATATCTTCGTTTTAATCGCCTTAAAACTCCATTATCTCTAAATCGGTTAATTCTGAAAAATCGATAACAATAAACTAACATTTTTTCCTTTTTAAAAATATGGTGACGAGGCTTACTGATAATTAATCAATCCAGTATAAGAACTATTGTGTGGTAGAATCATTGCTATACTGTCAATTTTTCCTGTTTCGATGAAACCAATTTCACATGGTAAGTTAATGGTTACCGATTTCTTCAGCGCATCATTTGCGTAGAACGCCACTTTCTTATAACATAACTGTAAAATAATTATATTAACATTTATTATACATTTTACTCATCATTCTATTACCTGTAAGAATCCCTCATTGTTAGTTTTCGGCAACGATTTTCTTGGAACCATAATTTTTCTCAATTCTTTCATCACTGGATCTTCAGAATGCTAAAAAATAATATAAATAATTATAAATTTAAGTGAACAAAAAAAAATAATATTTTAAACTAGATCAAGTATTGATACAAATATCAAGCAAAACATGAAAAAACATACTGTGAATAGATCGTAATTTGCACCATCTTGGAGTACCGATAATTCGTACGTTCCATCAGCAATAAATTCTTCAACTGAACTGAAGAGTGGTGGAGGATCTGATACAGCTAAATAACTGGTAATAGCAGCAGAATAAGTCGCAGATATAACTATACTTGTAATAAAAATGGAAAAATAAGCTACTGCAAGTGACATTTTGGATGGAAACTCTAAAAATAGGAAACATAAATGAGTATAAACGTCTAAAAAAAAAAAATTATAAATTGTTTTATTTAATAACCTGGTATACTCTGTTGACAAAAAATGCCCCAAACTAAAAGATAATTTTCAACAATGCATTGTTTCACGGGTTTAATATTTATTTTTTCTCTCATAGTGACCAATAAAAGAGGACTTATTGCTATAATAATCAATATTGAAATCCAAATATCTACCGAGAAAGCCTTAAAAAATATTTATACGCTCATTTGTTTTTTCTAACTATTAATAACTGTTTAAATAACTGATTTTTAATCTTTTGCAGTAGAATAATATAATTTAATAAAATAATCATAATTTATTTATAAATACCTTGAAATAAGCAGACAAATGAATAGCTCGATTATCCATTTGTTTAAAATAAATCCTACATGGTGAAATGTAAAGAGGTAATGTAAAATCTATTATTTCACGTCGATCATTAGTCATTGAAAGTTCACCAACTCCTAAATCTGCTTCTTGTCGTGAAATAACTCCGACCATTCCAGTCCATTTCTGTTGATGATCATTCCAGATGCCAAATCGATCATTTTCAATCAATTTATTGATTGAAAAATTCATTGCGTATTGCAATTCAGTTACAATTTCTCCCATATATCCATCTAGTGTATTATTTGTGAAATAGAAAAATGCTGATCCCTAGAAGAGAAAAAATTTTTTAAAAGGATTAAAAAAATGTCCTGTTACGATGGTAAAATTTAAATAATATCAATATACTCTCGAAAAAGTAATTCTTAATGGTAATCCGTGAAGAGAACCTCGTCTGTCATAAAGAGAACGATTACTGGTGAAAACGAGTCCTGTTTCCTTCTGCCAAATACCTAATAGACGTCTTTTTAAATTTTTACCATCAATAGTCCACCATTCATAAATATATCTTGGGTGCTGACAACACCAGACTATCAATTCAGTATTAAACTTTAAAGAGAATGTGTTAGTATTTACATTTTTATAATAATTATAAATTGTCGTGCCCTGTAAACCGGTAAATAAAAATAACCAGACTGGATAGCCCATATCTACTTTTTGACACCATGTCTCCAATAATTTAACATGTTCGATTTTTTCTAAAAATACAACAACCATTGGACGATCTATACGATATCTAAATAATTTTATTTCATCTTCTAAAGATTCAATGTGTTTTATGGTAGATATGATGTTATAATTCGATAAATACTTGACTGTTGTTTGTACAAATGTTCTCCATTCAAAAGCTGCAAAAGAAATAAATTAATAAAATAATTATATTTGTTAATAATGTAAAAAAAACATATCATCAAAATATCAATTTACCATCATCATTCTCATAAGATAGAAGTATAACACCAGATGTGTTATATTTATCATAAACATCCAATATAAGAAACTGATAAAAAGATGAATGACAATGATCTAAGCATAGTAGTATTAAACTAAGATCACTATAAATTAAAAACACCATCAACACTTTAAGCAATTTATTAAAATTTATCATTATATACTTCAGTTTGAAGAGTATTGGTACAAGTTTATTGGTATTGTTCACAATAGTGAAGTCAGTATACCGACTTTGACTAAAAGTTAAAATAAAAGATTACCATTTTTATTGCATGTAACATGTACATTTAAATTCACTTTAATGCACATATACAATCTATAAATCTGTGATTTCACACATCCTATTATTTATCTTTTTTGTTCATGCTCTCTGACAGCTTAATGTGACATAAGATTATCTTCATTTTGATATAATTAATTTGTTTAATTTATCCTAGTATCTTTTTGAATAGTTTTTTTTAGTAGTATTGACCTCAAAGCAACTTTCCTTTAATTTATTTACTTTTAAGTATCTTTAATTAACATTATTAAATTAGTTGTAGTAAAAAATTGATTAGAAATATTTCAAAACATATTGTTTACATTTTATGCATTTTTAATGAATTCTTAAATTTTGGTTTAATTTTAAAACATAGATCAAGTTATTCAATATTGATATACTGACTTAATAAGAAAAAAATTGTGATTATCTGAGAAAATGAAACATTATAATATATTTTTCTATACAGAGATACATACATCTCATACGTAATGTGTTTCATTGAAAAATGAAATGAGTGAATTATTGAGTCAGAAAAAAAATTAATGATCGTAATGAAATAGTTTGTCTTTAGTATGTTCAACAGAAAATTTGTAGAAAGTTCTAGATGATACGAGATTATTAGCCTTAGCCAATATGACTCATAAGAATGATGATGAAAATTATTTAATTTCATCGGCAACTAATTGTGAATCATAAGATAGTCAACAAATCGCACTAAACCACGTGATCTTTATGGTCTCCAATATGACTTCTCATCTAAATATGGCGGTCAATGATTCGATAAATAAAGATTTTTTTGATACTTTGTTTTCAAATGCAACATGTTTATATTTTATCTTCATATTTTTGTTATACTTTAAACAATAAAGTTTCTATATTTTTTCTATAATTTTCAAAAAGTTTCTTTAAAATTTTACAAAATTTTAATACAATAAGTATGAAAAAAAAAGTTGAAATATCATCGGATTATTCAACTTTCAAAACATGGCGCGTTACATAGAATCGCTAGTCAGCGACGCATTTTCTCCCACCACTTTACAATGGCTTGGTGTATAAAAACATCATCATTTTATGACGCAGTTGTCAGTTTGTAAGAAATTACGGAGTAATATCGAATTTTATTTGTGAAGTATATTTCGTTTCTCGAATACTTTTAATTGTATATAAATTTACATTTAACTATAAATAATAATAAATTTTTTATTTTAAAGCAAAATAATGGCTGGAATTGTGAATTTCAAAGTTTATCTGGAAGAAGATGAAGAATCTTCCAAACAAGAAGTTCGAAGATTTGGGATTGATTCAGATGTTGTAATGAATTTTGAGTATCTTCGTGAAAAGTTGCAAGTTATTTGCCCCCATTTAAAAGGAAAACGATTTATAATTAATTGGAAAGGTATATATATATTATATTTTTTATCTATTTTTAAGAAAAAATTACATCAGTTATTACATCCCTTTCCTAGTAATCTGTTTCCTAATGACTACAACTTAGAGTCTAGGTCCTAGACTAAACCTAGGCTAAACCCAGCTTTCCATTAACTTATAACGTTCTTATTTTTTATATTTGTCATGAAATTAATTGACATTTTTTTTAATAATAATTTCAATTTTACATAATAATAATAATGTAATATGTATACAATTTTAGATTCTGATGGTGACATGATAACAATCTCCAGCGATGAAGAATTAGTACTTGCTTTGAATGAAACATCAACAGATCCAGTTCGCAAGATCTATGTAAAAATTCTACATGATCATCAACCAAATGTTCAATTTTGTCCATCAGTATCACCAGCGACACTTCATGTAGGAGTTACATGTGATGGTTGCAATGGTCTTATTCGTGGATTTCGATTCAAATGTGTCCAATGCCCAGATTTTGACCTTTGCTCTTCTTGTCAGTCTCAAGGATTACATCCAGAACATTGTATGCTTCGTTTGGTGAATCCTCTTTATATTAAAGCACGCTTTGGAAAACGATTTATGCGTCACATGAATAAATTTGCAAAAAAACATTCCCAATCATGTCACGATGACGATGACGACGATGATGATAATGATGATGATGATGAAGCAAAAGTAAAAAATAAAAACAAAGGTTATAAATGTGCGGGAAAAAAATTGGAAAAACATAATAAACGAGTTTCAAATTGTCCAATCACATCTGATTTAGAAAGTATGATGAATTCAGTTACAGAATATATGAATGGATTGACACAAGACTTAACAGAACCACTAATTCAAATGACCAAGACAGAAAATCAAATGAATCAAAAGACACAAGAACAGAATAAAAATCAAACAAAAAAACAATCTGCATCAGAAGTAAAAGATAATCAAGAAAAATGTTCAAACTCACAAAGAATTCCGGAACGTAAAATACGCCATAATGACATCCTCAATATCTTAGGCCAAAGTTTGTATCACTTCTTGGATCCAGTGAGAATTGATTCAAACATACAAATGAAAACAGATCACCAAGAGCCTACTTCTTCAAATAATGATAAAAAAAAAGTTAATTCGAATAGTGATGTCAATAGCACAGCTGAATCTCCAACTCCTAGCACTTCTAAATCTAATAGTGGGACTGCTACTCCAAAAACTTTCAATGAAAAGAATGATACTGACAAACAAAATAGTGTTTCTTCAAGTTCCGAAAAAAGAATGAATAATGAGCCTAATACTAGTAAAAAAAATGTTGAATATGTATTAGAAAGAGATGGGCACAGTGATCCAGAGTGGACTGTTATCAAAGAGGTAAGAGTTAAATTTATTTGATACGAAATAAAATAAAAGAATAAATAAATATTGATAATTTATTAATGATAAAAAATTATCTCTAGGTAATGGCGGAAACTAAAGAGCAGCCGAAAAACGCATCAGCACCAATCTATCCTCAATTACCGGAAGAAAAGAAAATTTATCATCCTAACCCGAAAATTCAAAAAGCTGTTGAACTTATGATTCAAATGGGATTCTCTAATGACAATGATCTACTAACTAATCTTTTAGTCGCTAAAAATGGAGATATTGTCAGTGTCATAGATATTCTCCAACAACAGTGATTTAAATGAATCATATTCATTTATCTAAAAATTAGGAGTTTTCATTTCTAATTATTTTAAACATTCCATGATCTGTTTATTGATGTATCACTCAATACTTTTGATGTATCACTGAGCTACTATTGTATATGGCGTGTAGTATTCAGACATTTAGTTGGAATAAAATAAATAAAATCTATTTATTGTAGTTGTGATGTATTTTATCTATCTTTTAATTTGAATATGAATATAAGTTATTTCAAAATAATTAAAAATTATAAAAGCATTAAACCTATTAATCAAATTTCAATTTCTATGATGATAATTGGAAAAAAAATTTTTTTTTTATTTTTGATTATACATCTATAAATTATAAATATATTGGAGCAAAATCTTAACCATACATTTGTTACAAATACTTGAGTTCTAAAGTGGATTAATATAATTCATTAATTCAAGTGGATTTTTGTTTGATAATAATTCTAGTTCCCTTTGACCTTGTTTTGTTACATTTCTAATCCACATTCGATCTTTATAATAGTCCATAACTGCATCAAACTCATCTTTAGTATAGTTTTTTACTTCAACTGGTAGAAAAGGATCGAGAATTTCAAAACCTTTTTCTCCTAAAAGATATCGAGGATAGAATGATTCCTGCTGATTCTCCTAAAAATTAAAGTTTTTCATTATTTTATCGTTTAATAAAGTATATTATTCTTTAAGTATTTTACCTCCATAGCTAATTTATCAACAGTTAGAAGAATAGATCCATTGCACCAATCATTTTTCAAAAGATTCAATATGGATTGAGATAAAGACAATCTGTCACCATAAACAAAAGTATGTTCGGGATCTTTTAATTTTGAATTAGTTCCAAAGAAAATATTGATACCATCGAGAGCTACAAGGCAATTGCATCGACCAGCAGTACTAGCCATTTTAAATTCATTTATTATAGCATCGACAACATCACAAGCATATTTGACTCGAGCTATTCCAAAACTGATTAAATCTATAAGAGGTGATCCAGCAGCATGTTGTTCACGAGGATTCCAAACATAATCTTTTTGAAGTCTAAGCTGTAACATAAGATATTAGTAAAAGCTGAGTTAACTGATTGCTAATAAATATTCAAAGGCAATATTAAACTTACATCAAGTTGTCCTAAAAGCGATGCATTTTGATGTTTTATATGCAACAACCAAGCTGCAGCTTCAAGGGGTAAATCTACTAGACCTTCCCTTGTTTGTGAAAAACTTCTATCTTTAGTTCTTCTAAACCATAATGGTGCTATAAAAAATAATTTTGTATTATTTAACTGAGAAAAGTATAATTAGATAACGAATTAAAAATAATAATTACCCCAATTCAGATGAATAAGTAAACTTTTTTTTTCTAACCCATAATGTAATAAATGTGCTAAAGTTAATGTTTTTCCAGTTCCAATTTCACCATCTGATTAGTAATGTTAAGGAACTTTATATTCTTTCATATATAAATATATTTATATATTACAACTAGAGAGTTTTTGATACTTAAAAGGATACATAGAATATATTTATTAGGTGGTCGACTATAATCTGTCTGTTCCAAATATGATATGAGCTCAACAGCCGGCTCTCTTATTAATAGAGCTGTTTCATTGAATGTTACGGTATTTTTTTCAAAAGTTTCAGGTAATGTACATATTTGGAATAATGTAGATTTAACTTGATGTGGTACTGTGTAAAAACGAGTTAAATGATCACGAGTATGATTTATTGGATTCGATTCTGTCGTTCGTAAGACTTGAATCGGTGGAGATTCATCTGAAGTTAGGGATGCTGTTTCAGCTAGCGTTGAATGTTTACGAAAAATAGAATTAAATTGTCTTCTAATTAATGATCCTGTAGATATAAAAAATTAAGTAATCATTCAATTCTTAAATTTTTAAAACGATTTTATGATGTATATTAAAGTAAAATTTTTGGTTATGTTGGTGAACATAAAATAAAAATATTGAAAGATTTGGGTTATGTCAATGAATTTTGCTGTTTAATATACACATTTGAATCATTTTATTAATTACGTACTTGATGAAAATGCCATTTCCGATGACACTTAACAATAATTATTATTGATCAAAAATTACGTTACTTGAAAATTACTTTCTACACTTATTTTGTTCGTTTTTGAATGAATAAATACAATTTTTCACTCGGTAACGTTAACCATTCATTTTTAGATCATCAACCGGTAAAATAGAATCAGCTCTTTACCGATAACTGGAAATGTTTTTTTCCGTAACATTTGCCACTATTTTATGATAAATGTTTTATACTTATTATTTTTGCATATCAAATAAAATAAAATAAATTGATAAGGAAAAGTTCATTATTGAGTAATATCGATTAACAATTAATTGAAACTCAAAAATTCCACTTTTTATATCTTTAAATAAATATATCTCTAGAAGAAGAAAAATTTTGAACTTCAATGTGATAAAGCTCCAAAGTTGATAGGAAAAATGTATTGTAAAAGACTGAAGATTTTATTTTGGAAAATTTGTTTGTCATACATTGTTTCGTTGTATATTAGAAGCTTGAAGAATAACTGAAAAAAAAACACTTCTCAGCCATTCCTACATACTTTTGAAAATAAACATTATTCATTTTTACTACAATTCTTACTGATGCACCTGATGAAACATAAAGCGTAAAATTTAAATTATTATAATTAAATGCAAACCTGTCGCTTTAGCTTGTGTAAGGTCAGAAATGTAGTATTTTTAAGTTGAATTTTCTATCATGTGACAAAAATTTTGTGTAGTAGAATAGTAATTTAACCGTGGGAACGTACTACACTGAGTGAGTACACGAACTTCAAAGTAGAACCAACATCTGGAAACGATTTTGTGCTGTAAAATGTTGGTAAATTTTATCTACCTGTTAACAAGAAATCTGTAGGTGTAAGGTTTGGGAAATTTTGTGCAGAATATGTTTTCTAATTGAAACAACTGTGTGTAATATGGACAGATTTTAAATGATGTCTACTTCCAAGTTGACAAAAAAAAACGTTTAGCCTTAGATGAAATTTGAATGAAAAGGTAATTTTTTATTGAATGAGTACACTGTATATCCCAGTTTTCCAAAATGCATTATTGTAATGCAGATAAGTGTGTTAAATATGACGTTATCCATTTGATTAACATTGTAGTCACTTTTTACACACTTAGATCTGCGTTAAAATAATGCATTTTGGAAAACTGAGATTTACAGTGTAGTCTTGGTATAACATCTCATAGACTGTTAAACATATAATGATAAAAATTAAAAATTCACACGAAATTAAATAGTTATAATGTAATTGTTCGTCGAGCTATTGTTTACAAGAAAATATTAATATTTCATAATATAACCTAACATTTGATTATGCTTTACCGTCATTCTACCTTACCATCAAGCCCAATCATAGTATTTAGATGAGAAATAAATATTTATTAGCAGCTAAGAAATCATTCATTGAGCCAAATCAATCTATTCTAATAAATAATTTCTTAACTGTTAACAAATGTTCATTCGATTTCTCTTTCAAATAACATATTTATTAGCTGCTAATAAATTATGTTAGATACAAAGAAATACTTCTATCAATGCGTCACTGCAAATCCAAGTTCTAAACACTTTTAAAACGCTATACTTCTTCAATGTTAAATGCCGTCAACAAACTATAGATTTTTCACACACTACGAAACGTGTACAAAGTGTATACAAATCATGCATAGTTTGTTGATAGGCATTTAACATTGAACACACTTTACAGGTGTTATTTTAACACGTTTGTAAAATCCTGGGATTTGCAGTGCGGAAAAAAAAATCACAATTATTGTACGAGAGCATATAATAATTATTTAAAAATAAAAAAGACAATGACTATGATAAAAATAGAATTAAAGGGTGACTTTGGCTTAATTGTCCACTAGATGTCTTTCAACCACTTTTTTTGTTCCCATCTTTCAAGAACAATAGAAGTAAAAACGCGAATAATAACAACTGTCAGTATATTTTAAAGAGTGTTGTTCAACATCTATTCACTCGACCTCATTTATGTTTAATTAAAATTTGTTTTATTTTAAATCCTCTTTACATTATAATTACTATGAAAAAAAAACTCCCAATTCTTATAAAATAAGGTAAAAAGTATTAATACCGTTGTCTATTTTTTGAACGAGAAAGGAGGAGCGCATCAAAGAGATAAAGATGCACTAAAAAGAGAGGGGAAAAATGTAAGGAAAAGAATGGAGGTGTAGAACATCACGAATAGCTTCATGGTAGGGCGTGGCTACTGACTCCACCGATTTGTTATATAGTGATTTTCCGACCAATAAAATACTGAGGCGTTACTTGGTTAGTCGGGACTTCCTGGTAATGTCGATACTCGCGGTATTCACGACGCATTGTCAAGGGTAGTTTGCTTAAACGGGGTAAGTTTTATACGGTTCATACTTTAATGCGCGGAACCAAAGAGTTTTAAGCAGCATTTAATTCTTGATATCCCACTGTGTTTGAATATTTATTATTTATATCATAACATTTTTTAATTTTATATTTAAAAAATTATTCTTACAACTCTATATTTATTATTAATTAATCAAAAATTCGTTTAACTATAATTATAATTATCAATCCATTGTCGTGCAGCATTCTTTCTTCATAATATTTTATTAAAATAGTGACTATGATGTTTATTGATAAAATTCTTGAAAAAAAAATACTTAAATAATTTGGAGAATTCGACGAAAGAATTAATAGTGATTAAATTAAATGAATATTTGAAATTTGAAAAGTGTAACAAAAGTATAAGGTATTGTCGAAGGTAGTTTAGTGAAAATTGAATGTAAATAAGGGACTGTTTATGATCTTGGTTTGATAGTTTCGTTTTCAATGGAATGACCGAAAAAAATAAGGAGTATGCTTATTGAATACAATAAATTATGCATATTCAAGGTAAGACATAATTTTAAACTTTTCTAAAAATTATTTAAAAGATATTACCACAGTTATTGTGTACATATATATGTATGGTATTTATTTATCGATCAATGCATGTGAGAATACTATAATTTCCTGTTTAAAATTTATGATTTAGCATAAATTTAACGTTAATGTGATGATATTACGTTGTATTACAAATATGTTTTTCTAAAGTCCATTTTTTTCGTTGGAAAAGAGGTTTTTATTTAATAATAAATCATTTGAGAAATAAAAAATTGAGTAGTGAACTCAATATTTAAATGAATTTATTTCCTCTTTCACTTGTAAACTTTATTACAAATTAAATCTACATTACTGGCAAATAAAGATACAATTCACTGACCAAAGTTGAATTGTTATTGTGGATAAATATCGACTTAATGAACAAACAATACCTCACTTATTATTATTTACTCTACCTCTTGTAGAATAATTAAGTTATTCTACTACTGTTTGTCACTTTCAATAGAAGAAGGTGTCACTGAAGATGTCAAACTATACACATAAACTGTCTATGATGTACTTGTATTGTAAAGATGTCCAGTTGGCAAGTTTATGTAAATACATCTGTTTAGGTTTTACTGAGAGAGTAATAAAAGTACACTATTACCTGAGGCTAGAAAAATCCTTGATTTTATGTATGGTAAATCCCAGAAAAATTCTAAAGTTTTCTCACACTTTTCCTTGCCAAACAGCTATGTAAATAAAATAAACATTGTCATAGCCTTGTAGGTGTTTAACTATCATCCAATTTACACAAACAATCAAGCTTATTGGATGAATTTAATTTTAAACCTTTCGTCAATGCGACATTATTTATATGGCAATCATTTCCCTTACTTCCCAAGTAGAAAAAAAATAAAATAATGTCTAAAAGATGTCAATAATTTTTTGAACATAATTTTGGATATCATTTAAGACATTTTTTTTTAATCTCAAATCCAAAAGATATCTTTTCGACAGCTTTTTTTTAATTAGTTGAGATTTTATTTATGCTTTAACTTTACTACACAACAATCTGGACGAAGGATGTATCTCTAGAAGTTTACCCTATTTTTTAAATAATATTTATTAATTATTTATTTTATTGTAAAATTTCGAGCTTAGTGTAAGTGGAAAGTTAAAAATTAAATTATAATTACTGAGCTGAAAGTAGAAAATAGTATATCCTATGTTATTGTAACTGATAGATTGTTTTAACAAAAATTTGTCATCCCTTCGTTGACAAATAGTCGTATGGGTGTGTCACTTCCGAGAGTCATTAGAAATAAGAAAATTTTCAGATGTTCATTATTTGTTTTTGTTTCTAAAAAAATTCATTTACTTATAATAATCTTAAAGTTGCACTTGGATGTATATATTTCATTTATAAGCTGAACAAACAGCTGAAAAAAAACGAATTTCCATGCTTGTATACATCGAAATTTTTGTTATCCTTCACTTTGATATAGTCTACTTAGATATATGTAATTTTCGGAGCTAAGCCGTCATATTGCAGCTGCTTACGTCTGTTCAAATTCCAAGTTACGTGTTTATATTTTCTTTCTTATTTTCGTTTTGAAATGTAAACAAGAAATAGGTAATATCGCACGTTTCCGTTATTATAGTGTCAATTGACTGAGCCATTGCAATCAATTAAACTTTCTCTACTCATATATAAATATACATAGATATTATAAATCTCGTGGATTTAATTTTAAAAATATATGTAATTTTCTATTTTTGTTCTTAATATTTTCATCTAAATCTAATTTTTGATTATTAATTCATTAAGAAATAATTTATGTATATTCAAATAATGTATGTGTGAAATAAAAGTTTTAATAATAGAACAAGAAATCAAGAAAATCTGCATGTGCATATATGTGAAATATTTAAAGGTTTTCTTAAATATCCGGTGCAACATCTTTTTTACTACCTACACTTTGTGTATATACATTTGCTTTGTATCCAATAATAATTAACACTAAACTTCATTTCATTACTTTAATAATATATTTATCTATCAATTTCTTCTTTAACCACTATAACGACATTAATTTAGAACAATAATAATTACTATTTGCATTGAAATGAAATATTTATTTATCACAAACTATAATGATGAAATTGATAGATTAACAAAATAAAGACGAACCATATATTCATAAATGTCTTCATTTTTTAGTAAAAATATTACAGTGTAAAGGTAATCTGTCAGCCAAGTTTCTTAATAAAATAATTTTAACAAATTATTTTTTTTTTTTTGCACGTAAACAAAAATATATTCAAACATTTGCATTGTTTATAATGAACACAATTCATGTATGATAACGTCAGTATTGATTCATTGACTGTAGAAACTAAAAAAAAATACAAAAATCAAGATATTAATAAAAAAAAGAACAATTTCAATTCTGCCAATAAGTTTGTTTTTTTTTTTTTATTTTTTTTTTATTTTTTCAATGTAAATAATTTATAAATTTATTTACTATAATACATTGCACAATAATTTTGATTGTTTAAATAATTAAGAATTTTATTAATATACAAATATATATATATATAGTTTTTGTTGTTGTTGTTTTTATATATATAAGGCAGCAACAAAAGGTTGGTGGACGTTTGAAAGAATAATTGTACAGTCAGAACGTTCAAGTAATCGAGGAATAAGACCGGAATACATAAGAATATACTACCCAGTCTAAACATACGATCATGTGCACTCAGTCCCCTTATTATATGCCTGATACACGTATGACTTTGCTTTCGGCCACGGGTGCTTTATGTTTAGTGCATAATGTTTTCGATAAAATGTGTATGTAAATTGTTACATCAACTTATTTTATTTCCTTATAAAACAATAAGTTTAAACTTATACTTTTCATTTTGTAATAATTAACAAATCAAAAGAATAATGTAACATTTACATTATTTCCTGTTGATATTTTTTGTTTTAAATTCAATGTTTTACAAGGAAGTAGATTGATATCGTATCTTTGTTTATTATAAAATTATAATTGTGTAAATATAAAAAAACACCATACATGCACCATCTTAATTTTATAGATTGCTGTATGATTTTTCGCAAAGTCAACAAGTCTTATGCTTCGGTCATATGTTGTTGGACAGAATTATCATCGTCAGCTGAATTTTTTGTGCTTATTCAATAAAATAATGTGTTCATTGTTAATAGTACATAGATCATTTTATTTTGAGTTGCAATTAACAATTTAAATTTATTCGAAAATTAACAATAATAATTATCTGTAAATTATCATATTAAATTTTAATGATTAAGATAAAATTTAATTACAAAAATGATTTCAATTGGATTATTTGATCGTTAAATGAACTATTTTATTATTTTGTTATATATATATATATAAAGTCAAAGTGAAAGATGTTACATTGATCTTGGTGATTTATAAATATATTATTATAACATGACATATAAAGTATAACTACATAGTAACAATGTGCTACAATATAACACTACACGTGACATTATCAGGTTGCCGGGGAGTATAAGAACGTGTGACAAGAAAAAATTATGTTGAGACGTAAAGAATACGTGCCCAAGTATAAAACAGAGATTGAAAAATTATTCTTTTTGCACGAAATAATCATGTAGTACGATGATGCACTTTGTGACAAGAAATATGATTATTACATATTTTACATACATTGATGTGATGTTTCTTGGAAAACTAAAATTGGAGTTTTATCATTTTTTATAAAAAATATCAATGGAGATAAAAGAACTGTTAAATAATCAACATGATGGAAAAGAATGTCAAAAACAGCCAGGTAAATGATAATAATTAATATTGTAAACTATCAACTAAAATGTTTAAATAATACTCATACTTGGATACTGTATATAATTAACATACATTTCATTCCAAAAAAGTTGACAAAAAAAATTTATACATTTATTGATGATTGAATAATATGTTACAAAAGAAATTAATGCATGTTAAAATGACATGAATATAACAAAAAGGATAATACAAACAATTGTATGCGAATTTAAACAAACTTATTACGTGAGTTAAGCCATAGTTTGATTGCAGGCTCGCGCACGTTCCGTGTCAGTAGTCCATTCAAAATGTCACGAACGACAAAAAGTTGCATCCCAATAGCTTCCTATTGTATCTGCCCATTTTCTACATTCCAACTACTTTTTAATATTTATTTTTTCCTTTAAAAAATTTTTAAATCATCCTTAAAAAAAACCATTGACATCAGAAAATAAACAAAAAGGTATTTTTGAAACATCTAATTGAAGATAGATTGAAGGTACATTCAATGTTATTTGAACAGATTTTTTTAAAGATAAAAAAAACATTTAATTAATAATAATAAAGATTCAAAAATAGTTATATTTATTAGAAAATAACTATTTTAATAATAGAAAAAAATATAATTACTCTTAGAATGAAAAATTTAAAATAACATCTAGAAAATATGTATTAATTTTATTGAATTTTTGATCAATTATAAATCGAATATAATTACTTACAATAATTAAATATTGCACATATCATTTGATAAATAATAAGATATGAGTGCTGTATGCAATTTATTATTATCCGACAACCCGAATTTATTCGGTTATTTAATTCTTGTATGTGATCGTGCATTTAAACTGCTACTTTAAACTACTTGAATACAAGCCTACTGCTAGTGAAAGAAATAACTTTTTTTTTTACTTTTGTTCAAGCATACATTCACTTGAAATGATTACAAAAAAAATATAAAAAGTATAGGGCAATATATTACATAGAAATATTTGAGGGTTGAACAGAATAAACGTGTCTCTGCATCAGTAAATAAGTTTATTAATTCGCTGATTGTAGGTGGTTTTGTTATATTTAAAGTCTTTTGTAAAAATCAAGACTGTTAGAAGATACATTTAAACTAGAATAATCACCGAAACCAACTAAATATAAAATATGAAAGCTTTCATTTTATTTTTATTTTTTTTTCTCATTCTCTTAAAAGCTAGTAAAAATAAAATAAAATTAGAATCAATAGCAAAAAATGTAATACAAAAAAATTGTTAAGCAATGTAGAAAAAAGTATATACAAAACAGAATTTATAAAATCAAAGTCTAAGAAAACAATCAAGTACTCTCTACATTGCTGTCATTTTTACTTTTTCCCTAAATTATTAACCCCTTTTTTCTAGCTTATCCCTACCCATTGGAAAATATTCTACTCGTATAGGTGGAATATAAAATACATTGAAATGTTGATGAGTGTAATACTATCAAAGAGGGGATTTTCACAGTTTCCTCCCTTCCATACTTTCAACAAGGGTGGAGCCCAGGCAGTAAGGGCGCGGCTATCCCTTATTCACACTTACAGAATAAAGAATGGAAGCCTACTAGAACGGCTCCGTTTTGAGTATTCGAATAAGTAGTTATTTTGACTTGATGTCAATCGGTCTGAGTCGTCGCTTTACAATAACTTACTAATAAAATATCAAGAATAAACCGTACCAATAAAAAAATTTAAACTAAAATTATTTTTTTCATTTCGTGTGTGATATGTTATCAGTTTATATTAAATAATAAATAGTAATTGAATACTATATTATAAATATAAGAAAAAAGTGGACATTATTGATTTATTTAATTATTAAAATGGCACCAATGATTGAACGATATGGACGTGCTAATGCAGGCTTCGTTTTGCATAGTGACCCTTATATTTCATGTTGGAATAAACGTAAACAATATTCACAAAAGGATAAAATTTATCACATTAAAGGTAATAGTGATGACAACAATTCTAATTTTAAATGTAATGATTATTTATTATAATTTGGAATTTTATAAATTATTACCATCACACAATTGCGTTTAAAAAAAAAATTTTAATATTATAGGTGCAAATTTTCTTGTAATAATAATGAATTCTGTGACTGATGTTGAAATAAAAAGTTTAAGTTTTTTGTCAGTTGTTATTAGTGTGTAAAAAAAAAGCAGTGATTTTTGTCCTTCTTATTGCATTTCGCAGAAACATATTGGCGAATAGGTATATACACATGAAACTTAACGAATACCGCCGCGAAAGCAACGACTTTACGGTTATCAGAGAGACCTTAGCACGAAACGATGTCGTCACTAAATTCTTTAGAAACAACTTTTTTAAAAATTTTAATAGCAAAAAATGTCTGCTAAAATTTATTAATTTTTTCGTCTTTATAAATTGAACTTTTTCACTTTTATTTAAAAGAAATGTACTATTATTTTTTTTACAGATCACTGTTCCATTGTTGATACGTTGGATTTAAGTATTTCTCATCATCAGCCGTTAGATCGCAACATAAACAACAATAATAACAACAATAATAATATTCTTAACAACAATATCCCTATATCAACTGCTAATTCAACTTTGAATATATCAAATAATAATAACAATAATAATCAAGAAATTTTAAGTGAAGTGCAAAAGTGTAATAGTGTAGTTTCAGTACCACAAGGCGGTGTAATGAAAGAAAAAAGTAAAAATGCGGCGCGTTCACGCCGTGAAAAAGAAAACACAGAGTTTCAAGAGCTCTCTAAATTACTTCCTCTTCCCGCAGCTACAACTTCACAATTAGACAAAGCCAGTGTTATTAGACTAACGACAAGTTATCTGAAGATGAGAGCAGTTTTTCCAAATGGTTAGATTTCATTTATTGTCATTTTTTAAATACTCAATGTTTTACATAAAAATTAAATTTAATCATTTTATGAACTCACACTTATTAATATACATAACTAAAACAACACTGTAAATTCAAAATTCTGTCACACATGTTCGAAATTCACACAGATAATAAACTATAGTAATTTTTCAGAGTTTTTTTACACACATAATAGTGTATGAAAAATTCACACACGTGGTACAGTTTGTTAATGGTGTTATATATGTATAACACACATTAAATGTATGAATTTCACACGTGTGTGAATTATCTGATATTTTACAGATTCGATTATTTTTAATAATTTAAATAAATTTATCGAAATAATGATGTGTTAGTAAAATCAAATGTTTCCATATTTATAGATAAATTATATTTAAAAAGTCCTTTCAATAACAATGTAGTAATGTATTTAAAAAGTCCTTTCAATGACAATCGGATACACGACACTTTAGTAAAGGGCAAACAGTATCGGATGAGATGGCTGTGATTGCGCACTTGATGCATTGTTAGCCCCACACTTTGTAAGCAAAGTATGGGGGTCGTTGTTGGATTTACAATAGTGAATCTACCTTTTTCCCCTTAGCGTCGGTGTTCTCCTCGAGGTTTTGCTCAATTGAATTTCAAGTGGCCGCATCCCTCTAGAATCCATAGTGTCATCGTGTCTTTATTCTGGTTCTTGTAATAGGGCGAGACGACGTTCATTCATTTTTATATTCCTCTATTCTTTTTTAACATACAAACGTTGTCGTTTATTTTTACTCAACGACCAATTTCTCTTCTCTCTTTTTTCCAGCCAAACAGTTTGCACCTCTTCAAATCTCTTTTTAACTTACTTTTTATTATTAAGTTCATTTCATGCCTTTTTGGCAACTCTTTCAAACTGACTAAATCACTTGGAAAATTTTCACAAATAAATTTACATTTTTTTTTTGGAGTTAATCTCACGGTTAACAAACAAAATGGATATCAATTGTTGTAAATTATGTCTAAATTATAAGTAAATCATAATATTTTAGCAATGTTTTATAAATAATAATTGTCATATTATCTATTCTCATGTAGGACTAGGGAATGAATGGGGAGCACCAACACCAGCAAATGATTCCCGTAATTTAGTTATCAAAGAATTGGGCTCATATCTTCTTCAGGTATGATTATAATTTCTTTTTAATTTAACACTTAAAAATAATCGGATAATTGAATAATGAATGTCTTAATTTTATTATTCTACAGACTTTAGATGGGTTTATATTTGTGGTTGCACCTGATGGTAAAATAATGTACATTAGTGAAACAGCTAGTGTTCATTTAGGTTTATCACAAGTAGAACTCACGGGCAACAGTATTTTTGAATATGTTCACCCAATTGATCATAATGATGTCTTGGATGTACTTAATTCACCAATTCCAACCTCAGGACGTGGATATACATCATCTAATGGTAGTGTTGAACTAGAAAGATCATTCTTCATTCGAATGAAGTGTGTTTTGGCGAAAAGGAATGCGGGTTTAGTTACTTCAGGATGGAAGGTAATTTTTTATGAATTTCGTTCATTTACTTTAATTTCATTATAAATTTGTTGTGTAAATAGTATTAATATGAACCACGAATAACTATGATTCATGTAGCAAAAGCTTATTTTTTGCATTTAATTTTGTTTTATAAATCTGTGAAAATACTTCAATTCAATAGTAGTACGCATGACATTTGTTTAGGGGTTATAATCTAGGGCAACTTGTAAAAATGACAGAATCAATTCCGTAGGAAGAAAAAGTAATGAAATCTATAAGGCAAAATTATACTTGATATAAGTGTACTATGACATGTTTGCTGAATAAATTGTCAAGCATATGTTTCTCTGCAGGGAGTATCATTGTGATTAATACGTTAGAATGCTAATAGCTTACAACTAATATTGCGGCTATGGTATTAGGGTAGAACGAAAAGATATAGGGTAAGTTATTTTTAGTTGAAAAATTTATTTATATCAAGATATTTTCGCCGTGTATTTAAACGAAAAAGAAATTTTTTTTACATCTATCAGGATATAATAAGTCAAATTATTGCATAAATTTATTAGTTACTTTAAAAAAGGCAAAAAATCTGGTCTCAATCAAACAGGTCAAGTTTTATAAGAGTTTTTTAATAATTAAATTAATTAAAAAATGGAATATTAATGGTCTGAGTTCGATCTGAAAGGTCCACATGACTAAATTCCCTGGGGGAAGGTTGAAAACATTTTTTTGTTTTTAAAATCAATTTTTATTATTATAATTATTATTAGGAGACCAAGCGTGAAAGTTTTGTCTAAATTGCAAAATACAGCTATTTCACTATATATAACTTTTTGTTCTCGAAATAATCACATACACATCCACAAACGTCCACTTGAAAACTGTTTTATTCGACTCTAGAGATCTTGAAACGTGGAGATTTGTTAAAATTCAGGATTCGCAAAATTTGACCCATCACAATAACTTCCCACTGGTAAGCTAATAAATCACAAGAATTTTTACAAAGAAGAATAGAAAAATTAAACAGTCAATATGATGAATTTCATTGTCACTTGCCACCTCAAACATAGGTACTATATGAACACTCTTGTCATGATGTATATCACACCAATTTGCTTACCAAATTGATCTTATCCTATACGCAAATTAGTAATTAAAACCCTTTACTCCTGTTTTTTATTCTTAGTGGAGACATTGAAAGTGCATATCATATACTATATCGTCATGTCGTTACTGCATTTTTTATATAAGAATCTTTATGAATACAGAAAATTGTCGAGAATATCGTCATACATATAAACATGTACGTCGGGTAAAAATCAAGTGCAGTGCACTTGTAATATCTGCGATGCAGATGTGCATGTAAATATGTAAATAAAATTTTCAATTGCATTGATAATGACAGATTGTTGTATATAATTGTATTTATAAAACAATTTTATTATTAAGGAATATTTTTTATAACGTACTCACTGATATTATACGGAACAAAATTGTTCAAATTAAAGATTGTTTTAATCTTTGTGTTATTAACGACAAATTTTCAATTAAGCCATTTTTTTTTTCACAGGTAATTCATTGTTCAGGATACTTGAAAATTAATGTTCGAGATTTACCATATGAAGATCAAATAATTGGCTTGGTTGCTGTAGGACATTCTCTTCCACCCAGTGCTATCACAGAAATTCGACTTCACCACAATATGTTCATGTTTCGAGCCCTATTAGATCTTAAACTCATTTACGTTGATTCAGTGTAAGTAATATTTTAATTTTCTTACGAAGAATAAAATAAAAATGAATTCCTTAGTATGAAAAAAAAACCGTTGAAAATATAATATGCTATTTATCGATAACTTGACTTTGTTTCTTGACAAACCAAGGCGTGATGTTTAAAATAATTTTAATATATATATATAAATTTTTCATGTCTAGGATTAAAGAAAGTACCGGATATGATCCACAAGAGTTGGTTGAAAAGTCACTTTATCACTATGTTCATGGTTGTGATAGTTGGCATCTTCGAGAATCTCATCAAATATGTAAGTAGTTTTTAAATACTTATCGATTTTAAAAATAAGCGAAGGTTCCAATCATTATGGTTCAATTTTTCTCATTCTTCGATAATTTTTTCAAAACATGCTGTATCAAAACAATAGTAATATTATATCCTTATCGATCCGAATATACTATTGTATGATGATAAAAGATTGGATAAAGTGTTACCCAAGCATTATATAAACTATATATCAAAGACTAGAGATAAAAAAGCTTAAAGAGAAAATTCGAGAGGCTGAGCAAGGGGTCGTTTAATACTATCATTGTTTGAACAGCCTTACCTCTTTGACAAGTGTTAATTGTTGGTATACTTTTTTATAAAATTAGTTGTAAATGAATTTTTACAATTTTTAAATATTTTACAGATGTTTTAACATTGTAAAATATCATTTTATTAGTTTATGAAATACTCTTATATATATAAAGTTATTGTTTGCATAAAATTTTTAACTAAAATTATTTTTTGATTTCAGTATTAGCAAAAAATCAAGTAACTACAAAATATTATCGATTTTTAACAAAATCAGGTGGATGGGTTTGGATGCAATCTTACGTAACAATAGTCAATAATTCAAGAAGTTCACGACCACAATGTATTGTCTCAGTGAATTACATTCTTTCTGACAAAGAAGCTGCTCATCTAGTTTTAACTTTAGATCAAAAAGAGAGTAACGTTCCGGGAAATCCACCGAGTGCGCCTCTTTCATCAAATAGTACCATTATTACTCGTGAAATAGATGAAAATTGTAGTTCTAGTCCACCATATTTATCAAGAAGAAGTGAACCTCAAGAAGTTGATTACTCCGATACATCCTATTCAACTTCTTCTGAATATATGGGGACCACCCAGATAAATTCTACCCAGTATCAAATGACAGGCTATGCTCCTCATAGCGTTTCTGCTGCTACCCCAGTTAATCCAACCACTCATGAAGATACATCTACATATTATCCTCCGGATCTCTTCTATCAATATATCGGTAAGCCGTAAAAAATAAATGAAAAATAATATTTAGAATTAGAGAGAAAAAAAAAAATAAATGAGATAAATAAAAGTATGTTTTTAACAGCAATGACACCAGATGCACTTTCATCAGCTTCGACACAACATCAACATCCTTTACTTCAACATCCTAATAATATACCTCAAACCCAACGGAATAACTCTCAACATCATCAGAAAAAACCACCATATTCTTCTCCGTCAAGCTCTAGTAGTTATGAAATGTCGGAGCCACATTTACCGAACTCAATAAATAATCATCCAGCTTCTATTACTTATTCATCAGTTCATCATCAACAACATCATTCACCACACAATCATCATCAACATCACAATCATTCTCATCATCAACAACAACAACAACAACAGCATATTCATCATCCACATAATCATCATCATCATCAACATCATCATCATCAAACTCAACACCATCATCATCAACAGCAACCAATGATAGAAGACTCGTTAGCAGGAGATTATGATGAAAATAGTTGTATAGTTTATCAAAACTGTACTTTAAATAATAATTCGTCGTTTGTGGGAAGAACAAATCCATCAATTCATCATCATAATACTTATTCTCCTGTAAATGCCAATCACCATGAAGATAATATGACCAGTCCGATTTATACTAGTGTTATTGTAGAATCTCAGCAATATAATTCAAATTCAGTTCCACCAAGTATGTCTAATATTCATGGACATCAGAGACCGGTGAAAGCTAAAAGTGAAACACCTCCAGCAGCACCAGTTGTTTCCGGTCTTTCATCAAGAGGATCCCTTCCGTCACCAACTCCAATAGTTACATCTTCTGGTTCACCATTGTCAATATCATCATCATCGAATTCTAAATCAGCATCACCACTAGCAACTAATGTCGGTCCTGTATCATTGGCTCCACTTTCAAGTATTACACAACATGAATCATCTATTGAACTTATTAGTAAACCCTTAGCTTGTTCAAATAATAAAGTTGATTATCCTATATATGAAAAATGTGAAGAAAAAACGAATCTACTAGAAAAACAATCATTATCCAAGTATTCATTTTTAGCAGGATTTTCAAGTTCATAAAAGTGGAAAAAGTCAATCAACTTGCGCTGGTCGTAGGTATTATGATGCAAAACAATCTCATAATGCTCTGTTTACAACTAAAATATCATTTTTATACTTCGTGGAATAAGTATAATTCAATCAATGCATTGATAATTTGATATTGAAAGTACTTTTTGTTATAATTTATGACATTCTTATGTTTAAACATAAGTATTTACATTATTTATTTATTAATTTTATTAAATTAATGTAAAGTAAAACAAAATCATAATGAGAAAATTTGTTTTTGTAAATACATTAATAATAATATTGTAATGTTTGTAAAGTCATATCATCATATAATTGTAAATTTAATGAGATCACTACTTGTAAGTTGATCAGAGAATATTTGTATGTAAATTAGATTTATAAATAATAATACTTTAAGACTGACCGGTATTACTACCACCTTCGACCAAAGATAATGATTGTTTTATAGAACCAAAAAATTATGTTGTTTTTTTTTTTGCTTTCAACTATATGATTTAATCCAAATCAATAAGTAAAGATAACAATTTTTTAAATATCATATATGTACAGATTTTTATGGTATAACAATATTGTAGATAATGATTACTTGAAAAAATTGTTATAAGTTAATTTTATTAAGTTGAAAAACTAATAAAAAATTCTTTATAACTCAACCATAAATATGACTTGTTTAAATTTCCTTGCAAATTTAATTAATACTTTCAATTACATTTAAACTGACAATAAAAAATTGATTAAAATCATTGAAACGTTTATTATCATAATCATAAATTGTTATAATTTTTTTATTATCTTAAATGGTAGATTTTTTTAAACAATTTTTATTCATCAATTTCAGAGTAGTTATGAAAAAGCAAACCAAAGAACAATAAAGTAATTTAGTTAGTAAGCTCAGTGAGTTTGACTTTAATTGTCATGGGTGTGTATCGATGACATGAAGTACAACGAAAGAGGAAGTAAATGTCTCGTGTAATCTCAGCAGGAGATTGTTTAACTGAGTGCGTGATGCTGCCACGTGCCTTTCAACAATTGTCACGTCTATCCATGGAGTCTAATTTTCTCTTGGCAAATTGTACGATTAAGAAATGAAACCAATGAAATCAAATCTATCCCTTAACTCGACAAATTTTGTCATTATTATTTTTCAAGAATGAATTTCGTGACAATCACCCCTGGCTTTTTACGCGTGGCCTCGTTAAATTTTTTTGATAACTTATAAATATAACTAGATTTTTTTTTCTCGTAATTTATAATTCTAAGATGAAAAAAAAAAACTAATCAATAGTTATAACATTATTTTTCTTCAAGTAATGTTTATAAATTTTTAAACTTGAATTTCAAATTAATTAAAAAAAAAATTAAATTCAAGAAAAGATATTTTAATTTAAAATTCAATAACAAATGTTAAATTAAAACATGTAATATGAGTGGTCACTAAGATATTTAAGCTAGTATAAACACTTGATGAGAGTGCGTGGCTAGTAAAAATATGTACAAAAACTGTTCAAAGAAAAACCCAATAGAAAGTGGGATAAAATAAAAAAATATGTACATGAATAAAAACTAACAAAATAATTGTACGTAATCTTATGATCCAGTGGTATTAGAGTAGATTTATGTTACAATAAAAAATAATTGTGGGCATTATATGACAATATTTATTACAAAAATAATTAGTTAATTAAAAATTCCTATCATTTTATTATCAGTCAATAATTGAATAATAAAAATTTCAATAAATAATTATTTAAATTTCAAGTAAATCGACTGGTAATAAAGAGGTACGTACTGTTAATAAAGTAAATAGAATAGCGGGTTGTAGTCTTTGTAGGTGATAAGATAAGAATTTGGTATTCTATGTGACAACACTTATAGGTGCAGGTTGAGGTGACAAAGTACGTTCTCACAAGTGAAACACAGTGACTGTGTGTACAATCAAGATGAATAAGGGTGGTTATAGGTGCGCTGTAAGCAACGTTCTCACGTAACCAAGGTTACGGCACGTACCACCATCCACAACCCTCAAACTGTCTTGTTCAATGTGTTTGCTTGATGATTTTATACCAATTATAGACTACACCAAACTCTTGCTATACTCACTACTGTCATTCGAGCTCTCAGTGTTCCATGGTTTGCGTATCAAACCATTTGTAGAATAGATTACTTTTCCATTAAGCTCAGCAATGATAAATCTCATTGATTTTCATTTCATAACTAATACTAATTATTTTTAACAATTCATATGTATATATCATTTATTGATTTTTTTTTCTATTGATTTGACAATTAAATATATTGGAAATTTTACACGTTAAAACGAATTGTGCTTGCAAAAGTAATATGTTGGATTCTTAATAAAATTATCTTTATAGATATAAATGATAACATATGCTATGAATATTTGATATCTCAAAGTATTCAAACAATTATATACAGATTAAAAAATAAAATTTATTAATTTTTTTTAACAAATATTATTTACTAATTCATATTAGTAGAATTTAAAAATTTTTATAGTACATATTAATTAAAGAAAATTTGTTTTGAATTATCTTAAAACCTTGAACGAGATTCATAAGTTCCATATTCATCAGTAATATGTTTTAAGCTAACTGTCGGAATTGTTGGTGAACTTTCAGCTCGATACATTGAGTATCCACGTCGTGATAGTTCCTCACCAGGTACAATCATAGGATTTGTATAACAGAAATCTCCTATTGAATCTTGTCGAAATGTTGTTTGATTTGACCTATATTGTTATAAAAATAGCCATTATTTTTATACAATTATTTTTTATGACAGTGGTGAGCAAACTTTAATTTTTTGGAAGTAAAAATAAAGAAACTTTTCCTTTCAACTATTTTTATGAAAGCATAGGAGTTGATCCAGCTTTCAAAATCTGAGTTAGCTCACCTTTACTTTATAAATAATTAATTTATAATTTTTTTCAAAATTTATGTTTAACTATCAATAGAGTTTTGATAATTAATATGTTACACTGACATCAATATATTAATTCAGCAATGATAGTATAGTGTCATCTTTGAGGTGACACATAACTACTACAACGACTTGATACGTAGTGCATTATTGAATATGATGATAAGTCTGAACCAATACTCTAAGTGACTCACCTGTATATAGATAATCTACTGACTCTAATGAAGAGGATGATAATTAAAATAAATAGTATGACAAGTATTGCTGCAACTATACCACTGACAATGTAAAATTGTAACTGTAAGTCTTCCACACTTTCCTAGAATTTGAAGTATAAAGACTATTATTATTACTTGATTATTCAAGTATTGAAGAAATTAACAGTTTAAATATAAAGTATGTTCCGGACTTTTATTAATTAAAGAAATTATTAATAAATTACGTTTGAGCATTAATATTATTTAATTAATAAAATAAGACGGCTGAATGAAAGTGTCAAAATAAAATTTCATTATTGTTTTAAAGATAAGCAAAGATATAATTTTTTACATCACTTGAGTCATTGTCTTAAAAGAATTGTTAATAATTAACAATTCATTTGAGACAAAACAATATTTAAATTATTGTGCGATAAAATATTTACCATACTGACACATTAAGTCGATAAGAATTGTTGTGATTTCAAAATAATTATTTTATAAATTAATTCAAGTATAGTTATATGATAATATAAAACATGTCACACACTACTATGTCTTGTATATACTCAATTCTTTTAAACGTTTCTATATCAAGTCGCGTTATCACTGATTACACGAAGTTTCGTGATATCTGGCAGTTATAAATTAAGTAAATATCATTTTTATTAGTCATTTTAATGAAACCTCGATTTTGGTTTATATGTAATAATTTTTTCTGATAGATCATTAGAAATATAACACTAAAATAGAATAAACTCATCAATCATTTAACACTTTGAATAAAAAATGATACGTATTGAATCAATTCACTTGATTGAAAAAAAAAATTATGACATTTTTAATTTATAGTTAACATATAGATACATTAAATAGATTTTTGTTACAGTAAAAAACAATTAATATTTGTTCAATTGATCAGATGTAGACATGAAAGTATAAAAATCGATATTACTTTTCTATAGCAACAATTATGAGATACTAAGAATATTTAATACATTCAAAGTCAATTATACGAACCTCGTATCAAGCTCCCACTACTTATTTTTCTTCAAAGAATGGAACTGAGATACGTACATTACTGTTCAAAAGTATGTAATAATGTATTGTTTTCACTAACGAAACAATGCTTTAATAACAAATAGACTGATATTTAAATTAAAAATATCAATAAAACTTGTTAAATTTTATAAAATAGATTAATGATGCTGATTTGAATTCTAATACCAAGTATTGAATCGAGTTCATAAGAGATTTATCAAATGAATAATAAAGTTTTTTAAATCAAGACAATTAAATTGGCTTTCGATAGAGATTTAATGGGATTCAATGACTCATTTTTGTATTATTATATTGAAGGTTAGCAATTAATAAATATAAATATACAAGTTAATTGCAAAAGAAACTAAAATCTTTTTACATCACTTAATATATTGATATAAGCTATTATGAGGTTTTTCGTTTAAGTTTATAAAAATAATGATATATATATATATATATATATATATATATATATCAATTATCAAACAATATTTATTATATTATGATTCTTTGAATATACATTTGTTGATATTATTGCAATATGAATTGCAAAAGGAAGTGTCATGTCTAATAAAATATATAAATAATAAGGAATATTTGGGGTTGATCCTAATGGTGCCAGCCACAGCCCACGTCTAGTACCGTCACGAATATGATGACTTAAAAAACTAGTTAAAATAATCCAGCTGAATGATGCTAACTTTGAATTATGGAGTATTCTAGATATTAATAAAAATATTAACCATATCATTATAGGCAATGTTGTACAGTGAAGGAATGGTCGCTTTTTCAATGAAGTAGCAGCCTGCAAGAAACAAATAGTTTGACAACCTTATTCGTAACTATATATCGTAATTTTGTTGATTATGAATCGTTCAATTTAATTAGAAAAAATTATGCTATGTTTTTTTGAATAACAAAATTAGCTGTATTGACTAGTAAATAATAACACATATTTATATCTATATATATATATACATTATAAATGTTAACATACAGTTAATCTCCAATCTCTGGCCTCAATAAAATGATCCAAATCAATTAATGATGATACTATCATTGATAAAAAAATACTGCATACATTCTTTGTGATGATTTCATTAGAAAGAACAAGAATCAATATCCATGATAAACCACCAATAATACTATGTATTGCATTGTCAACAATCGCTCTAAACACTTTGTTTTCATTTTCTAGTAATTTATCACCAGCCATGGAAATAATTCCAATTAATAAGGATAATAAAAATTTGATCGTGTTATTGTACATTTCATACAATAGTTTTTTTACTGAATTTTTCGTCTATCACATTAATTTAAATAATAACATTTTTAAATGTTTTTTTAATAAAAAGTCTTCATTCTGTATAATTTTCTTGGTTATAAAATATTATGGCACTGGGAATAAAAAAACTCCATTTTAATCATGTGATATTCGTAATTAATTGGTTATCAATAATTATTAAATATGATTCATTATGTAAGAATATATTAACTTAAACAATTATTGGATTGTTAAAAAGAGATTGTTTTGTAATAACAATTAAATGGAAAATTTTAATACATTTGTCAATAAACTGATACTATATATTATGTGACCAAAGAATACTGTCTTTCCTAAAAGCCATCTGTGTGCTAGAGTACAAACTAAAAAATTGTACGCTACAGACATCTTGTGGTCAAAGTACTAACCAAAAATTCCGGGCTTTGTGCGTACATTGTATGCAAAAAGTACAGTACACTCGGGAGCATTAAGGCTGGTGTCTATTCTGCGTTGTTAACCTAGCATTGGACTTTTATACTGGTTTCTCTTCTCTGATGATGGCGTATATATATATTCTAATGTATAGTCTATCCTAACCTACCGAAACCTTTTTATGTCCTGTTCAACAATACAAGTTGTTATTATTTTAGACGTGTAAACATTATTTGTAGAAAATTTTTCCTATTTTATAATGAAACTTGTTATTAATACTCTCAAGTGAATATCAATATTTTATATTAGTCTATCAACATTTTAGAAATATTTGATGAATTAATTTGTCATTATTTATGAAAAGAAATAATTGATAAGAAAGGAAGAATCATCGAAAAACATTTATACAATGGCACAGCAAGAAAAAAAAATATCATTTGGCTTTTCAAAAATTATTAAAAAACCTGAATTAAATATAAAGGTTGAAAAGTGTAATGAAACGAAAATTGACTACATCAAGTGTGTGGATGATAAATCTATCAAAGTTATAGGGTATGTATAAACAAAGAAATCCTTTAATGGATATAGAATAATAGAATTTTTCAAATAATATTTTTATTTTTTTACTTTTAGTGAAAATGAAAAAATAAAAGATGAATTACTAATTATTCCAATGTTAGGTCCGAAAAGTTGGCATGATAGAATTATAAATAAAATAAAGGCTAATGTCAATAAAGATATTCAAAGCGAAAAAAATGAAGCAATAAATGATCAAATTATTGGAGTAAAAGAAGAATCGAAAAAGAATTCATCTCTAGACGAACAAGCAGCACAGGAAATTATTAACGATTTAAAGAGAGAAAAAATTGAGAAAAAAAATGAAAGTCTAGTAATAGAACAAGTCTCGAATACACCATCTGAAAGTCAAGAAGTAAGTTGAATAATTTTTTTTGTTAATGTTTTAATGTTTAAATATAACATTTTATTTATTTACTATAGCCGACCTTGGAAAATTATGAAGAAATTCCAATTGAAGAATATGGAATTGCAATGTTACGAGGAATGGGCTGGAATCCTGACAAAGGGATTGGTAAAAATGCTCAGTATGTATTCATTATTACAAAAAATTCACCTGATTACATCAAGTTACATAATTTATTTTCATTTTCAGAGTCGTAAAGAGTGTATTACCAACACTAAGACCAAAAGGCATAGGTTTAGGAGCAGATAAAATTTTTAAACAAAATTCAACAAATTCAACAACAACTGATATCAAACTAAAATTAGAAAAGGGTAGTTATGTTAAAATTGTTGCCGGTAATCTTAAAAATAATTACGGAATTGTTGAAAGTTTTGATGATGACTCTAGTAGGATAATAGTGAAACTTGCTTCAACGAACGAAATAGTATCGTTAAATGAAGCACTTGTACAACCAATAACGAAGACTTTGTATGAAAAAAATTCACGAGTCATTAGTGAGTAAAAATAAACATGTCAACTTGTTACTATATTTGAGAAAATAAAATTTAAATGTTTTTACAGATACATCGACGTACGAAAAGTACAAAGATGAAATAAGTAGTTCAAATCATGTAAAGAAAAATGCAAATTCAATTACAAGAGAAATTCAAAGAATATCATCCTCTAGTGATTATGACGGTAACGGTGAAAAATCTGAAAAACGAATTCAATTAAAAAAGAAAAAAAAATCTCACGATTCTAAACGACATTGTGATTCTCCTGAGTTTTGTGAACGGACAGAAAAGAAAAAATATAAAAAAGAAAAAAAACGTCATAAAAATGATAAATATCAATCACATAAACATAAACGTTCCAGATCCCGAACAAGTCGAAGATAATATAATTTCTATAATTTTCTGTAATATCTATAATATATGTTTTGATTCAAATGATGAAATTTTTATAATAAAATTAATTTATTATTACGTACGTTTCGCTAAATGCATTTATTTTGATAAAAGTAATACAAATATTTACCAACACAATGCAATTATATTTGTGTATGAAATAGAATAAACTGTACTATACAAAATATATACTTTACATATATTATATGCAATTGTCATAAAAGTAAGGTTAAGTTTGTAATATTGGAGAGAAGAATCACATGTTTTGTAAAATATATTTTATATATATCACGACGAATAGGTATTTATTTTAATTAAAAAATATAAGTAAAGAAAAGTATATATTATATATACGTATGAATGAAAGTAATTTATAATAATCATCTATTATTGTATGACATAAAAATTTAAATGTTTCGTAAAATATCATCTGAATTGTACGTAAACAAACGTTCTTATGGTGAGTGTTTGAGAAAGTAAAGAAAAAGATGTTCAATAATTAATTGATTATATATTTCTATTTCAGATTATTTATTATATTTAAAAATGTCAACTGTTAATAATATAACAATGATAAATGAGGAAAAAACTCATATTCAAGAAAGTAAAAAACGTTCATTGCATAGTGAAGAACTATCAGCAATTCATAATGATGACAATGAAGATGTAAAAAAAAAACTTGTAAAATTTGAACGTATAAAAAAAAAAAATTATGCTTTAATGCTTGGTTATTTGGGCAAAAACTATTATGGCATGCAAAGAAACCCTCAGATGAAAACCATCGAAGAAGATTTAATAAATGCAATGCTTAAGGCAAAGCTCATTGATGAAGAGGCTTTTGCAACAATTCAAAATACAAATTTTCAACGAGCTGCAAGAACTGATAAAGGTGTTTCGGCTAATCGACAAATTTGTTCAGTAAAACTACGTAAGTATTAAATTATAATATCCATTATTATAAATGTATTCAGTAACATTAATAAATAATTAATTGTAGCTGAATATGCAACTAAAGAGAATATAAATGCATTTCTTCCAAAACAAATTCGTGTATTTGGATTAAAAAGAGTTACAAAAGGATTTAATAGTAAATCGAATTGCAATGCAAGAACATATACATATACACTGCCAACTTATGCACTTGCACCAGAAGATACATCAAATATTGCGAGTAATGATTCAGATGAAGAATATGAAAAAAGAATAGAACAACTTCATATAATTAACGGGAAGCCTTTCCATGAATATCGCGTAACTCCGGAAGTTATAGAAAGATTAAATTCAATTTTGAAATTATATGAAGGAACACATAATTTTCATAATTTTACTTGTAAAGTGTAAGTAGTAGCGAAAAAATTAAATAGTCATTGTTAACTTTTCAATAGTTTTAATATATCAATAATTAATATTTAGACGACCTTTTGATCCAAGAGCAATGCGTTATATGATAAAATGTCATTGTGATACTACGTATGTTTCACAAAATATGGAATTTGCAAAAATCCTCATCAAAGGGCAAAGTTTTATGTTACATCAAATTAGGAAAATGATTGCATTAGCAATTGGTATTGTGAGAAATTTAACTACAGAAGATAAAATTCACGAAGCATTTACACATAATAAACTTGATATTCCAATAGCTCCTGGATTAGGATTGGTTCTTGATCATGTAAGTAACTTTTTAAATATCATTATAAATAATTTATTTGTTTATTTTTTTTTAAAAAAAAAAAAGGTTCATTATGATAATTACGATCGACGGTATGGGTCAGATGGAATACATGAAAAATTATTATGGGATGAGTGTGAAGAAGAAGTACAACGTTTTCACAAAGAATTTATTTCCCGACATATTGAAGAAACCGAAATTAATGAAAAGTCGTATCCTTTTTTAATAAAATTATTATTCTCAATCAAAATATTTAATATATTATGTTAACCTTAATATTAATTTAAATGTCAGAATGTTGATGTGGCTTGGTGAATTATCACGCATAAAATTTGCTCAAAAACTTGATATACCCAAAATATCATCAATAGGATCAACTGCGATGGTTGAAGAAGAAGATGAAGATAATGAAAGAGAAGAAGAACAGGAAGAAAATGAACATAAAAAAGTGATGCAATAGTATTGAATTGGAACTCGTTGTTTTTTTATAAATTTCTCGTAACAATAATGATAAAATGAAATAAAAAAAAATTGAAACTAATATTTAATCAATTATTATGAATTGCACATTGAGTGATATACATAAATGTTTACAAAATTCATCAATAGATGTATATACATATATACTGTTTCGTTTAAAAGCCTTTAGATTATGATATCTTGTGAATATACCCCCACTTGGAGTAATGAATTGTGAATAAATGTGTAGAATAAATTTCAGTCGTTGATGCATCGTCCTTGTAGATACTTTTTGTATAGTGAGAAGAATACTTGTTAAAATCACTCTGGATTGTTTGTAAATAATTGAGAATGAATTCTCATCATTATCAGTTAATATTAATAATAGGTAAGAAAAAAAATTATTCAATCTATCATGTAACTTCTTAGAGTTCAGATCCGTATTCACTATACATAAACTATCTGTATATCTTCGAGAAAAATGTAAATGAGTATTGAACATGAAATTTAAGGAAAGATTATGATTTCATTAATCAGTTGGTAAATCCTACAATTATTTTATAAAAAGTGATAATCTAAAAATTTATTCCTTTTATTAGTGGGAATTTTAAAAATTAAATGGAATAAAAAATAAGTAATGTATTTTAGACTTGTAAAACCGGTTAAGAAATAAGTGTATCTTATGTCCTTGAACTCGAAAAATAACTGAATTGATAAAGATTATGCTATGATGATAATTATATATGAAGTATATTTTAATTATTTTTTTTTCACATAGTATTTATTAGAAACTTTAGCGCCTTTCAATTCCCCGATAGGATCCAGATTGAATCTTGTAGGTGAGTAATAAAAAGAAAAAGGTTTTACTTATAATTGTTTTTAATGTAATGAAATATGTTATTAATTGTTTTTGTATTAAAAAAAGTCTAGATCAATTTCGTTGTGCAAATGGGGAATGTATCTCGAGTCCATATTTATGTGATGGTAAGAAAAACTGTCAAGATGGTTCAGATGAAACAAGAAATGAATGTCTAAAACCCGAAATAATATGCCCAAAATATGCATTTCGATGCAATTATGGTGCTTGTGTTGATGGAGATGTAGTTTGTGATGGTGTTGATGATTGCATCGATAAAAGTGATGAAAAACAATGCACAGGTGAACGTTCAAAAAATATAACAACTACACCATTATCTGGATGTAAAGGTACTGATCAATTTAGATGTGAAAATGGACAGTGTATTGATGATACTCGAGTTTGTGATGGTCCTCCAGATTGTAATGATAGATCTGATGAAAGTTCTACCGTTTGTGGCAGAAATGAGTAAATAAATTTTATTATATCATTTATATTAATTTAATAATATGAATTGATCATGGGTTGATTTTAAAAATTAATGATTATTATTGGTATTATATTCAGATGCCCACAGTATACATTCCGCTGTTCATATGGTGCTTGTGTGGATGGTAATTTAATATGCAATGGGGTACGAAATTGTGCAGATGGCTCAGACGAAGAACCATTTATAAATTGTCGTAATAATACAAATAACAAAGACACACAGACAATTTCTATAAATAATTCTATTTCAAACAACACACCTGAAAAAGTTGGAACTACAACATTATCACCATTATTCACCAAAAATCCATTAAGAAAACCTTGTTTACGACCAAATCAACCTGCTAATGGTGAATGGAAATTGCATAAATCTCAATGTTATGATAACGGTGATGATCATTGCAGTATAAATAATAATATAACATCTATGGAGCCTGGAACTTTTTTGGTTTATACGTGTAATTTCGGTTATAAATTAAATAGTTTAGGTGATGTTTTTTGTGGACCGGAAGGAAAATGGTCGAGTGAACCAAAGTGTATTGGTAAAGTTGGATATTATATGTAGGTGTAATTGTAAAAATAAATTAATGAGGATAATAATGATTTTTTAGAAATTCGTTGTAAAACATTAAGTTCGGCATCAACATTAGCAGAATGTACTTTGAATGACGAATGGACATCATGTGAAATGCCAGTTTTACCAGGAACAACAGCAAAAGTATCATGTAAAAGCAGTTATCGTCAAGATATAGCTGTGTTAGGTCTCCAAAGAGATACTGTTCGATGCAATTCTAAAGGACAATGGGAACCAGAACCAATTCGATGTATCCCAGGTTCGCTTATAGTTAATATACATATTATGAACAATAATTATAATAATTTAAATAATCACACATCATATTGTAACTTATCACAAATTGTTGATATTTTAAAAAATCAAGTAATTATTTATAAAAATTTTAATGAATCCGAAATTGATGTTAGAATTAATGTTAATAATAATTGATATTTATATTTGTAACGAAGATGATGTGTTTGTATATATATAGATATATATATTTTTGGGAATTGAAAAGAAGTTTATTTTTTTCGATAAAAATTTGATATTTCAGTTTGTGGAGTAAGATCATATACAAATTTGAAACCTCTCATTGTTAATGGAAGACGTCCAAATATAACAGAATTTCCGTGGCATGCAACATTATATAGATCTGAATCATTATCTGGAGAGAGTGAAAAAATATTCGTTTGTGGAGCTACAATAATTCAAGATGATTTGTTAATAACTGCTGCACATTGTGTCTACGATGAAGTTTCAAAAAAAGTAGATAATCCAAAGAGATTTTTTATTACCACAGGCAACATGTTCCGTGATTATGACAGTCCTCTTCATGACTCGCGCATTGTGCATAAGAGAAAAGTTAATAATAATTTTGTTCAATTATAAAGTTTATTGGTGTATTTTATTATTATTAAAAAACCGTTATATGTATTTCAGGTAAAAAAAATTTACATAAATTGTAATTATTTGGGTCTTGAAGGAAACTATGCACGTGATATAGCAATCTTACATGTTGATAAACCTTTCACATTTACATCATTTTTAATACCAATTTGTTTAGACACAACTACAAATGATCAAACAGCAATAGATGTTGGAAAAATTGGCATTGTTGCGGGGTTTGGAAGAACAAATTTTGGACAATCTAGTGGAGTTTTGCAATCATTAAGTGTCCCAGTGGTACCCTTGAATCAATGTAAATCAGCAAGTGTATCATCAGAAGCAGAAAAATTTATAACAATCGACAAGTTTTGTGCCGGCTATGTTAATGGTTATTATTATATTAATTATTTAACTAAAAAACAATATTTACAATACAGCATTTAATATGATTATAACTGTTGTTTTAGGATCATCAGTTTGTGATGGTGATAGTGGGGGTGGTTTGGCATTTAGTGATCGAGGATTGTGGTATCTTCGGGGCATAGTCAGTGTTGGAATTGGTTCTAAAGTTTCAGGAGGAGGACTCCGTACATGTGATAATGATCTTTATTCACTGTATACTAAAATTTCCAGCCATATTTCATGGATTCAAGATGTTATTTTTAAACTTGAAACTCACAGAGATATACCTTCTTGTCGTCAATATAATACACGTTAGTAATAAATTGATTGGATTTACTCTGTTTGGGCTAATGATTTATCTTTTTCCTTGACAAGTGATGGTATTAAAGTATCTGGAACTGGAGGGAAATGGAGATCTGAAAAAAAAGAGAATTAATTTTTATAAATGATTTTAATGAAATGAGAGATTGGATATTTTGAACAAACCATTGTTATCCGATGATTCTACTTGAGGAGTAGTTTCGGTATGTACAAGTTTATTAGATGTATCTATAAATAAGTTTTTGAATTCCTCTTCCAATTCTGAATTGATACTTTCATCTAGTTGGCATGATTCAGATAAGGTAAGCTGTGTCTCATTTAATTCATCAACGACCTGATAAGTATGAAATGATTATAGTTGAAAAATATTATTATTAATATAAAGGATAAGTAAATGATGTATTTTACCTCGTATAAGTCATCCATAGTATTTTGAACTTGCAGAGAAGATAATTTAAAATTTTTTAATAATTCAGTTGACTTTTTATAAGTTTCAAATATTTCAGAATTGGATTTAGCATCATGAATGTTGGAGATCAAAACTTGTATATTATCAAAAATTGCTGTTTGTTTTTCAATTCTTCTTTCGATTTGCTTTTTTTTTCTCAATAATGTTTTAACAGTCATGTTAACGATGCTTAAACCATTATTATTTTTTATTAAATTTTGAATTTCCGTCATAACGGAATTTTTTTCCATTTCAAGATTTTGAATAGTTTTCAAAATACTTTTTTCACATTGAGTTAATTGAAATAGTCCTTCTTCATATTTAGATAAATTTTCAATTCCTTTTGTGGAAGATATTTTTAATAAAGATTCCGATGATATTTGATCGAAGATTATAATAAAATTATTATTTTTCATACGATTAATCCATGTTAATGCTAATTTTGCGTTACTTTCATCTATATTTTTTTCCTTTGTACATCTTTGTAAAATTTGATAATATGATAAAATTATAGGATCATTCTCTTTTGTAAAATCTAAAATATCATTAGCTAATTCATGAATAATTTCATAATGTATATATTTAATAGTATCAGGATTATTGTGAATAGAATGATTATTGACATTTAGAATATTTTTAACTTTAGATAATGACCAAAAGAAAGGTTTTTTAATAAAAATATTGACAGTCCAAGATGTCCAAGATGCATTTGAATTGTATAATTGATGATAAAATTCATCTTGTGTGATAATTTGATTAGATTTAATCAATTGTTCAATCACTGTTGTTAAGCACCGAGGAATAATGCCATTTCGTTTGAAAGCAAATGTTAATTCACTTATTGAAAATTGACATTTTTTGTTATAACTCAACCATTTGAAAATTAATTCTTTCCAAAATTGATATTTAGCATTCCAGTCTTGTGAATTGACTGAATGACTCCGAAATTCTGCAAACATAGCATTCATACGCTCATCTTGGAACCAAGACTGTGGTAAAATATCTTGAGGTAATGGATATATCACAGTTTTGTTCATTGTTGATAAATATTTTATTTTTTATTATAAAATATTAATAAATTAATAGAAATAAGTTATTTTCAGATAAGTTTGATATACAATGATATTGTACTATACTATATAAACGAAACTGACACAAATTGTACATATATATTTGATGAGACTGTAGATACCATACATATGTTTTGACTGGTATTTAAATGGAAATGTACACAATATATTTGATGTTGAATAAATACCAAATATGGTAATTGAAGTGAATGTAACAGAAGAGATATGTAGGTTGGATATCAAAATATTTATTAAATTATAACGATACAATATTGTTATTAATGTATTTAAATATTATAAAAAAAGAATTATTATTTAGTCCTCATCAGAACCATTATCACTATCACATTTATCGCGAATAACTTTTGAATTACTTTTTAATAGAGAACTTTTTTGGGATTTAGCATTGTCAGGAGGTTTCAATAGATCACCAGAATAGTTAATAACTCCAGAATGAGCAATTCGCCACTCTAACATTTCTGTCGAAAAATCATCACAATTGCCCAAATCAGTGAAGCCAACGATGTAGTCTTTAGTTTTACCGTCTTTAATAAGAGCTATCGTTGGTATGACTTTAATTTTCAATCGATCTGTAACAATAAATAAAAAGAAAATAATATATATATATATATAATACATAGATGAGATTTTAAAGATGATGAGAAATAAAAAACGAACCAGTTAAGAATGGACATTTCATGACATTGACTTTGCAAAAAAGTGTTTCAATGTGTTGTTTAGCAAGGATATGCAAATGTTTGTCAACAATTTTAGATCTGAATGAATCATCTTTGTAAAATAGACAAACGATATTTTTTGATTTTTTAGAAACGTTGAAAAATTCTTTTTCATCAGGAAGTTCAACATATTCACCGTGACCCTGTAAAAATAAAAAAGAATGTTTAAGGCAAATGAAAGTGATGTATAAAATTATGAAAATGGAAATTAAGAAAAAAGTACCGCTTTAAGCCAAGCCTGTTTTTGTTGGTGAATGCGCTTTAATTCTTCTAAGCGTTTCGCTCGTAATTTTTCTAAATCGTCAGCATCAAGTTTGTCTAATTGCTCCAATTGATCATCAATTTGTTGTTCAACTTGATTAGCAACGTTTAAAATAGTTTGTTGAATAGTAGCTTCCATTGTTTTCAATGTAACTTATCTGATATAAATGAGATTTGTTTGGGTCACCAAATGTCACGTCACGTAAATATGAGATATAAAATAGGTTTAGTTTTCACCGGAGGCGAGTTGAGTAAAAATTGAATTGAGATAGAAGTATTTCCACCAAAAGTAAAACCGGAGTCAAAGAATACTGTTAAATCATCAGCGCCTCTGAAGTTTATTTTTGAAAACAATTGGACGGTAATTGCTCTTATGGTATATAATATAATAGATAAATATATATAATAAATATATACAATAGAAGAAAGAGAGGTCAATCAAGTTCTCTTTATCTTTATTGTCGTCTGTTCACGCGAAATCCTTGGAGACAATGTAATTTCTAAAACAAAGGATTAAAATGATTTCAACAACTAATTGTATTTCATTAACTTTATTCATATACAATTTTGTAAAAATATAATTAACATGATTTTTTTTTATAATGAATAGAAAATGTTCTGTACATAATAAATGATGATCTATAGATCATTTATAATTTAGAATGAAATCGTATACATTTTTTATATATTCAACAAAAACAATTAATATTTCGTATTTTTTCAGGTACTTTATCCTTTTTAAAATGCATTTTTTAAATATCTTATCTCAATATTAAATAAGATTCAATGATAACTTTTAGCTATCAATTAACAACAATTCTGCTATGTATTTACTGATTTTACTTGACATAATTCAATAGAATTTATCGCAATCGAGATATTCTAATCATAATTTGTAATTGAATTACTGAGTTAACGATTCATTGAAAAATTAGTCGATTATTAATTTCAAAATTCGTAACGAAATTCGGACTTATCTGTGTTAGGCATTACTTAACATTTTGATATCAATTTAGTTAATATTTAAAACATTATAAATACCAGTTAAAGTATGTTCCAATTTTTTACGTAAGAAAAATACATTCACTCGAATGATACGTATCACAATTAGAGCTCTTAAGTATTTAGGTTCACTCATTTAAAGATAATAAATACATTTATTATCAATTGTTATTTGAGCACTAGAAAATTATTTAAACAAAGAATTTTGCGAATTCACTATGTTCATTTCCAAATGTAGTTAAAATAGTCTTCAGTTATATATTTAATGTAAGTGATAGTTAAATATTTATCTCTTATATTTTGATGGTTTTTTTATGTTCGAAATTTTATCTAAGGAATGACAGTCTGTAAAATTTATATGATACAAAGTGAATTTTATCGTTTTTTTTTTTCTTTTTTCAAAAGACATCCATCACCTTATTACATGCCTTTTTGGAAGGACTTGAATTTATTTATTTATTCTTTTAAGGATAAAATAGAACCTTCATTTTACCCTTCAATACCTATGCTATTACCTAACGTAGTCTCAGTCTCAGTATAATCTGAATTTCTTCTTTTACTCTGTCGACGTTCAACAAAGCAAAATGCCACTGTTCCAAGTATCATTGATACAAATAAGATAGACAGTTGGACATGTAGTCCAATGTAACTAGAGTAGATAAAACTAATTGCTGCGGCAACTGATTGTGTAAATTTGAAAAGTGCAAATGCTGGTGCACTTTCTTTTGCATAAATAACACCTAAAAGTGAATAAATTTGTGTATTGAAACAGGCATCACCGAAGCCAAGGGTAAGACTTCCAAACATGGCGAGCACTGGTAGAGGATTGATAAAACCAACTTGATTAGTATCTGTAAAAGGCGAGTTGTTTGGTAAATTTAACAGGATAGTGATATAGGCGAATAAACTGACAAAGAATCCAGTAATAACGACTGGCCATCCTGTGCAACGACCGAGAGTTCCAGTTCTAGAAGCTAAAATTCCAAAGATTGCTCCTCCTACTACTTCACCAATACCAATGCAAATTCCAGAAAGTCCAACGAGACTTTTCCTTTTTTCACCCATGGCTTCAGTAAAGCCAATGCTCGAGGAGTAAACACCAGAGAAGAATGTCAGTGCTAAGCCGGTATAAATAAATGTCAATGATAGCAACATCATTTTACAAGTTGTGAATAGTTTTAAAGCATCCTTGAATGCATTCCAAGCAGCTAAATATCCTTTTTGACCTTGTGGTTCAGGGATAGAGAGTTCTTTATCAGCGCTAGAAACTCCTTCAGCTTCACCAAGTGATAAACGAAATGGTGGTCGTCTTAAGAATGCAAGTAACAATGTTCCTAGTATTGACAATGCTGTAAGAACCCAAAAGACATGTCTTCTAGTTACTGCATCAATCGTAGCTTCGGTGAACATGAAATACACAAATAAATTTCCAGCGAACAATGAACTTTGGAATATTGCCCAAAATAATCCTGCATTCCTCGACATTGTTTCCGAGTCACTGTTCTCAGTTAAATATTGCCCATGGCCAGTCCATATTAATGAACCTCCGAATCCAAGAATTGCTGATGCTGTGTATAAAAATTTGGCACTAGGACTGAGAAAAGAAGCAATAAAAAATGCATAACAACAAGCTCCAATAAAAATTGCTACTCTTGGCCCAGTCATAGAAATAAATGAAGGCGCCAACCAGTTGCAAATTGCCAAGGCTGCATAAATTATCGCCAAGCTGGTATAACCGTCACCGTCAAAGCTTGGATCTTCATTCTTGATACTTACTAGGACAGTTTTCTGTAAGAAAAGTCATTGTTTAAATATTAATATTATTTATAAATTCTAATATGTAAATTACCGTCATAGGTCATCACATTCAATCACCGAACATGGAAAACGCTGGATAAACATACAGGAATAGTGACGATGATGGATGACGAAATGATTATTGGTATGATTTTTCATTGAGCTTGATGAGTGAAAGGTCAACAACAACTTGTGTCTTATCTAGAGGCTCGACTACATTTGATGTCTATGAATAAATAAACTTTCACCATGTTATAAGCGGTCGTTAGCTTGTGTTTTATCAACGAAACCTGCCTACATCATTTTATAATTTCACTCCAATTTTAAATAGAGCAGTAAAAGTGTTATGATACGAGATTAGAAAACTTTTAAAATAATAAAAACATCAATATAATATTCTGATTAATTATATTCTTATCACCTTATTAAGCTTGGAGCAGCTGTTTTTTAGTTATTATCGGAATAATGATGAATATTAACAAATAATAATTTATTAAGTAATAATATTTTAATAATAAATATGCCAATTAAATTTGAAGATTCGTCTTTTAATCCATAATCTTATTAATGTTCATCGTATTGACCCAATTAATTTTTATCTTAATTATCTCACGTCCTTCATATTTTAGTAAAATCCCAATTTTGAAATTGATGATATCGTTTCGATTATTCTCAACAAGATTATTTTACGACATCATCGTCTTTACAGATTAAGTAATATTCTTTTCTACAACTTGTCATGAGAAATTTATGATTATTATCCAGGAAAATACAATTTATTAATACTGATTAATCCGTCTGCAATTCTGAAAACGTGATAAAATATAGAAAAACATTTATAAAAATCGCGCAATATTATTTTTGACCTTCAACTTGATAAACACGTGTGTCACTTACTAAATTTGATAATACAAAAATTGGCGGAAGTTATTTAATTGATGATTGACAGTTAAGTAATGTTACGCAGTATTGAAATTGGATGTAGGGAGAAACAAATTCAACTCACCTCAATGTTACCCATTGTTTGGAATGCAGTAAATACAAGCATAAATCCAAAGCTCAGCATCAGCACATTTAAAAATCTTTTATCGATCTCCATGTTTATTATTGTATGTCACAAGTTGTAACAAGTATCAATAAATTACTCTTAATAAATAGAATGAGGAATGATTCAATAAACTCCCGTATGTTAAAATTTAATACGCGACAGCCGGGAGAGTTTGTACTTCCTTTTGAAAGGTGGTCGCGGCATGTGTGAAGGCATGCGACTGTATACGGTCCTGCTGTTACTTGACAGTAAGAGCACATTTTCTTCCTGCTCGAGAGATAAATAAATTGGTTCGAAAAAAACAAATTAGATATCAAGAACTTGAAGTTGGCGATATTCAAGACATCTCGCGGTGTGATAACACACTAAAAAACTCGACTATTATTTCGATTATTGCGATGGATCGATTCAAGTAATAAAATTCTTTAGCAATCAAATAATACGCTTACGTCTCTGTCAAGTCTATTGAAAGGATTGGTAGTCAAGCAGCGCTGTGTATTCATTGTGGTTATATTCGATAAAGAGTCTGAAGATTGCCGGAAAAAAACAGTGTAAGCTAATCCATTACAATAAAAGAGAAACAACGTCGTCATAAAGTCAATACCTTTACGTGGTGTTCATAATGTGTCTTGGTTTATTTCGACATTTATTTAAATGTGTATATTATAATTATTATTGATGAGTATAATCGGTTACAGATCGGTACGAAATTTCCACGTTAATAATTCGTTGATATAAATAGATTAGTGATTAGCTTATCTTATAGCTCTGTACATGTATTGTATCCGGTCATAGTGTATGAGATCATGATCTGAACATTATGATGGATTCTCTGCGACATATAAAAGATCCTTCTACTTTCTATAATAGTAAATGCTTTGAAAAGGATACGGCCTAGATATGTGTGCATTAAGACGACATGTACAGCCGTGAAAAAAAGGTTATTTGATACGGTGTTAAATTCAACAAAACGCCCTGTCTTGTGAGCGTGGCATTGTCTTTTGCCATTTTATCTGTTTCTTTTTTATCAAATTTTCAACAATAATAAAATGAAAAAACAATTCTTTCGAGTTAAACAACTAGCAGATCAGACATTTTCCAGGTAACTTATACTTAATGATTATTTTCATATGATGGCAACAGTTATCAGAAAAGATTTATTGAAAAAATTCCAAACTAAAGGGCCGGAAAAACGGAAGTTCTTACTGATGATCTCCAGGCCGCTGATAAGCATGTAGAACAAATTAGGGCTGCTTTAACTGGATTAAGTAAACGGTTAGGTGTTCCACCTAATCAAACCAATACCCAAGATCCTGCGTACAAAGAAAAGCGTTTGGTTTGTATAATATATTCAATTATATTAATATAAATCCAAAACTTATTTAACATGTATGACTAATGTAGCAGTTTTTTATTTAGAAAAAATGTTCAGAGTTTATTCTTGGCCAAACGATGTTAGAAAATGCTGCTGAAGAAGGTCTTATGAGTTTTGCTTTATCAGAATGTGGTAGAGCACAAGTGGCATTAGCTCATGAGACTGTTGATCATGAAGCAAAAGTTGAACAATACGTGGCTGCGCCACTTCATCATATTCTCGAGACTGATGTGCCCAATATCATTAAACATAAGAGGAATTTAGCTAGGTTGACTCTAGATATGGATAGTGCAAAAACTAGATATTTACAAGCCAGTAAACATAATGCTGGAGGTAAAGAATTTATATTCTCTTATTTTCTAGCAAATTATTTGATTTGAATATAGGCCTGTGTGTTGATTATTAAGTAAAGTAGTGACTTCCCTAACAGTGACAATAAAGATTACTTACATTTAATAATGGTTATTTATGTAGTGCCAGAACTCTGATAAAAGGAATTAAGTAAATAACGGGTGTAATTACTTCAATTACTCTGAATCCATGCCGCAATTGTATTGTATTTTGTTAAGGTGCTGGAGCGACAAAAGTTGACAGCTTGCGTGAGGAGTTAGAAGAGGCTGAGATCAAAGTAGAACAATGTCGAGATCAATTGGCAGCCGAAATGTTTCAATTAATGTCCAGGGAAACGGAACTTGCTCAAACTATAATACAGTATGTAAAACTCCAGCGAGCTTATCATGAAAGTGCCTTGCATTGCTTAGAAGAACTTATTCCTGGGCTAGAGAGTTACATAAGTAAGTGTTTCTCTCCTTATTTGTATGATGTCACATTCATTTAAAAGTATTACTGTTATCAAAATATATAATCGAAAATTTAGATAAAGAATGAATCATTTTGTTTCAATTGTCAAAATTTATGTCGCCCATACTTATAACGACCAAGTAAACAAGTTAATTATCTTATTCGTTAATCAATAGAACATTTTAGAAACAATAGATAAATAAGTATTTTATTATTATTTATAATACACTAATTTAAATTTAATTTTTTTTTCTACTAAATATAAAAATGATAGAAAACTTTAAGAATACTTTAATGTATACAATCATGACATGATTAAATAAAAACCTATTACCATTCCAGATGACAATGAGATGAAACCAGTATATGGTTATCCACTCGAAGAACATTTGAGAGTAACAAATAGAAAAATTGCTTTGCCAATTCAGTTGTGCGTGTCGACATTGTTAAGACTTGGAATGGAAGAAGAAGGATTATTTAGGATAGCAGGAGGTGCATCGAAATTAAGAAGAATTAAGCTGAGTTTGGATGCTTGTTGCTTGACCCTACCAACTGCCCTAGAATACAAAGATCCTCATGTAGTAGCGGGAGCATTAAAGTCATATCTACGCGAATTACCTGAGCCTCTTCTTACCTTTAAGTAAGGGTTATTTAATTTCGTATCTAAATAATTTACAGATTTTATTGTTGGCATTAAGATATCACGTATTATGTTTAATATTTTTATTTCAACACAGGTTATATCCAGAATGGATGGCGGCTGCTAAAATAACTCAAAGTGATGCCAGATTGCGTGCTCTCTGGGAAGTACTGCATAAACTTCCTCCTGCCAATTTGGAAAATTTAAGGTTTCTTATTAAGTTTTTAGCTGTTTTAACAAAAAATTCGGATGTTAATAAAATGTCACCTCAAAATATTGCAATTGTGATTGCTCCGAATTTAATTTGGAGTCCTCAGGAAGATATAAATACTATGGTGTAAGTAAATGACTAATATACAAAATCATGATTATTTTTAGCATATTATTTGATCGAAAAACTATTTAAGTAAATTTTCATACTTTCAGAATGAACATGAGTACCGCCAATAACTCTAGTCTCATCGTTGATCAATTAATTACATATGCTGATTGGTTTTTCCCTGGAGAAATTGATTTTGATCGTGATTTAGACGTTGGAATGATGAATGGTGCTGAACGTCAAGTAGTCGGTATGCGAAGATGTATATCAAATAGTAGTTTGAGTGATCTAGGAGAAAGTCCACCTCAAGGTAGTCCAAAGCCAGCAGCAAGACGGAAAAATAAACCAGCACCAACACCACCAAGCAGTACACCGGATAAACACGAACATAGAGTAAATGATAAACCACCGCCAGCTCCTGACAAACCTCCACGACCTTTAACAACGGCAACGTTAAATCGTCATACTTATAAAGCTCAAAAGCATGAAGTTAATATTGAATTAACTCATCCTCATCTTGAGAATAAATCAGAAAAGTTAGAAAAAAATTTGGAAAATGAAGTAAAAAATCAACCTCTTGGGTTTGAAGGTATTGTAAATGTTGAAGCCATTGAAAATCATGTAAAGCCAATGGAATTACGAAATCAAGGCCAAGACGCAACAAAAGTTGAAAATGACAATGAAGAAAAACGAAAAAATTCGGATTCTTCTGCACCAATTGGATTTGAATGTATAAATATACGTATTAATACTGGCACTAATCAAGTAAAAGATTCTGAAAATCAGGATCTACCAAAATCGAAACCAATTCCTGCTGACAAACCAACAACATCAACTTTAGAACGACGCAAAATGCCCGTTGCCGCTCCAAGAACAATAACAAACGTAATTAATCCAAATTCAGGTAAGATATATTCATCAATAAATAATAATATTCTATTATTATACTTTACATGTTTTCATTTGGTTATTAAATAGATGACGTAGTTGAGATACGTAAAAAAAATGATAATCCAACAAATAATTCATCGCCAATCGATAGAAATAGTAAACCTGCCATTCCTGAACGTCCTGCTGGATTAACAAGACCATCAAGTTTGGTCAGGCACCTACGTCAAAGCAACGATAACTTGGATGCTGATGTCGGAGTAAGTCTCATATTTTGCTTAAGAATCCTTAACCCTTAATTTGGTTTTTTAAAACACCTTATTGTTTTATAAAATCAAAATTAATTGAAAAGAAGGTTTTTCGGAACTAAAAATTTATATTAAAACAAAATTGAAAGATTTTTTTTTATATTTACCAAATTCAGGGTTCAAAGGATTATGCTTCTTATCCCAAATCATAGTGACTATTCATATAATCGTAGCCTTTGACATTGGAGAGGACGCATGTATATTCTGTCGATAAACAACAGGTTAGTATAATACAAGTGCGTGGAAATAATGCAGCTACAAATACGTCCACCGAGAGCAATGGAAACAGCGCTTCCATATTGCAGAGAAGTCCTAGTGTGGGAAGTCGACCATCCTCAGTGTCTTTTACCAATGAACGTCCAGAAAAACCTCCAAGACCTGATCTACCTGATCAAACAAAATCACATGCACGAACACGATCAGAAGGAAATATTATTGACGTCCAAACACAGACTGAAACTGTTATTGTCCCAAAATCACCGCAGCAGATGACCCCCGTATCTCCACGATTTCATCAACGACCACCTCGGCCTCAACCGCCACCACCTCCACCACCGAATATACGACCTAAATCTGATCAAGAGAGTACGAATCTTTAAAATATTTTGATAAAATATCACATAATGATAAATTAATAATTCAAAGTCAGACGGAAATTATTTTATTTCTTGAATTATTATAAAATAGAATTTTTTCAATGTCAATTGCCATGGCTTCCTTTTAATCAGGTTTTTAACGATAAAGTAACTAATTTTATAAATATTTTCCATTGGAATAGATTAAATGCTTAATGAAGTGCTCCCGATCTCTATGCATCAATGTAATAATTTTTATCGCACAAAATTTGGTATAATCTGCCGAATGTTCTAATTAATAGATTTTCCAATTTGTTTGAGCTAGATTACCTAATCACGAAGGTAACTGTGATCATGTTAAAAGAATTCATTTTATTTACAGCGCATTCAAGTTTATTAACAAATACTCTACGCATTATGCGTATTTTTTACTTTTATTATAAGTCATATGACCGATTATAAATTTTTTTCATTTTATAAAGCATATATTTCACATAATTTGGCGTATTTTTTATATGAAAACATCATTTGTGTAAATGAGGACATGAAAAATAGTAAAAAATTTATTTTTATGAGAATTATTCATTTTTAGAACAAAACTGTCCAAATATGAAAATTCACGTCGATACTGGAGCACGCATTTACCTAAGGAAAGCTTAGGCTGTGAATATATTGGAGTATTAAAGGATTTATTTGTATATAAATAAAAAAAATTGTTTCTTTATGAATTGAAATTGTTTGGTTATTTGCATGAAAATAAAAAACGAATTTTATTCATGTTGTTATAAGATCCCACACTTGTTTTATTAATCCCATACACAGATTTATAAATCTCAAGTATTAATAAACTACAGATCAAAACATGGCTATTAAATCTTTATCAGCAACATCTTTAGGAGTGCATCCATCGTTATCTTCTATTTGTTTAGCTCCTATTGAGAGTAAATATTTTACTGCCTCTTTATGACCGCATGATGCTGAATAATGGAGAGCAGTCTGTCCACTATCATCTTGTGCATTTATATCAGCACCATGTTCAATCAAGCTCTTGATAATTGATACGTAACCACGGTCTGCAGCCCAATGAATCGGTGTCATTCCATCTTTTCCAGGAACATTTACAGTAAATGAATTTTTTGTCAACATTTCCTCTACTTTTTTTCCATTGCCATCTTTAATCCAATCTAATAATGTTTTATCTTTATCCGACAACATTACGTCTGTATTAGGTAAGGTACTTACTGCGATCCAAGATTTAGAACCTACTTGAGCGTTTTGTTCCCAATTAGGATCGAGCTTAGTAATTATTTCAATATAATTAATCATAGCATCTTCTTTACTTAAATCTCCTAGAGCATTCCATGCGTCCCACTTATATTTCGCTTGAGTTTGAAGCCAGCCAGGTCTTGAAGTATTACAAGGTCCAACAGTTGCTTGTTTGTATAAACCATAAAATTCTAAAAGCTGCGTTGAATCTAACTTGGAGACCATTGACTGAAGATGGTTTGCTGCACGAGAAAATTTTTCCTCCAATTCAGATGTTGATAATTTTTCAGCCATGATTGATCAAATTTTACTGAGCTTTTAGAATTAATCAGCCCAGTTTCTACAATAAATGTCTGAACCTTCGAGATGGAAATTTTCTTTAGTTATTAACGTTTGATGTAATTCTTTATCGGCGACTTCTAATATCGCTGTTTGTTTACTGAGACCAGTATTTCTGTCAAATATAACGTGAGCATTAACGATTTGTCCAAATTGTGAAAAATATTGTTTCAGCTGAGGGCTATTGACAGTCCAAGGAAGATTAACAACTCTAATTCTAAAAATGTTTTTAAGTCCTTTTGTGGCCATATTTTAGATTGCTTATGAAGCTTTTCTTATATCCAATAAATGGATGGTATGATCTTGCATTAACTCTGCTAGAGTTATCCCAGAATCCGCTCCTAATCCTGTTAAAGAAATGTGATTACAAACGAGACCCCACTTGTTTAATAAATGCTCTATTGACCAGTCTGCACTTCTTTCTTGATAAGTGCAAAGAAATTTTGCTTCTGGATTTCTTTCTAAGAGATAAGCAACTGTTACAACTATTTCTTCAAATACAGAAGGCTCGTAAAAACAATCAGAACCAAGAATTAAATCTAATGGACCAATTGACAGTAAGCTAGAGAGAAAAAGGCCCCAAGTTATTCCAACAACTTTTACTTGTGACAATACTCCGTTTAATTCACAACTCCTTCTAATGTGTTGTAAACTCTTTGGCAAACTTGCTGAATCGCTGAGTGTCACGTGTGCTCCACACTTACTAGCAACTATTCCGGGAAGTGCAGTTCCTGATCCTAATTCTAAAACTCTCTTACCAACGAGTTCTTCACGATGCTCCCAAAGGAACCAAGCAAGAACCGGTGCTGATGGCCACGTGTAAAAACTGTAGCTGGCTTGCAAGAGCTGTGGTAAAAAAAAATTCGAGAAATGTAACAATAAGAACTAACCTCTAATGCCTAACATGAGGAGTACTTTTTGAACGAATGTCAATAATAATATGTTTAATTATTTTTATTAATATTCAATAATTGTCTTACTTCAGGAATATAAATTTCAAGAGATTCGTCGTGTTGTCCAGTTTCATGCGATTTGCGAGACGTGAAAAAAAACTTTTTCACTTGCTCGGCAGCGACTCCATCGGACATTAGGCTACTCGCGGATGGACTCGTTTCGAACCAAATACTTTCTTCTAAACCAGGCATTACTGATTATGAAACTTTGCATGTTAATTATTCATTTTGCACATTATTTTGTTTATCAATTTCATAACAATAATATTGATAACAAAATTTTTATTAAATTTATTTAAAAAATTAGGACTTATATTGTCAACAGTTGTCAATGCGCGAGTGCAGCTGTCGACGTTTTCGCGTAGTATTTCCGTTTTTTAAAAAAACAATAGATGGCATTACTTGACTGGTTTGTTGCCACCGGAAAAAAATACAAAGTTACAATGAACCCGGCTTCAGTAATAATGTAAACACAAGTTGTATTGTTAAAATTTATTTTAATTTGTGAATAAATTATAAGTTTGTGACAAACGTTCAAATTACTTATTTGAATACAAACAAATTCAATGTTTATATTTACATTACCATTGTTATTATTTGCCTTAACAAATGTTACAATGTGATTAATTTTATTTTACAATGTTATTGTTCAATTGTTCACAAGACAATAATTATTTATTTGCTTAAGGTATGTAAATAAATGAAAATAAAGTAATAATTTTTATTTATAGATATAAATTTTAATAACTACGATTCAATTAAGATTAGATACACTGAAAATTAAAAATTATCTCGTGGTTTCATGTCCGTTGAGGAACTGGTGAGAAATTATCATGGATTACCTCTGACATCAGACAAAAAGTTAAAAGAAAAAACAAATGATCCATATAGAGTGTGCAAGGAAGTACTAATTGTTCCAAGGGATCACGCGAATGATGTAAGACCGGATGTAAAAAGTTCTCCGTTATCGTTTGTGTTATATATAATTATTTTTATTTTTTTATCACCATAATATCGCATATTTGAGTACAAACGATAAAATCTATATTAACTTCAACGAGTCACCATTTATACATATATCACGCAACTGATTATCACGGAATCGGAAGTATCAAGTAACATAGCAATCATAACAATTATTTAACTTCTGAAAATTTCCGTTAATTATGTAATGTTCAAATCTTTAGTTACCAGAAGGAAACATACTTGAAAAGAAGGTAAAAAAAAAAACAGAGGAAAAAATCAGCTTGAGAAAATGAAGACGAAGAATATAAGTACGAGACCAGTTTTCTCTTAATTAAACGTAATTCTCTCTTAGCAGCTGCTCTGCAGAGCACGAGCTCTATTGTTAAATGCACGTAGTATTATATCCCTGAGATACAGCATCGTCCCGCTCGCGGATGAGCACGCGCTCGCACCGCCCACCATCGACTTCAGTCTCCTTCAATCCACTGCTTCTTCTCAAATCCCAACACCTACGTACCACCTACATTCAAAGAGCTTTTAAGTCTACATGATATTCCCTTTCAAGCTCCTCATTTTACTGCTCCAGCTAATGGAGCTCCTCAAACATCGAAAACGTCTGCAAATAATGGACCAGACTGACATTACAATAAAGTACACCACTAAAAATAATATCTCATTCTGAATAAATTTCTCTCTACTGTGATCAACAATATAACAAAGCAACAACATAGTTAGCGAGAACGCAGTCCATTTATACTTTGATTGGTCCCAATCTTCTTAATGTTAATGAATGACATACATAAGTCGTCTATCGTCAGTTGAATCATAGTGATTTGACCCTACATAAACTCTAATGGTCTGTCTTCTATTTGCAGATATGAAATACTAAAACATCTTGTGATGACGCGAGTAGAAGAGTAACAGTGTGCAAGTCAAGAACACGATGTTGCAAATGCATGTAGGTGGTGAGTTAATCCTCGAGAGTAATCATCATTATTATCATCGTTCAAGTAATCGTTGTAATTTTCTGGTCTACTAGCAAGGTATATATTCAGCTGTCATTACAGATTCGTATTTAATTGATCAACAGAGTGAATATTAAAATCCTTATAATATTCAAAGGAAAAGGTTTCACCTTACCTTATTTCATAGAACTTCTTACACAAGACAATTCAAATTACTGTAATTGATACAGTGCAATTAACTATTCCCACACTTCTAATTATAAAAACAATAAACGATAGAAATGTGTTATTGAATTTTTTATGAAGTCTCTATGATTCCAACTAGATTGTTTAGCTAGAAAATAATTATATGAGAGGAAGTGTATATTGAAAAAAATTATTTTTTATGATGAACGGTTGAATAGAATGATGATATTTTTAGTTACATTTTTCATTTGATTTAATTATCTTACGAAAACTTGGAAATCGTTTTGAATCTTCAAGACCTGTTAACTTAAATTTAAAGAAATAATTACAGTACTCGATGAAGTAATGTACAAAACATGTTATCTTTCACCTTGCCATAATAATTATTTCCAATATATTATTTCTTAAGTTAACTGTACTTTTACACATTATAATAATTGAATAAGAAAAAAATAAGTTTATTACATAGTAAGATTAGTCAGAAAAAAATAATTACATATGAAATTGATTTTTAGGTAAAGAAAAAAATTCTACAAAAAGTACAGGTAAATCAGATTTCAACAGAATTTAGGATTCTTCGTGTTTCAACATCTTTTTGAATTAGAAAAAACGTATTTCTATTCAAAAAACGTTGTCATTCATTAGGGCGTACCCACCTTAGCTGCTTGCAGGTGTCCTTCATAGTATCATGATGCTATTCAAACCTGTTGCACGTGGTTGGTTATTCCCTAGTACTTCTACTTGAATCTCCCCTCAATAAGGAAGGGAATCTCATTCAACCCTCGTCTCTACGACGATCACATATGACCAGCTGCGCTTTCGGAATTTTTAAAACATGCAGGAAGATTACATGACATGGTAGTTGATGACCTTAATAGAAAATTGAAAGAAATACCCGTATGGGATGGTATGAGTCCCGTATTCCCAATTTACATCATCAATTTCTTCTCAATAGATCAATTGGAAAACCATTTATAAACATTCATTATTGTTACATTAATCTTTTACATTATTATGCAGTCTAGGTAAATGTGGAAATATAAATCGAATTCAAATTTTTTCCAAGTGCAGATAAAAAATGCCTCTTTCTATTGAAAATAAATTGTTTTTGAATATTCATATCTTGTCGAATTTCTTAAGTTTTAAAAAATTGAAACATCTCATTCTTATGTTCTTCTTAAAAAAAAGAGTCTAAAGACCTTCAAAAGACCAAGCAAACCCACCGTTTATTGTACTCTGCTGAAGGTAATTTTCCCGGAACAATACTCAGGTTATGCGAGTCTATGACCATGGCGAAATTTCGTGGGCTATTGATTTGTTTCTGGAACTCCAAAGTACCTGTTTCAAGAATTTTTTAAGATATAAAAACGTGTTGCAGCATTCTTTTCGTAAATTAACTTTTTCATCTTAAATGTACAAAAAATCATAATGGGATAATATCATCACTGAGTGTAATTTGGTTTCGTTTTATTTGCAGATTACAAGAACCAGAACTTTTAAAGCTTCAGGAAGTGCATTGCATATTTTGCAAGGATCAGTGATCTATTTCGTGGGAGACTGAACATTCCCGAGTATCTTCTGGCATATTAGAAGCCTCATTAGTGAGGGGAGAGTGCAGATAGCTTTTAGGAATGTGTTCAATATTGGAAGCCTTGCTCATTCACCCACGAAGTTTTGAAATATGGATCTGTCGATAGTAGTCCAGTATTCGAACTATTTTATCAGGTAATTTTTATAGAATATTTGAAAGAAATGATGAGAATATATTAATTCTAAATGGCTGATGAATTATTTACTCATTATTCTTAAATCTTTTCTGATTGTTATTCTGAAACATTGAGGTAGAAATTTATGAGTAATTTTTCATTTCATTTTTATGTGAGTAAAAATATTCGCGGACTTTTTCAAGTTTTGTATAATATACTCTGAATATAAACACTTGCTTCTTATGCAGACTCTTTAACTTTTAGAGTTGGATTTGTGACAGTCACACCAACTAAGAAAAACTCAAGTGTATTCTAAGAAAGCAATTCATGGACTCCAGTCACGTCTGCATATGAATAAGAAATGGTATTACTTCATTTGTTATATTTTTATGTGGCTTAGAAAATGTTCTTTTTACTAAAAGTAAAATAAATGACACTTCTTTTAGATTTACCGCTTGAAATAATGGTGGTGACATGGTCATAAAAAACATCCACTCATTTTCATGTACCATTTCTAGGCAATTAGCTTATCACAAAGAAGTTAAAAGAGAAATTTATTTCGTGTCTGTCGATAGTGAACTCAAAAACAAGACATTTTAGACCAAAAATGTTCCTTTTGCCAGCAGGGTGGCCCTTTCTTTTTTCATTTATTTTGAGTAATTTTTGAAATCTGGACTGTTGTAGCTTTTACGTCAAAAAGACTATTTATGTATGCTACTGCTTGGTTCTTTTAACATCAAGTGTATTTTTCAAGCCGCAGGATATAGAGACTTAAGGAATGGGGGGTTAATTTTAACAGACAGTATGAGAGTAATACAAAGTAAAGAATATTTTTTTAAAAAAATTATCATTTATCCCATTATTTTTTTAACTCTCTGAAATTTTAACGTATCATTCAATTTACAACACAAAAGATTTTTATTCAAATTATTAAAAAAAGAGCTTCAAATTTTTACCTTGAAAATAAGAAGTCTTATTATTTTATTTTTCCAACATTGTCGACTATTTTTGTACTAATGTTCTCATGATGTCGTTTCGTAAAATGTCGAACAAACCTTCAAAGACGATTATAAGGGTTCAGAGTTAGGGAGCATCTTGCTATTCCCTCTGAATATAAAAAAGACGAAACCCGAGATGGATTTCAAAAGAGAGATAGAAAGCAAAAAAAGCAAGAAAGAGTAAGATGAAAACTACAGCGGAGTGCTTTGTGATCCTGGCGGTTTTGGCGCAACATTTCTGTTGCAAGGTGTATACAGATATGAGGGAAAAGAGATAGAGAGCAAGTCTTCGAATGAAGAGAAGTCCAAGACACACCTACACCCTGAAGGTCCAGACAGGGACTACTATTAATCCCAGGACCTTGATTTTTTATTAAACCAATCGAACTAACATACTCTTATAAGATCTGCATCCACTGTCTATATTTAATCCATGTATTATATATATTTTTTTTTGTCTTTGATTAATCATAGATTATTAACAAGATAGAAAATCTTTTTTGACATTTACAAAATGAAAAATAAACTAGTATTTATCTCCAAGTTCTATAAAATCTAACATCTAATATTTTACTGATAAATATCAGAAAAACAATTCATTCAGCTTTTGTTTAAACAAAAAATTCAATTCAATTGTCTAATAATGATTTATTAAATTAATTAATCATTTATTTCTTTACTTTTATATTAAAAAAAAAATTGTTCTCAATTTTTTTAGATCATAAATGCATATCGAATGATAAAAGATTGAGATCAAAGCACAATTGCAGCTCATTGTTATTAGAAATTCAGATAGGACCGGGCGTTATAATTGTATGCAGCACGGGCGCGCCTAAGGCAGAGCATTCTTTGGCTCTCAGTAAGGCTGATGTTGGACAGGTTTTCTGCACTGTAGATCTATAGTGCTCACTGATATTCTTGAGCATGTTTCTCTTTTTCTTTCATTTCAATGCTTAGGTTTCTAGGCCTAATTACGAGCCTCTTTCAAAATTTATAGTCTGCAAAATCTGATAAACCAACAACCATGAATCAGTCGGTCAATTGAATTATTAGATGATTAATATCATGGTATCCATTTTCGAATAAATATTATATATAATACTTACACCGTTTGCTCCGTAGAAGTACACTCTTGCATCCGTTACTTGATCTCAATAAAAGTACTTTCGACGTATTTGTGAGCGAACCAAGACCACTCCCATATCACATCTCGCGTAGCGACAGTCCGAAGGTAAAAAGAGAGAAAGAATAATCATTTATGCAAGCCACGACCGCTCAACTGGAACACCATGAAACACAAGCGAACTCGACGGCCTCGGTGACGTAAAGAGTCAAACTACAACATCTTCCAGTTTTTTCATTTCTCATCAATATTATCGGCCACCTTAATTCTATTCACCATGATAAAAATCTACAGATTTACACATTCTTTTGTGATAAAGCAGGTGTCAGAACACAACTGCTACACCACTTCATTAGTAATTTTTTTGACATCTGTAATATGTCACTAGTCACACCAATACATGGTTTTTCTTCATCCTATAAATCATGCTGTGATCGCTCGAGAAAAATATAAACAATAATTGGATATTTATTCCAACTAATTATATTGAATTTAAAATATCAGTGAATGGTGGTAATAACTAATTAAAATGAAAAGCTTTCGAATAACTATTAAATTCTAATAACTGTTTTAAATTGAAAATTAATGTCTATAATCCATTTATGTTCTGGTACCATGCTATAATATTTATCAAACACTTTCCATTTATTAAAGCAATTCTTTAGTCATTTTCTATACTTGACTATATTTTTTAATGTAATAAGCGTGCAGCTGATAGCTTGTATTACATTTAAATTAAGTGCTTCAGTATCTGCAGTTATAAAATTACGAATTGACATGAGTGCTAGATGGAAAAAGATTGGATAACAGTTTCCTAGGCGTAGAGCAAGAAAGTCAAGTTTAGTATTAGATATTCAACTTTCTCTTGTCCAGTTCATTCCGCCTTTCTTCAGGCTATTTCTTGAGCTATTCAGATAAGCTATTGACTCATGTACTGTTGTACATGGACCATTATTTTCTGAAGGATTTTTCCCTGAAGGAATGAATGTAGATACTCTTTCCTCTTTGATGCTTTCGCACTCGAATAAAATGTTTACAATGCTCTTCTGTCTTATGTTAGTCTGAGCACGCGATCAGCCTCTAGCAATAAGTCTTGTCCAACTCAGGTTGGACTCTTGATTCTTCATTGTAGTTTCAATCTTTTTGTTACTCACGCAAATGTCTCGATTGCCAACCTTTCTGAGCATTAAAACTTAAAACACATGATGTCAATTCAGTTTATTATGAATTTACATAAACGGGTTTTGCCTTTACGGTAAAACATGAAGGATAGAGATTAGATTAACAGATGCAGGTGTGACCAATTCGTAATATAAACGTGATTCAAAGTATATATACTTTGTATACATACCGACAGAAAATCAAATATACTTTTATCTTCAAAAAAGATTTTGAGCAAAACATAAAATCTTGCTCTGATATCTTGCTTTTTATCTTTCATTGTTTCCCTTTTCTTATCTCAGTCCGTCATCGTTAAGAATTTATTTCGAGCAGATAAGAGGTCTAAAGCCATAATGGCATGTTAGTGACAAAAATGACCCAACCGTAAATTTTTTATGGATATTCTACTAAAAATACCTTTCTAAAGATTCATTAATTTATTATAAGTAAAAACAATTTTCTGATAAGATGGATAAGAGGAAAAACAGGTATTTTATCAGCTAAATGATTATATAAAAAGTAATTATGTACTTGTAAAGCTTTTGAAACTTGTTTTTCATCTTACTGCAATATTGGTTTCTTTTTTGGGGTCGAGGGGCGAAGCCTGATCTATTATGAAAAATCGTCTCAAAAATCTGAAACTTTACACCCTCGTAAAAAATTTTAGAGGTATTTGCGCCAAAAATCTTTTTAAGGTTTTCATCATTTATGTTGGTAAACACTTGAAAAAATTTTGGCCCCAATCAGAGGTGTCCCTAGAACGAAATTACATCCGTAATTATTAGTTTAAAAAAATTTATTTCTCAAAAGATTCCATATCCTTGGATAAATTTATAAATCACTTCTTTACTGGACAATTTCCACTTATATTGAATATTTATCGACAAAAAGTTTAAAAGCAATGTATCCACCGTAGTCTTTTTGTCCTCTCCAATAGATTCCTACACCTCTGATAAGTTTCGCATCATTAACAGAAATGACATCTCTAATATCTAGGAATGGAATTAACTGTGGATCATTTAAATCATTATCTTCAGTCAATCCCAGTGTTTGAAAGGAAATCAAACTTTGGCCTGGTGTGCTCAACTCTACATTTTCTCCTTGGCCAGCAGTAGGGATCTCCATGTTAGGAGTCATTAAATTAATTCTGCAAAAAGTATTTTTTTAAGATTAATTTACTTGGAATAAAATTTTAATAAAATTCTTGTACTTACCTGTTCCCTGGAGGACTATGAAATTCTGTTTCATTAACGTTGACATTTTTTAATTCATGCATAGGTTTTCCATAAACTGACAAATAAAACCCTTTAGATATTTGAGTCAGACTAAGAGAAACACCTAGAAAAATTTATTAATTGTAAATATTGTGTTACCGTCTTTTAATTATTGTACTAATGTGAGGGATATTCATTATACCTGTCACAACAAAGTCCTTAGGAAGGATAATGTCATCCATCAGTAGAGATCGATTGTCATAATTCATTCTTTTGCTTTCTTTACATACATTGACTTCTTGCCAATGTCGAGTGTTGGAGTCAATAATATTATTAACCAATTTTCCTTGTTGTATCTGTATTCTTACAATCTTGTCAATGATTTTGAATCGAACACCGGTGACGACACTAAAAAATGAAAAAACATTTTAGATTTTTCCACTTTTGCAATTAATTTTAATTCTCACTTACTATCCATCAGTGACATTTGATAAGACACGATCCAGACAAATTGAACCTGTTAGGTTTGGATTCAAGTAATCGTCACAATAGCATTTGCAAGTTGGACAGATAAACTGTAAAAGCACTCTACGATTGTGTATAAAAGAAATCGTATCCTCGTTACCAGAAGCCCACATCAGCCAATTCCAGAAATTATAAACAGATGCACTGATAGAAATTTCTTCAGGCGCCTAATAATATTGATCATTAGTTTTTTAAAAGTAGCTTATTTTGTTTGTATTCATATTAAATATTGATCTTATTCACCTCATATAGCTGACAGTTACGTAATTGTCCAGGACAGTAATTCGCGTTAGTTCCTATATATTCTTCATTAAATAATTGAAAGGTATTTAAATAATGTGAACAAATTCCTGAACAATCTCTGATAAGTCCCATTCTATTTCGTTCATTTATTTTCATTTCACTTATAAAATTCAAATGATCATATGTTATTTCTGTAACATTGAAAACCAATTTATTTAATGCCAAATTGGAAACTAATTTTAAAATCAATCTATACCTTGGTAGTCATCAATAGGATCACTCTGCTTAATTACAGCCAAATTTGTTTTATTGTAGATTTGATTTTGATAATCAGGTACAAAGTAATAATTATATTTGTCATCATTTTTTATCACATCTGCAGAACTCACAGCCACTAAAGTTGTAAGATAAATGAAAAATCCAAATATAGCCACAAGTCGAGCACACTTGGCCATAATTTTGGGTTGGATATATTTCATTGCTTCAATATATCCCAAATATCATACAGCAAAAAATTGTATGGAGTATGTTATTTTTATACCACATATACAGTTGATTTACTAGACTGTTCGAATCTTTGATACTAACGAGCATGTTTATGCTCCAAAACATTTAATGGGCTCCACTACTTCTTTATCTAATATTTTTGGAACGCATTATGATAATCTACATAGAATAAAATTTCAATATTATTTTTCTACTAAATGCATATCTACCAATCAACTATTTGAAAGTTATCAATTGATTGTAGTATCAATTTCATATCATTATTGTCCATTTTGAAATTTACAAATTCCTGGTATATTTATAGCTAATGTTGAAACAGATTTCTTAATTTATATGTTTAATTCTCTGAAAAAAATAATCGACTTTATTTATAGAAACAAGATTGCTTTAAAACTCAACTACTTTGGAATAATATTAAGCTTTAAAAAGACATAAAAACTTCCATACAATTGTATGAAAAAATATCCACAATCTTGTATTGCAGTTCTGGGTTGGACATTTCCAAGTCCGTGCATGACCAATTGTTCAGTTGGTGTGCGTATTGCAATGATGGATAAACCGGCTCTCTGGCAACATATATGGTAACGCTGTATAATAATATCATCTCAGTTATTTCTTATAGGTCTTCGACAACACTTTGTGTCTGTTGAAAATTTATAAGACTCAAAGTTTTCACTGTCGAACGACAGCTTCATTATTCAAATCATTCATCAAAAAGAAAACAATAAAAATGTTTACAGTTACTTTCTATTATGACTTGGGATGAGAAAAATATTTAGTTGATGAAATTTTTGATGAAGAAATCTGTTTATAAATAACTGTGGTCGATGAACCTAATGATTCTTTGCATATATTTGAGTGAATCAGCATAATTTGGTCAATCTTACCATGTAAACTTTTATCTCAAATCATCATGGAAAGCATGAAGATGATTAAAAAATGAGTAAATCATGAGTATGATATTAAATTATTAACAGTATAAACTTGAAGAAACACACACGTCATTGGATTGCAACAGTTAAGGTCTAAAAGTTGCCTAAAATTGAAGAATAAAAAAAGTCAGGGAAAGGAAGAAAGAGTTGGATAGATGACTCGTCCTTTTAGTCTCAGAATGGTCCCTGGAGACTTAGCATCCTCTGCATTATGCATGATGTACGATGGTCGAAGTGAGGCTCGTTTGGGTGATCGTTAAAAATTGTAAGGAACGTTCTACCTTTCGCTCCCGGGTGATCGCGACCAAGAGAAGATTTGGAGGGACAATAATAATGCTCGCTCGTGCTCAAGAAGGCTTTCGTTCGTATCTTTTTTTCAAACCATTATTATTATTATTATTGGTCCCTAATGGCACAAGTCAGTAATATTCTTTTTCTTTGTCTCACACCAGACTCGTTTGTTCACTTCTATTCGTTATTCTTTTCTACTTTTTTTCGTTTCATTAATTTCAACGAAATGTTAATCCAGGTTTTATGGAATAACATCAAATCATAATACATAACTTAATCAGTAACATTGATTCAGAGATGTAAGAGCATCACAAAAAGTTGAAATTATTGAGTTGTATTCCAGTTAAATATCAAATAATCGATATTTTAAAAATCAAAAAATACATTGAAGTCTAAATGCTTTTATTTTAGAAACCAATTAATTTTTTTGTATCAAAAATATTTTTTGAAACATTGTCTCACTTTAATATTAATAATTCATTCTTAATTTTCAACACTCATTATTTTAAATTATGTGTTTTCGGTCGAATAAAAATTAAGTTGATTATTGGGTAGAATTTTAACAAAACCAATAATTTTTTCTGGTTTGAGGAAAAAGCAAAACACATCAGTTTCTATTAACGTATTATACCAGTTTTCAGCTGATGTTAGCTGTTTGAACAAAAGTAATAAACAAATTTATAAATTATTATTAAATAGCATTGAATCATTAGAAATGTTATCAGTAATTAATATACTCAATATACTTTAATCATCTCATGAGTGAATTTTTAACATTTGGACTTTTAAAGCTCATCATAATGACTTTCTTATGCATTGAGGCGTTGATAAAATGCAGACTTTTCTTTCAAGTATTAATGCATTTAATATGTAAATAAGTGAAGAAAGAAGAATAAACTATTTCCATAAAAACTCCATATTCAGCTGGTTTATAAATAGCTGATTAGAATGATCTAAATGTGTCAAGATCGCAGAGAGTTGAGAGACTAAAAAACGTCATCTAAAAGACTATTATGAGTTGCTCACAGCAAATTGTAAATACAGAGAGATATAACCGGTCCAATTACAATTCAGAACACAGTCACTTTCGTGTGTGTTATGTTGATATGACTTGATGGTAAGGAATGTTATCCTTATTGATATATGTTCCTGGTACCTACATAATAAAAGCAGAGTGGGGTGATATAAATTTATAAAAATAAATAAGTGAAAAAGTTAGGTAAACTGGTTTGTCAATTGATCGTGCGTGACTTGACGTTTACACGACTTTCATTTCTATCACGTTTGCGCAAGCTTGAATTTCAACTCTAATCAGCATGATTAATATTCCAGGAACTGATGCAAAAAATTAGCATCGATAGCCACAAGTCTTATTGCTATGAGCAACGCCCTGGTTATTTGGCGGTCGCTGAAATGCAGAAAGACATTTGGGATGAATCATCACCATCAGAATGTGCTCCAAGGGAGTGAAAGAGCAAGATGATAGGTAGAGGGAAAGAGAGTACCATGTGTATATCTGGCGTGGGTGCGGCTGCTTCAACAGGACACACAAGAGTCCATTGTTGCAGGGCGAAAGAGAGCAAAGAGGTTTGAAGAGAGATCGCAAGACCAGGGCGCACCCATAACCAAACTCGATCGCAAGAGCAACAACTATAGCTCTCTAACCAGACCCCCATTGTACTTGGATACCTACCCCATTGTTTATATGCCAACCGTTCATCGCATCAAATTTATGCAGGACTTCTTTTCGAGTGTCTTCTTCGCCGCCTTATTTCTTTTAAGCTTCCATCTCTCTAATCCATTAGCGTACGTGTATATTCTCCATGAATCGACATAAAGATATGGATTTATGTTGCTTTCCAACATGTACAAAAAGTTCATTCGTGTATATACTTGAATATATATTTCCAAGTGACTCTCTTCAAAGTCTATCTGACATAACATAAAGCTTTATTTTTTTAGCTATACATGATGTCAGATATCTGGACCCTTGTTATAAAAATAAACTGAAAATTGTCTTGACCTACAGGAGCTAGATATGCAACAGCTTCCTGTCTATTACATTTTTTGTCCTTTTTTTGGTTTTTAATATTTTGCCTAGATAAACTTTGATTTTTTCCAAAGTAAAAGTCAAGTGATATACTTCTTAGTAAATAAAACTGGATTGTCGATAAAATAAATGATTATAAAAGGCTGAGTAATTATTCGTTATCTGCAATTAATTGACCAATGAAAGAAAAAACATTTTAATCAGTAGCATGTAATATTCAGTAAGCTGTGTGTATAGTTCTTGGATTCGTTGAAAACTTAGATCTACAAGAACTACCTATGTGTATATGATAATTTAATACTTGAATTCAGATCATATATTGTCTATGTTGATCAAACAACACACAGTAAAACATTCTCAGATGACAGCACGTAGGTGAGTGCAACATATCACGACTACACAAGACCAAGCAGATGTGTCCCGTGCCACAGTGTTTATGGATATGCGGGGGCAGTAGAATCCAGCAGTCACGTTCGAGATTTAGCGATAGTCGAGCAAGCAACACGCGTACTGCAACCTCAGGTTCTTTTTCTTCTTCTTTGTTTTGCAAATGCACGCATATACGCATACATTTACAGCTCTAAGGTCCATTGCCATTGCTAGCCAGTTCTGTAACATGCATTCAAGGTAGCAAGTCTCCAGTATTATTTGTAGTTGAAACTCCAGAGCACCAGCACAATCTTCAAGAACATACTTTTCTCATCTATATGTTCTGCTGACCTTTTAAACCTACCATTTTTATTTCCTCAATTATTTACCTGACTTCTCTTATCTATTTTTTTTTAATACCAAGAACAAGAAAATTTAGCAGATATAAAATCATAAGAAAACTAGTCTGAGTCAAACAATATATTCGTAAAGCTCATGAATAAAAATATTCTTATCAATTGTTTTATTGTATTAAAAAAATATTACAACGAAGGTTGATGAAATTTTTTCAAGGTTTTAAATAATCATGAGATCACTCGATTATTATTAATATGAAAATACTTACATGACTTCTTGGAATCAAACTCATAAATATGAGTAATTAATAAATGCAATTCAGCTATCATTTCCGTATTACTGGTAGAAACGTGGGCTTGAACCGGAACTGTATGAGACATGGAATGAGATCGTTGTCCTCACGATTAGCATCTAATTACCAATCCTATATGTTATTTCCATCCGGGACCTCTTTTATGTCACCAGTAGAATTTATACGGTTGAATGCTCACGGCTCAATAGATACAGATAATTTTTTCATGCATAATCAATAAATAGCAGTGCATTTCCGGTACAGTAGATAGATAAATGATTGGCCTTTCACTGTTTGATCTTCTTTTGAATGTTGTCAGTACCATGAAAATGGACCACCCCCCGCACGTGGCGTATCGAATTTGCGCATAAGCATACAGAAAGATCCATCAAGTATAGAACGACGTACACGCTCTAACGCAGTTGATTAAATTTCACAAATTAGTCGAGCGAAGTTAACTGCTGTCGAGTCTCGTGTTACGTTTTCTCAGCTCCATCGAACAGCTACCTTCAAGATCCCATTTCTACCCCGCAAAATTTTTATTTATCAATCCTTCGGTTATACAAACTAGACCTTATTTGTATATGACATAGACTTCTTGCTCATGGCTTTTTGAAAATATTTATGTTTCTTTCAAGAAACCTTCAGCTTCTGGTT